TTTTTTTTTTTTTCGCAAAAAGGCAAAACGAAGCTTTGACGATACAAAACCTCCGTCTCATCCAAAGTCCAATGAACCAACAAGGTCAACAAGATCAGCAGTGATGATGCCGTGTGCCGAGCGATGGCGATTCAAGTGTCCGACGCTACCTCTTTCTAGTGCCGCCGCACTGGCTAGCCCTACGAATAAATAAATGAATCAGCGTTCATTCAGTCTCTTTTTCCTCCCTTTGTTTTTCTTGGTTAGCTTTCGGCAGAGCTGCCGTCGCTCTACGGATTAGCTTGCGTCATCTTCCCCATTCGGATGAAAAAATAAGTCCAGATGCGGTGTCAACACTCGCTCGATCGTTAGCTGGTTCGCAAGCTGGGGCGGTGCAAAAAAAGCCCACAGGGCGCAGGGCAGCAAAGCTCGTTTGGTCTGGGCATTGTTGGCCGACGACAAGATGATTCGACAGAGCCGCTGCAATTCATCTATTCGACAACTCTTTTTTTGCCTGTCTTTTGTCGGGCGTTGGCTGGCTGGACTGACTTGTGTGCAGGTTCAACAGGGCCAGCCTTGTGGGTTTTATTGTCATTGTCTAACGGCTTGAGGGACTTGTCATTCATTTGTTCCCCTGAGAAAAAGGTATCGTCATCTTGGAGCGAATCCCGGTCCGGGCGTAGCGACCCCGTAATAAGCACCAAACAAAGGTAGCTACAGCGGGATTGGTTAGGGGCTCACCCAACCCGGCATTCGGCGTGCATGTAAGACACTGCGAAAACCTTTTTGGTGAAGCCGCGTCATTTACCCTTTGTGAGTCCAACTTGAATTCGTGACTGCAACTTGGCGACCATGGCCAACCAGACATTGCAGTCATTTGGCCAAAGGAGCACCATGAATGTCAACTTACAACAACAACCTAGCTCAACAGTAGGGCACCATGTAAAGAGGCTGGCAAATAAGTTCCGTTCTGGACCCTGTGGGACGGCCGATACTAAGGTAGGCGATTATTAGTGCATAGCCTAGCGAAACCCTGATGCGCCAGCGGCAGTGCTTCCGTCAGGCTGAGCCGGTGCTCTGACTTCCATTCACTCATATAACAAACCTGGGGCGGGCGCGTCGCAAGCAAAACGTCTTTTCGACCCTTTATTCTTTGCTGTGCTTTTTTTTCTTCCATCTCAATCTCAAACCATCAGCGCTCTCAAACGCCGAGTCGCCCAACCGCAAGGGGGGCGGATCCTCAGCAAAACAGATAAATCAACATGTCGAAAGAGGCGCTTTACGAGCCGGTGCCCTCGTCGTCGCGCCTCAAGGTCTTTTCCACGCCCATCCAGCAGGCCGGTCATAATCATCACAATCACCACCCTCAAGACGACGAGAGCCATGGCATCGACGACGGTCGCTATGCGCCCAATCACCGACGACACCCCGACAATTATCCCCGACTGCAACGGGTATGTATGGACGGTGGTCGTGAAAAAAGTTGTGAAGGAAGGGGGGACTTATGCTGACAGGAACATGGAAATTGTAGCACGAAGAGCCTACGCTGCTCGAAATCTTTTACGATTTATTCTTTGCCGCGACGTACAATGCCTACTGCGAAGCCAAGGAAGTCACCAATCACGCAAGCTTCAAAGCCTCGATTGGATTTTTCTGGTACGACTTTTTGGCAATCTGCATCACCCAAATATTCGACGGGCCTGACTAACAAACGTTGAAAAAGTCTGCTGTGGTTGACATGGTTCAACGTTACGCTCTTTGATGTCCGCTACGCCACCGATTCCATCTTTTGTATGCCTTTCTAGCCGCCTTGTCATCATCATCGCCAAAACAAAAAAGACTAACAGGTAGTGTTAGCACGCCTCAACACGGCTATTCAGCTCGGTGTCCTCGTCGGCTTCGTCGTCGTCGCCCCCACGTTTAACCCGACCACGCAAGATGCGCCCACCATGCGCGCCATGTGTATGTAGCTTCACCATCACAACTACAATCACCCCCCCGCGACACGTTGTCCGGCGATGCTAACCTTGTGTGTGTGTGTGTGTGTGACGCAGCCATCATTCTGGCCGTCTCCCGCTTCAACCTCATGGGCCAGTACGCCTGGATGGCCATTCACGTCCGCCGCTACCGTCCCACGCGCCTACCACTGCTCGCCCAAATGGCCATTTACGCCGCCGCCGGCGCCGTCTACCTCGGCCTCACGTTCCGCTTCGACGAGGGCCGCCGCAGCCGCGCCTTTGTCACCTGGTACTGCGTGTCGGCCGCCGAGGGCGTCGTCAGCCTGCTGCTGTCCAACTACTCGCCCGTGCTGAGCGTCGGCAAGACGCATCTGATGAAGCGGCTGACGCTGCTGACCGTCATGATTCTCGGCGAGGGCACCGAGTCGCTCGCCAAAAAAATGCTCGTCATTGTCAAGCACAAGCACGCCTGGGACGCCACCACCATTGGCTTCGTGACCGCCGCCGTCGCCACCGTCTACTTTGTCTTTCTCGTCTATTTTGACTGGCTCGGCGCAAAGACGCACCTACCCCCTCTGCGCCGCAACGTCTGGGTCGCGCTGCATTTTCCGTTTCACCTGGCGCTGGTGCTCTTTATGCAAGGATTCACGCAGATGCTCATCTGGGGCAAAATCGCCAAGCAGTTGAAGCGCGCGTTTGACTTTGCCGATCCGACCAACGACGTCGACGTCGTCAGCGGCCACGCCACCACTCTGTCGGTCAGCAGGAGCGTCAATGCCTCGGTGCAGGAATTCATTGGCGATTACCCGTCGCAGCTGGAAAGCACAACCGAGGTCATCAACGGGGCGCTCGGGAATATATCGTCGCTGCCGGACAGCTTCTGGCCGCTGGTTGCTCGAGTGGCCAATGACAAGGACGACATGAGCGCTGCAAACTTGACGGACGCTGAGCTGGACAGTTTTGGAAAGCTCTACAACTCGGGCATCAATCTCGCCGTTTCCATGGCCAATAATGTCTTTCGGTCCTTTAACACTGAGGTGTCTGGTGAGATCGAAGCCAAGAACAAGGCTCTCGAGGGCCAAGATCGCCAGGGCTTCCAATTCAAGCTGCAACAAGACAATTGGAACCGTTACGGCCTTGTGGTGAGTACACACACTTGACAATGGTCTAGCAAAGTAATACCCGACACTGACGTGACAATATGATTAGTTTGCCTACACGTATATTAGTGCCGCATGCACTATTCTCTTTGTCCTCATTCTGAAGCAGCTTACCGACGGGTACATCCCCAAAGGCTGGGGCATGATTCGTCAAATCATCATCTTTTGCCTTGCTCTCGGCACTGGCCTGGCCACTATCGTGTGGTTCAACAGCGAGCTTGTCTTTAACTGGTTACAGACACCTTGGGTCATGCCCACGCTGTGTTTTGTCTGGATGGCCATTGTCATTCTGACGCACGTCAACATTGGCGGCGTAAAGCTCAACTCGAGCCATTTCAAGTGGCGGTCGCGCAAGTAGCGGCTGCAAAACAATTTTTTTAGAAAGTTGATCATTTTAGCAAAGAGATATACCATTGTTTCGTTTTCTTTTTTTGACTCGAGACTATTTCCACACGCGCACTGAAAAGAATGTCGATATTAGCTGCACAAACAAGGTCGCAGTAGCGACTGTGTCGGTTTACCACAGTATCTCTGTCTTGCGTCAAAAAAAAGGGTACGAGCGGAACAAAAGTTCTTGTAGGGGCAATCTTGTAGTGTTGTCTCGCAGCAGGAGTAGAAACTCACTCATCTGTGATGGTAAGTCGTGCTGTTGCACGGAGAAAACTCTTTGAAAGGGCCCGACTCTATGCCGCGCCGATTATGTGCTGGATAAAATGCACGCGGTTGTCGCATATGCTCAATCTTACCAGAAGAGGAATGCTCCGATGCACCTATAGTAAATTTGCAGGCTTATGCCACGAAAAATATCTGCGATAAAACCCAGAGGCTTGTAAGCTACGGGCTTGTGCCAAATAGGCCATAAGAACCCCTCGTTCATTGAACCGTAGATGGAAAGCCTCCCCCGCTCGATCAACGGACAACATATCATGTAATGCTGACTTGGGGGTGTCCGTAGCGATACATCTGCGCTCTCCTGATGATCATCCTTTTACTTTGCTGAGATTATTTTCGAATATTTTGCAATAGCAGCAAAAATACATTATATAAAGTCAATTTCCCCAAATGACCTCTCCTTGCAATTGCGTTGGCCGAGTCCCATCTTACCATCGGTGGTGACAGTCTGCAGAAAGGCGGGGGTCCCGTCGATTTGCTCAATTGTGACTATACGTGAATTTTAAACACTCTGAATGGATCCCATAATCCTGATAAAACCCCCTCACAGACTAGTGTGGACTGATTGGGAGCCTCGATGACATGAAAGACCAGGCTGTGTTATAGGTTACTCCGCAGCGAGCTTGACATATATGCAACTTGTGCGCGCATGAGTATGCGGATGCCGAGTCGGGCTGTCGCGGGCTATCGCGGGGTTACGATTAAGTGGCTTGTCATTATTAAATAAAAGTGAGTCTTGTTATCAATCCATGACCCTATAGTTTTACCGAAAAGAGGCAAAGAGTGCAAATTTTATACTCATGGCCTGATATCAATACGCTACTGGCAGAAGCCTAGTATTAGACCGGCCCAAATTAAGCTATTTCCGAGCTCCATGCGTCAATAATACGCATATAGTTGAGCCTTTTCGGATTCCTTTACCCCGGCACAGAGTTGTTTTCTCCTCATATCAGCGAACCATTTCTCGGCGGTAGCTCGTTCTAGAATTGTCATGCTGGATTTATATCTGCAGCTTACGCTCTGGTAGCCCAATCATCTCTCAGATATCAAATGAATGAGTTGATGGTTCCATGCAAGTTGCAGCGGGACGTCGCTTGCGCCCGATGATGCGCATAGTCGAACGGGAACGACCATAGCTTTGCGGGCTCAAGGCCCCGGAGGAAAAATAGAAGGAATATTTCCTGCCACAGATACATATCTATACACAAAGTCTAATTCATGCGTTTAATACAAGGTCCAAAGTACCGCGATACTGCCGTAGTACCGCGTGTTGAGCTCAAAACAAGGCGCCAGCTCTGCGCTCAATGATTCGTTTATCCTCTGTGGCTTTGGTAGCAACTCAAATGGCGCTTTCAAGATTATAGTACTGTGATGTTATACTTTGACTGTATTAAAAAAAAAGCTCTTTTCGTGCAAAGCTAGAATACAATCCCCGCTCTCCCGCATTCGGCAGCAGGCTGTAAATTTAGTTATGCCGGAGCTCGTAAAGAAGCCGGTTCGATCCTACGCCAGAGCCGAAGAAGGCGCCATATCAGACTATCTGGAAGGCCAATACTTTTGTATAGTAATCAATATTGGCTGTCTAGTTTTGAACAGTTGTATCCAATTGATTCAAGCTGAGAATGGCCATTGCGACTTTAATGTACAGAACATGTCCAACGTTCTCGCACAACATTTAAGAAAGCCACATGCTGCAAGTCTTGCATCTTTTCAAGGTTTTGGAACAATCCTTTGACCACGAGTAAGCCGAATTTTTTGTCTGGGGCGAAATCCTTCGGTCTAGACAACGGCACCCAACGCATTAGGCAGCGGCCGAGGAAAGTATCCGCCTTGCCTGCATGAGGAACTGACTGAAAAGACGCATCATATTGGCATAAAATAACCGACAGCTGTTGAAGTATTTAAACTGGCTCACCATCCTCCTGTTCACTCACGTCCATCCAAAGTCATTATCTTGAAAAATTCGCTCCCGGTTCAACTCGACTCCCTCCAATTTTCATCATGTACTTTGCCCAGACCCTCGCCATTGTCGCCCTTGCCCTCTTCGGCATCGAGGCTTGCAAAACCGGAGAGTTTAGCTGCGGTAACCGGGGTGGTGCTCCCGGTCCGGATGGTGCCATCTATGTCTGCAACGCGTCTGGCCGCTGGCAGTTTAGCGCCCAGTGTGGTGGCCGTACCTGCTGCCAGGGCGGTGGCAGCAACGTCCACTGTGTCTGCTAGATGTGTAAGTATCATCACGCTGTCTTTCTTTTTTTTCTTCTTTCGAGTTGATTCTTACTCGGAGTAGTTTATGCAAAGCAAGTCAGCCAGAGTCAGGTGGGACGCACACACACAAGTCTGGTACGAATAGCATTTGGCCTGCAATATAATTATGCCCCTCCTCTGATGAGTCGTTCAACGTGTTCAGCTGTGCTACATGAATAAGTTTCGCTAGCAATACTCTTTATACTACAATTTTTAAAGAGACAAGGCACCATAAAACGTATCATTAGTTTTCAGTTCCCAATCAGGACATATGCCCAAAGTCGCCTCTGTCAGCGCGCAGCTTATCATATCGGAGCACTGCGCCAAGCAAGACACTTGCTCCAAGTGCACTACTTGAATTAGCCACTTATTCATATATATCGCAATAGCACAAGAAACAACAGTCTAGTTTAGGGACAGCACTCACCAATCTTCTGCAGAGCAAAACTCTGTCGGATTATGGCTGATGCCATCTCGCGTCGGTGTAAAGATCATGCTCGTCGGGCATCGCAAGCTCGTATAGCAGCTGTCATGGCCCGCACCGCTTATCATGCGCTTCCACAGCTGCTGCTTGGTCTCGGCTCCAGGTAATTTTGCACAAACCGCCGCCGCGCTGTCCTCTACAGCAGATATGCAGTCCGGGTGAAACACTACCGCCGGGCTGTCGACGAGGAGCTTCCAGTCCACTTGGCAGCCCTTTTCAGTGTCTTGCGCGGCTGACTGGAAAGCAGCCTTGCACTCGTCGACCATCTTTGCCAGCACTTGATCGCTCACGTGTCGTAAATCCAGCGTAAAAGTTGCGGTATGCGCCATGGTGTTGACGGTTCCGGGCTCGGCGTTGAAGATGCCCGTCGTTGCCAGGCCGTCGTGGGCTTTGGCGACGGCGTTGGCGGCGACAATCATTTTGGCAGCCACAAGAACGGAATCTTTGCGGGCGTAGAGCGGTGTAGTCCCGGCATGGCTATCTCTGCCACGGACGGTAATGCTGAACCATTTAAAGGCTTGGACACCTGAGAACTTGGCATTTAGTGGTGGTTCTTTGGTTTCGGCTTCGTCATACGTACCTTGGACGACACCAATCTTGCGGCCCTCGTCTTCCAGGATTGGGCCCTGCTCGATATGTAGCTCGAAATGGGCCGCAAAAGGGTTCGACTTGTAGGATGCATGTGCCTGACCACGATATCCAATCCTTTCCAGCTCCTGCAGCATCGTTTTGGCTTCGCCTTTGTGCGGAGTGACCTCTTCCAGATTCCAGGCATCCTCAATGGGCACAGCACCAGCCCAGACGCCCGACGAGACGGCCATCTTTGGGAAGCGAGCACCTTCTTCGCTATGAAATATTGGGCATATGTTCTCAAACGAGGAAAAGAAAAGGCAGAGGGGACTTACTTGGTCCAGTTGACAACCCCGATACTTCCCTCGGTTTCGATTTTATTCTCTTCCAAGACTTGCAGAACCTCGAGTCCCGCCAGTACACCTAGGATGCCGTCATAACGACCGCCGGTTGGTTGAGTATCTAGATGTGAGCCCATCATGATGGGAGGCGCGTCCGGATTTTTGCCGCTTCGAATGGCAAACAGATTGCCCATCTCGTCAATCGAGGTGCTACAACCAAGTGACTTTGCTCTGCAGAGAAACCAGTCCCGGACGGCCTTGTCCGAATCGTCCAAGCTGAGTCTAGCCATGCCAGTCTCCGTAGACTGTCTATTCATTCGTAAATATTAAAATGTTACCTGACGGATAATTTGGAATTCGGGCCCAACTTACTTTCCGTAGCGATGGTCTGCACCGTACTGGCAGCTCTCATGAAGAGCAGACGCTAGCCGGTCGGCATTGACACTCAGGGTCAGCGGCTCTGGTTCTTGCACTGAAGGCATGATTGTAGGCAACGGTCAAGGCGGAAGATGACTTAATCTCATGATACTATTGAGTTTCTCGCCGAAGCAAGGGAGATTTAAATAGTTCCGACTCAGTGGCTTTCCGACCGGCCGACGGCCAAGTGTGGGGGTGGGGTCAGCAGCAAGCCAAGACCACGGCCGACGGCGGACAACTAAACAAGTTCTAAACTTGGGGTCACATTCTGATTGGCGATTGGCGATTGGCAATACGAATGGAGATTATCTGCCGACGGCATCCAAAAACGTGGGGTTCGGGCCATGACAGAAGGGTGCATAAATACCGAGTATAAACCGTCGGACAACACATCCCAATATCAGCGCATGCTTTATTTTACCTTTGACCGTTTGGAGCAACACAACTAAAACCCCCAAAGACATGCTATACCTTTGAAACATGACAATCTCTGAAAAAGACCTTGACTCGGGCGACAATGCCTCGACAGGAATGGGCGTGTCTGCCCAGATTGACAAGGAGTCAGAGAGGAGGGTGCTGTCCAAATTTGACTGGTTTGTGATGCCGCAAATGTCAATTCTTGTTCTCTTTGCCTATTTAGATAGAACCAACATTGGTACGTGCAAATCTTTTTTTTTTTTTTTTTTTTCATTTCTTTATAGTTTTCTTCTTCTTTTCTTTACTCTTTTATAATAATCTCTGCTAACTTTACAAGGAAACGCTCGAGTCTTTGGCTTCGAAGAGAGCACCGGCATGTCAGGTACCGACTTCAACAACATTTCCATGTTCTTCTACATTACCTACATCATCTTTGAAACGCCCTGGGTCATGGCCGTGCGCCGCTTCGGCCCCGGCCGCGTGCTGGCCGTCGCCATCATCTGCTGGAGCGCCGTCACCCTCGGCACGGGCTTCGCGCACAACTACCGCCAAGTCGTTGCGTGCCGCGTGCTCCTCGGCGCTTTCGAAGCCGGTCTCTTCCCGGCCCTGACCTTTGTCATTTCGGGCATTTACCCCGCGGCCTCGCAGGGGAAGCGCATCGCCGTCTTGTACATTTCCATTGCGCTGTCGGGGGCCCTCGGCGGGCTGATTGCCTATGGCATCCAGTCCATGGGCGAGCAGCGCGGCCTGGCGGCTTGGAGGTGGCTGTTCATCATTGAGGGCGCCGTCTCGTTTGCCATTGGGGCCCTCTGCTGGGTCAGCCTCCCCGGGACGCCCGAGACGGCGTGGTTTCTGAACGAGGCCGAGAGAAACACCATGGCGCTTTTGAAAGCGCGAGATCATCCATACGAGGAGGCTACGGTCAAGTTCTCCTGGAAGCAAGTCGGCTTGGCTGTTTCCGACCCGCTGGTGTGGCTGGCATCTATTGCATTGTTCTGCTCGTCGATTGCCATGTTTGGCTTTAGCACCTTTTTGCCCACGCTACTCAAGGGCATGCAGTACGTGAATTTCTCCCCGTTGGTCTTGATACAAAACGCTAAATTGCTTAGATATACCTCACTGCAGGCAAACTATCTCAGTATACCAGTCTATGTTTTGGCATCCATAGGCACCGGTCTCACGACTTACATCTCTGACCGCATCGGCCGTCGCGCGATATGTCTGATTCACTCGCCCATTCTAGTCATGATAGGATATGCGGTTGGTATCGGCTCAAGCAATAAGTCGGCTGGTTATTTCGGCATGTTTATCGTGGGCGCCGGCGTTTACTCATACAATACTGTCCTTTTAACGCAAGTGGGACTTCTTCCAAACATGAATTATTTTCTACTCGCTAACAAAGCAGCAGGTGGGTGTCGAATAATATTCACCCCGATTACAAGCGATCAGTTGCTATCGCCATGGTAGTCTCGATTGGCAACGCAGCAGGCTTGGCTGCGTCTCAAATTTATCCAATCGGGGATGCACCTCGCTATCTTGTCGGAAACTCGGTATCGCTTGGCTTTGAATCGCTCGCACTAGCTTGCGTGGCTCTTATCTACATGCTGTTACGATACCGGACCGGACAGAAGAAGAAGCTAATGAGCCAGGGCATAGAGAGCAACGGTAAAGAGGGAGACCAGAGCCTAGACTTTGACTATGTAATGTAATGTGACCAGCGAGATATTCAAGAATAATTTATTTGAGTGAAACTCATCTTTAATCTTGTAGCGTGTGTTTGTGTATGTACTTTCTTTTTTACTATCGTATCTCTCATTCAAATCTCCCCTTGGTAGGTTCGCACGCGGGGCTCGCCGGCGCCGACTCCGGACCGCCACTTTCAGCCGGTCAGTCACGTTTGTTCCGCAGTGGCGCAGATATCAAGCTGCACCAAGTAATTCGTAATAACTTGCACTGACAAATTATCAATGACACCGCCGGAAACATCATCGTCGTCTTTTGTAAAGACTAGCCGCCATGCGGCTGCCGGCAGCAGGCGATACCGATCCAAGGCCCAACGGCCATGCGACCTCTGCCGGGCGCGCAAGGCTCTGTGTAATATTCCCGACCCAACAAGACCCTGCCAGTTGTGCGATCGCACAGGAAGACCGTGTACCTTTCTAGCTGGAACCAGAAGCAGACCGATGCGCTCCAGCCCAAGTAGTCACTCTGCCGATGGCGCGGACAGTTTGGCAGGTCAAGAGCACTACACTGCTTCAGTCTCGCAACGCACACACAGTCTAGTGGACTCTACACCTTCTTTTGAGCAGTCGATTGGGGGCATGATACCAACACAGTGGTCTCTAGATCTGGAACAACTGGGGCAGACTGAGACATTCATGCAAGACATTCCTAGCTTTTGGTCTCTTTCGTACCATGACGCTTCCGTGGCTGATGTTGCCGACATTGTTGAACCCGGCATTGGGAATGAGGCTCCCTCACGGTCCCAAACACAGACAACTCTCAATAGGCACGATCGCTCTACGTCTTTTATTGGCTATTCAAACGAGTCCGATCCGTTTCTGCTGGAGCACTACCCATACAGCGCCTCTGACGAACTCGACTTTTTCATGGTCACATATCGTCGCCCCTCGCTTCAAGGGGTTTCCGTCGGTCACCCACCAATTCACTTTTTACAGTCAAAGCCGCAAGCAGCACTGCAGAACCAAGAAGCAATGGGCGCCTGCCTTGCCCTCAAAAACGAACGAGATGTGCTGAATGACCTCGTCAGTGTTGAAATGGGCGTGGCGTTGCTGCGACTGTAAGCCATTCTCAATCTCCTTTTGTAACTGTGACAAAGCGCGCGCGCGCGCTAGCTAAAACATGCCGTAGCTACCTCCGTTTTATATTCCAAAATCTTCCCATTGTGTCAGTAGCAAAGCTTCAAGAAGACGAAGAAGAATTTATTCGTTCCACTTCGCCTGGCGTTTTGGCCGGCATGTTTGCTCTCGCGCTGCCATTCACCTCCTGGGACGAGCAGCTTTGTCTCGACAGCGCATACTCGAAGCCAGACACGAGCAAGCTCTGGCAGATTTCGTATTGCTGCTTGCAGAAGGGGCTGCACTTTCCGAGTCTTTCTACGATTCAGACGTGCCTGCTGCTGCTAAACACGACCACGTTTGACCCAGTGGCCGTCGAAACTCCCTTTGCCTGGTCGTTGGCTTGTTCGGTGCTCGCTATGGCGCAGTCGTTGGGACTTCACGTTGAGCCGAGCCGGTGGAAAATTCCAGAAGACGAGGTTCGGTTACGCCGACGGCTCTGGTGGACCGTCGTCGTTGAGCATAGCTGGCGGGCTGTCACGCACGGCCGATCGACCATGCTGCGCGATGACGACTGCAATGTTGCGCCGATATCATATGCGGATTTTGCAGGGACTGACAACCCTTCCAACGCGGCAGATTATTTCATCAGCTTCTGCTTGCTTACCAATCTTGTCAACGAGATATGCCGCAACTTTTTGTGAGTCGCTCGGGACCAGACCATATAGTAGTAGCACCACTAACATCGGCGGCGGCAGCACACTCCGAGCTGTTTCTCGGATTCAAAATCTCACAGACATCTTGGATCGTGCAAAACCGTTGCAGCGCTCCCTCTACACCTGGTTAGAATCTCTGCCGCAGTCTCTCCGTCTAGATCAGGTACCCGACACGACCGAAGAGATTCCCGACAGTCGCGCATCTCTGCACATTGCCTACTTTACCGCACACGTACTACTTTACAGAGCACTCTTGCGTCCAATCGTTGGTCAGAATTTTGTTGTTGTGAATGATGATGAGACTGCCCATCAGGTTCTCCAAGAGGCTCGCGATTTCATGACAACCTTGATTGGCGTGGTGCGAAACTTGCATCTCAAATACATATCTGCGTTTTGGCCAGCATATACTCGACACTGCTTTTGCTTTCCTGGTCTCTTTTGCTACCTGCTCTGCTTTCAGAAACAGTCGGCGCATCTGTTGCCGAGCGACAAAGAATTGTTTGCCACGTGGCGAAATGTGTTGCGAGCAAGAGTTGGGTCGTGGCCGTTGCTGCGTTTTGCCGTTGTAAAGGTGGACGCTGTATTTTGGAAGAAGATGGACCACACGAGTAGAAAGTAGAACAATGAGCTGCTGCATACCCAATAGCACTCGCTTAAAGACCTTGAAATCGTTCACTCAGGCTAGCCAACAACTTGTTGGTCGAGAACAATAAATCGAGCTGGGCATATATCATGGGCTGCCGGGTACTTCACTGTTTTGAACCTTGAAAATTTCTCTGCGCTATTGAGAGGCCTTCATAACCTTTAGCTAATATATTTCGAGCTTGTGCAGCAGAAAGTCATGCTCTTGGAAGCTCAAGGGGCTGGGTCACGATACGTATCGTCAGGAATTGTAGTGTTGCTGTTGGTTGATTGAACTATCTAGGCAGATGCCCCAGGTCACCGTGGTTCAGGAAATACAACAAACGGTAAAGAGTCTATAGGACACAAATACTTTAGAGATCTGGGGGATCATGACTATCAGGATTCATGTAGTATGAAAAGTACAAGCAGCTTGTCAAAGAAGGCCATAATCTCCGCCAGGATACCATCATGGAGCAGGTGTTCGCGGCCGTTTCATCCCGACTCGCCCCTCCTCCCGCTTAATCGGCCACCTCTGGCAACAAAGGCTCCCGGGGGCGAGCACGAGTACTGAATCATTATCATGCTGCACGGCAACACAACTTGGCATTTCGACGAAACTACAAGGTTCTTCCGCCAACGGCTTCGTCGGGTCTTATTTACTTCACGCTGTGCAACCTCTGCAACCTCCTTGGATGGTGGGCTCTCATTGGTCAGAACTGCCTTAAACCCCATTTTTCTGTAATCAGTGGTTGAAGTGCTCCGTACTGCGCTGCGTTGTACACGCTCACGCTGCACTGCACTGCACAGGCGGCATTGAACGGTTTGAAAAGTAAAGGGTGAGTAATCTGAATGATAAAAATGGAAAGCACTCATTGTCAACTTTCTTGCTCTGAATATCTTTTTTCCTAATTTGTCAATCAAGCTGCGAACTCAAGCTGTGCTGTTGGTGGCTACATACCCTGCCAGGTACTGGCGTTGCTCAGGGCAACCGGGGCCACTCTCATTGGTCATGGCTCAACAACGCCAAAATACTGCCGCTCTTCCCATCTTCTACATTCTTTTTATTTCACAGGCGCGCCGACTCGACCGAAATCTACTGCTGCAGTCTTGAGTATGCAGCAGTATAGCGCGTGAAAATTGGCTTTGAACCCGATAATTAGCTATTCGCTTAACGATATCACCCGGAGAACGTCAACAACATCCGACAGAACGCGTTCTTGAAGCTCCGCGATTGCTACAATACCAACGGCGTCCTTTGCTCTTTTGCCATGGCGACTGCGTCTCCAACTCCAATGGCCGGCGCGCCAATTCGAAGAGCCTCACAACGTCAACTCCGAAGACCTCCACCGAGAACCACCGCGACGCGGAGCGAAGCACAGGCTGCCCCGGCAGTTCAATCCAAGCTCCAATCGAATCAGTACGAGGATGACAGCTCCGAGGACGAAATCCCCATGCCTATGAAGCTGAGTGCTCTCACCAAAGCACTACTTGATGACGGTGGTGACCGGGAGGCGGCTTCAAATGCCCGAGCACCGCCCTCGCCGCCCCGAACGCGTCGCCAAGCAAGTGTAGCAGCATCTGGCCCTGCTGCTGCCACTCGACGAAGCACCAGAGCTGGCAACTCCCAGACCCATGATGCCCTCCGGAACTCGAGTCCATTACGTGAACAGAGCCCTGCAAGGAAAAGAGTGGTTCGACTGAGCAACACACCTCAAAGTCTCAATCAAATGGGCAGCTCCACATCGAAGCGACGATCTACGTCTGACTCCCAGTCCCAAGTCGCCGCCAGACCTGAACCTGGCTCTCGCAAAAGCAGTACTGATGGAATGCAGCATGAGCCACAACCCGATACAAACGTCAACACCCCTTCCCATGGGCGAGTTGTTCGCATCGCCACGGGCTCGTCTGGTAATCGCAGCCGCCTTGGTTCATCTGGGCCCTCATCCGGTCACTCGAATCTTGAACGATCAGCTATGGACCGTTCCGCCGTGGAGATGGAAGCTGAGCCCGCGGAAGCCCCCGACACAGCTGTCCGCAACGCAGCTATTGGCAGCACCAGCGTGTCTCGCTACCCCTCAACAAGAAACAGAGAGGACAACCCAAACCTCCAGAACTCGATGCGAGTTAAGCGTGTCGGCAAGCTATCTGGCAGCTTTCTGAGTGGGCCTGCTCGTCGCGGTCGCCGTCGGCAAAGTGAGGAAGAGGGAGGTTTTGGCGAAATGGGCTCGCAAGAGCCTGAATGTCAGGCTCCGGAAGAACATGGACAAGGCCCTTATTACCCCGACTTCAACTCCGGTAGCCCTATTAGTGGGGGTGCTGTACGTGGCAACCACCGTCACAATGGCTCCAAGGTGGAAATCCGTGCCGACTTTGCCAACGCATCACCCCAACCCCAGCAGAGCCGTGCCCGTGACCCCGAACCTTCCCGTATAGGAGACATCGGGCACCTTGTCTCTGTTGGTCGCCTTCAGATGCCTGCTACCAATGACAAGGAAAACGAAATTCCTTTCCACCAGAAATGGGGCAAGTCGTCTATTGGAGTAGACAAGGCAGCCATTGCACCGCCTCGAATCGATATTGCTATTGAAAGAGCCGCGTCACCCGATCGCAAACCCCTCACAGCCATCGCTCGCAATACTACGCCGCATCGAGCAGCACCGGCCCCGCCGCCCAAGATGTCTGTCCTCGAGGCTGCCACCTCTACTGCTGGCGCCGCTGTGACCACTCAGACGAAGCAGCGTCGAAACATTCTCAAGGTTAATAACAAAGTATATACCCGCCTTGAATGTCTCGGACGCGGTGGAAGCGGAAAAGTCTACCGGGTTATGGCAGAGAATGGCACCATGATGGCCCTGAAGCGGGTCTCACTTGAAAATGCGGATGAGTCGACCATCAGTGGCTACCTCGGCGAGATTGACTTGCTGAAAAAGCTTACTGGCGTCGATCGTGTCGTCAACTTGTTTGACTGGGAAATGAACCATGAGAAGCAAATGCTGAGCTTGGTCATGGAGATGGGCGAGAGAGCTCTGGACAAAGTCTTGCAGACCCATCAGTCTGCCGAGTCTGCTAGACTCGACCCTGTCTTCATTCGCTTTTACTGGAAGGAGATGCTCGAATGTGTGCTGTCGGTGCACAACCACGACATTGTCCACTCCGACCTGAAGCCTGCAAATTTTGTTCTTGTGCAGGGCCGCCTAAAGCTCATTGATTTCGGCATTGCCAATGCTATTCAGACCGACGAAACTGTCAACGTCCATCGTGAAACACAGATCGGCACACCCAACTACATGTCGCCCGAGTCGCTCATGGATTCCAACAGCGCCCGTGGTCCGCGTGTTCCTGGCCGCCCCAAGTTGATGAAGCTTGGCAAATCCAGCGATGTTTGGTCACTTGGATGCATTCTCTACCAGATGGTCTATGGCGTGCCACCTTTTGGTCACATTGTCAACCCTATGGCTCGTTGCCAGGCCATTATCAACTGGGATCACACCATCGAGTTTCCAACTCGCGCCACTGGTGGCCTGCTTGTGCCGCCCTCTTTGATTCGAACAATGAGACGCTGCCTCATCCGCGAGCAGCACATGCGTCCTACATGCGAAGAACTTCTTCACTACTCTGATCCCTTTCTCTACCCCGCCGAGCTCAGCGAAAAGGCTCTCCCTATTGATGAGGAGCTTCTTGGACGAATCATCCAAAGCGTTGCCACCCGCTGCCGTGAGCGTATGCCAACCGAGGCGGAAGCTTCTAGTGTTTGGCCCCAAGCATACTGGGCCAGTATTCGCAAAGCAATGGCTGGAAGAATGTAACTTGACGGACCAACAACTACAGCCTTGAGATTGAATGAATTGGGAACAATAATTATTCTTGGACGGTGTTTTCATGGTTACTGCTTCTTTTTATTGTCGTGGACGTTTGTACTTTTTTCTGTATACCAGCGCGCGTACAGCACGACGGTCTATTTCAGCCTGGAGTTGGGCGCTTTCTTCTTTCAACCGCACTCGTTTATACTATACCATTTCTTTTGGCGATGACTTTTGCACAAAATGATGAATCAACTGTTTCTCGTCTATACAACTCAAACGAATAGAATGGTAGACTGCTTCATCTTCACAAGTCAAACACCTAGAATGATACGTTGTTCCATCTTTACATGCTTGCAATTGTTATACACTCAACTCTAAAACCTATTCTGTAATGGTACAACCGGGTATCGCCGGGTAAAAGGGCACGCCAATGCCTTTCGTTCATTAGTTTTCGATGTCTTCGGCAGTCTTGATCGTCAGGTCGGATATTCTCAGGATGGTATATCGGTGCTTGCTCGTGGCCCGGCGTGCACGACGCGTCCTCCTCTTCTTCTTAATCTTGATGCGCAGGGGTTCCGATTCGGTGCCCAGCACCGTCGCGCGGCACTCGAACACGTTTTCGTCAATGTGCGGCGCGCCCTTCATGGTGTAGTCGCGGCTACCGAGGACGCTGGCGCGGTTCAGGCGCAGCACATCACCCGGCAAGACGCCGGGCATGCGGAACGGTAGGCGGATCTGGTCGCCTTCCTGGACGAGGTAGGGAAACCCGTGGATGTGGACGGTGATGTAGTGGCCCGGCTGGGCGGCGAGAAAGGGAAGGAGGTTCTTGACCGAGTCGTCGATGGGCTTGGGGGGCGGCAGAGGATGGCTCTTCTTTAGAGCAATAGGCCGCGCCTGGTTGCTGGTCGGGTTGGCCGCATTCTTGATGTGCGCTGTCGGAATGGGCTCGACAATCGGGGGTGTGGTGTTAAAGGTGCGCGCGGACGGGACGATTGAGGCGGCAGGTTTGGCGAACAGGCGCTGCGAAGATAGCCGGAGCTCCGAGACGGAACGGAGGAGTGCCCGGCTCATGGTGATGTTGTGCGGCTCCCGGCTTGGAGATGCGCTGCACTGAGGACTGCGGCAGGGTGGTTTCGGTATGCAACGCGAGCTAAAAAGTTATAAATAGGGATACTTGGTGGTAAATAGCTTGCGATGGAGCGTAGGTAGGTAGCTCGAGCGGATCAGTGTAGCTCCGGACTCCGTGAACTCGCATCGAATTTTTGGCTGGCCAGTGTTCCTAGACTCCTAGCCACCGACATTGAGTCAAGTGGATCCGCCCGCCACTGTGCCTCCAACTTTTTTTGCCCATCAACTCTCCACTCTGAATTTTCAAAAAGTCCAGGCTGTAGCGCTCAGCAACCATTGATCAGTAACAATTTTCGCGCAATACCGTCAATATGGTATGTTTTGCCACTATATCAGACCGAGACACAGAAAAAGATCTTACTGACACCCGCGGAATAATAGCCTCAGAATGAGTACATGGAGAGATGGCGCAAGCTGCACGGCCGCCGTCTCGACCACGAGGAGCGTCTGCGCAAGAAGACGGCCCGTGAGGGACATAAGGCCTCGCAGGACGCGCAGAACCTGCGCGGTCTCCGGGCCAAGCTGTACCAGAAGAAGCGGCACCACGAAAAGATTCAGATGAAGAAGCAGATCAAGGCCCACGAGGAGCGCAACGTCAAGACGGCCGACGAAAAGGAGCCCTCGACGCCCATGCCCGCCTACCTGCTGGACCGCACGAACCCGCAGAGCGCAAAGGCCCTCAGCAGCGCCATCAAGAACAAGCGCGCCGAAAAGGCGGCCAAGTTTAGCGTGCCGCTGCCCAAGGTGCGCGGCATCAGCGAGGAGGAAATGTTCAAGGTGGTCAAGACGGGCAAGAAGATTCAGCAGCGCGCGTGGAAGCGCATGGTCACCAAGCCCACGTTTGTCGGCCCGGACTTTACGCGCCGCAACCCCAAGTTTGAGCGCTTCATCCGCCCGATGGGTCTGCGTTACAAAAAGGCAAACGTGACGCACCCGGAGCTGGGCGTCACCGTGCAGCTCCCCATCATCTCCGTCAAGAAGAACCCGCAGAACCCCATGTACACGCAGCTGGGCGTCTTGACCAAGGGTACCGTCATTGAGGTCAATGTCAGCGAGCTCGGCATCGTCACCGCCGGTGGCAAGGTTGTCTGGGGTCGCTATGCCCAGGTAACCAACAATCCCGAGAATGAGGGCTGCATCAACAGCGTCCTACTGGTGTAATTTGCAAAAAAAAAAAAAAAAAAAGAAAAAAAAAAGGAAAAAAAAAGGATTGAAAACCATGGCGGAGGAACCGATGGGATAGTTGATTCATTTTGATTGCATGTATAGGCGTTTAGGTGTTTGCTTAGGCTGATTCAAAGACAGGCCGTAAAATGACTATAGATCATGAACTAAAATACCTAAAATAAATACTTTCAAACCCTTTCTGCATTACGGATCTAGGATATCTGCAAAGCTAGCTATTGGACCATTTGTACCCAAGGACCACTTATTAGGATACGGCGTGGCCGGTCAGAAAAAGGTCCCTGAATCACAACGGAGAAACATTTCTGAAAGAGCAAGAGAGCAGCACAGATCAATATAACCATAGCAAACTGTAGAAAGCATAAAAAGCATGGAAATTGCTTGAAGTTGAATAAGGGAGCTGAAGAAAATCAGAAACTCTTCGAGAAAATCAAAAGAATAGGCTCTTCCAATCAGACGACACAATGAAAGAAGCAAGAAGTCTCCTAGATTGGTACCTGAGGCGGGGCAGGTCGAGGTGGGGTTTGGTGTCGCCCAGCGTCAGGCGGTGACTTTGATAAATTATTTTCTGCCCGCAAACATAACATAGCAAGCCTTCTGCATCAACACCCCGCCGCCGCACCGTTGTGTCCCGTTGAGATTTTTCTTTTGAGACGTTGTGTTTGACTTTGCTGTGCCAAATTTTCTGTACTTGAGACTTTGTGAATTCCTCTCCCCAGACCCGCCACAATGAGCTCCGACAAGATGGAAGTCGAGCTCGCCGAGCAGAGCCTGAAGACTATGGAGCATAGCGAGCAACATTATTTCAAGAGGTACGTTGACTCTGGTTACGACAATCGGAGAAACAGATTCTAACGCATGCATGCAGCTACGATCACCATGGTATGATTTGTCGCTGAAAATGCTGTGCAACGACCTTCCTGCTAACCCGCCTTGCGCACAAACAGGCATCCACGAGGAGATGCTGGTATGTAGCCCTGCCTCTGTCCTACCACGAAAGTCAAAAGCAACGTCTGACAATCTTTGCAGAAGGACGAAGTCCGCACCCGATCTTACATGAACTCCATCATGCAGAACAAGCACCTGTTTAAGGACAAGGTCGTTCTCGATGTTGGCTGCGGCACCGCCATTCTCTCCATGTGAGCTCTCGCTGAAAGCTGTTACCGTCTCTGCGCGCCGCCGCGTACTAATAACTCGGCGCAGGTTCGCGGCCAAGGCTGGCGCCAAGCACGTTATTGGCGTCGACATGTCAACCATCATCTTCAAGGCCCGCGAGATTGTCGCCGCCAACGGCCTGTCCGACAAGATCACCCTCATCCAGGGCAAGATGGAGGAGATTCAGCTGCCCTTCCCCAAGGTGGACATTATCATTTCCGAGTGGATGGGGTACTTCCTCCTCTACGAATCCATGCTGGACACTGTCCTCTATGCCCGTGACACCTATCTCGAGAAGGACGGCCTCATCTTCCCCGACAAGGCCACCATCTTCTTTGCCGGCATCGAAGATGGCGACTACAAGGAAGAAAAGATTGGATGTAAGCTACATGTACCCTTCCATTTCCTGCGCGTGTGAACCCAAGTCTAATGAAGTAGTCTGGGACAATGTCTATGGCTTCGACTACACTGCCATGAAGAAAACGGCGCTCTCCGAGCCCCTCGTCGACACCGTCGACATTAAGACCGTCGTCACCGACCCCACCGCCGTTCTCACCCTGGACCTGTACACTTGCACCGTCGCCGACCTCGCCTTTGAGTCGGCTTTTAACCTCACTGTCAAGCGCGATGACTTCATCCACGCCCTCGTCTCGTGGTTCGACATTGACTTTACCGCCTGCCACAAGCCCATCCGCTTCTCCACCGGCCCGCATACAAAGTACACCCACTGGAAGCAGACCGTCTTCTACCTCAAGGACGTCCTCACCGCCCAGGAGGGCGAAGAGATTCAGTGCAACGTCAAGGTCAAGCCCAACTCCAAGAACCGTCGCGATCTCGACATTGACCTTGCGTACAACTTCCAAAGCAGCGACAGCAACCGCTCCGCCCAGGCTGTGTGCGACTACCGCATGAGCTGAGTGTAGCTGTCGAGGGAAATGATTTTGGTTTACGAAAATTATGCATCATGTTCGGTTTCAAAACAAAAAATTGAGGGATTCTTATATTGCTGCGACCCCATTCCGAATAAGCGCGGAGTGGCCGTGGTTCGCAGCACGGGAAACATCAGAGGGTAGAAAACTAGAGGCGCATGGATGATGATTTTTTATTATTTACTATTATATCTTTGGGATGCAATCGAGCACAACAGAGGCCACGTGTGGCATGAAACGAAATTTAGAGTGCGAATTTGCTTGAGCAGTTTCCATCCACACAGATGCGTTTTCGTCGTGCATCTGTTTCACGAATTGTCGCCCCAAATCTCTGCAATGCTCTGGCTGAGGTTTCTGCTAAACTTTTTCTTACCTACGAGATGGCCTAGCTCGGCAAAGACCATGTCAGCTTTCCGCTTTTTGCCGGCCTCGCCCGTGCCGCAGCGGCGATACGCGTCGACAAGCTCGTAGGGCGTCTTCCACCTGCGCTGAATCTCGAGAGCGCGCTCGCCCGTCACGCGCCGCGTCGTCATGAGCATCTTGAGATAGACGTCCTTGAGCGTCATGGTTTCCGACTTGCTTGCCAGCGACGCAAAGGCCGAATACGTAATGTAGTAGCTGACCTCGGGTTCCGTTTCCCGCAGGTGCGTGAGGAGGGGCATGTAGTTTTGCGCCGTGAGGACTTTGGTGGGAATAATGTGCAGCGCTTTGCGTTCGTATTTTGACTTGAGCATTTGCGTCATCCGCGCAAGATATTTGATGGTGTCGTCCATTTTCGCCGTGCGCTTCACAAAGTACCCATTCACGACCTGCGTCGACGCAATGGCCGACTCCACGGCCTCTTCGTAGCGGCTGTACGAAGCAGAGTCCATAGCAATCTCCTCGATGATATACACGACGCGCGTGGCGCCGGACCGTTTCAGCCGAAACTTTTGCTCGTGAAACCGGCCGTCCTTGATGCTGCCAATCAAGTCGTCGAGGCGCTTTCTCTCCACGATCCAGTCGAGGACAATCTCGTCGCCTTCGGCGCCGTGACGGGCCAGGAGCGTCGGATCGTTGCATTTGGCGATCCACTGGGCGTCACCAACCTCGAGGCTGCGCATAATGGCCTTGACGCCCTGCTTGGCGAGCTCCTCCTGCATGTAGTCGCGATCCGTCTTGGCGCGGACTTCGCGCACGTCGAGAAGCAAATGAACTGAAAATGAGCCAGGCGCAAGCCGGACGGGCGAGAACTCGGGAATGGAGCTATCGTCGGCTGCTTGCGGGCCATCTGCCACTGTATCACGCACGAGCCGTTGAGCTTCAGATATGATGGCGAGCTCGGGCGAAAGTGACGGTGTTCGCTCTGCAGGAGGTGGCAGCACTGGAGCATTTCTTGTGATGCCGCTGCTTTCGGCTGCATTGGTCTGCATCCCATTTGCTATTTTAATTCGTTTCGCGACTTCCCAGCCCTCATCCGTCAGTGCATAGCGTCGAAGTGGGCGACCTCGCTCATACACCATTTCCTTCTGCAGCAACGTCTTCATGGAGCTCCAAGCGGTATAGAATTTGGTAGGATCACTGGGAGCACTAAATGACGCGTCGCAATGCGGCTGTGCAATTTCAATGAGCTCCGCCTTGGTGAGGCCCGTCGAGTCGTCCTCTGAGAGGGTAGCGAGCGCAATGATTAGCGCATACGGCCCTGAACGAAGCGTCGGCACGTATGCCTTTGGTTGACGCTTCTTCTTGGGTTTATCGCCACCCTGTGCTGAATCACCTTCTGCCTCTTGCGCTCGCTGTTTCCGTATCCGCGGATGTTCCGGCATTGGCAGTCCATTCTCTTGACAATGCTTCTTGAGGTTTTCCTCCAGCCGCTCGCACAGCTTTGGGCCGAAACCCTTGAGCTGTTGAAGCTCAAAGGGATGCTGAAAGGTGAGGGGGCATGCTTTGAGAGCGTCGTAAGCGCGTTTATATGTCGTAATCCCTTTTGAGTTGCGCTCCTTGGCTAGATCGAGCCATTCTTTGACCCAGCCGAGGAGCTGGGGATTTGCACAGTCCTCATCCATGGTGTTGACGTGTGTGCGGAGCTAATTTATAGCAGAAAGCAAGTTCATCTTAATTGTGCTGCAGTCACTGATAAGCAAGGGTTCGCCTTCCTTGTCGAAAGTGGCGTAGCGGCCAGCGCGACCACGGCCATGGATGATGCTTGTGGAAGGACGCGGTGGACATTTCAGTGAGTTACGCCAAGTTGGCGCGCATGCACGTGCGCAACGATCCATGTCCAAATAACTAACTTACTCACAACGCAGTTGAAACAACCATCGTTGACGCTCTTTCTAATAAATTAAATTGATGGTGTTGAACGTTGTAAGAGTTTTATACTGTTCCTAAAAGAGTCTCTGTACTTTTTTTTCCTTAAGTTCTCAGTGCCTCGCACTGTTTCTCCGGTACTGTCTTACTCCTGAGACTTGGTGATCGGTGAGCTCATGGCGAAGAAAGTCCATTGGCTCAGGGCACGGTATTTATACCTCTAGTGAACGCTGGGATGCTGACTCGAATATCCCTCGTCTGATTCTATTGCTTCAACTTGCTGGCAACGATTTTCTCAACGATTTTCTCCAATAACGGAATAGATTCGCCATCACCGGAGCCGAGTATGCCAGCCAGTGACTTTTCAGCGTACTTGGCCATCATGTCGACTTCAATATTGACACTGTCGCCAGCGACCTTCTTGCTCAGCACAACTTTTTCTTGCGAGTAGGAGATGAGCATAATCTGGAACCAGCCCTCCTTATCGTTGACCTGAGTGACGGTCAAGCTGGTGCCATCAATGGCAATGAAGCCCTTGTAGACAATGTAGCGCAGCATGTCGCGGTTCTTGGGCTGGAAGCGAAAGGTAATGGCGTTGCCGTCTTGCTCGGCCAGCAGAATTTCGGCGACGGTGTCGACATGACCCTGCACGAAGTGGCCGCCCATGCGGGTATCGGCGCGGACGGCAGGCTCTAGATTCACGCGGCTATTCTCTGACAGACCACCAAGGTTCGTGATTCGCAGGGTCTCGGGAGCGACACCAACATCGAAGTGGTCGTCCTTGAACGACGTCACGGTCAAACAGACACCGTTCACGGCAATTGAATCACCATCGCGACAGTCCTTGAGCAGAGATGAGCCAGGCGCAATGGTGATGGTCATCTCAGCGCTTCCAGTGGCCGCATCCTTAGCCAGGCGTGAAATGACTTTTCAAAGGACAGTTTAGTCATGCGCCAATAATGCATGCTTAATGAGGGGTCATACCGCCAATATCTTCGACAATACCAGTGAACATGGTGACGCTGAGTAAATTGCAGGTACAAAATTGAAAGGATAAAAAATCTAGAATATTGTTCAAGTGTCTTGTTCTAATTTTGACGTAGTGTTAGCCTCGGCTCGGTCGGTTGGCTTGTTGAAGTAGGATGGCTGAATAGCAAAGCCCCGCGATCGTTTTGGTACAGTTCCGCTTATCGATTAGCAGCAGCCAAAAATTTTAGCCCAAGGACTGAGGGGACCCTTGGAGAGCTCCCTCTTCATTTGCGCAAACAACCTCTTTCTTTATCCTACAAGTATATCAGAATGGCGCCGAGTCGGCCTGAGAAGAAGGAAAAGCCCAGTGCGGGTACTCTTCTAGACGACGCTGAGACGCTCTTCGAAGTCGGCAATATCGAAGAAGCGATTAGCCTCGCCGACAAGGCGTTGGCGACAACCGGCGAAGGCGGCGATTTCGAGCTTCGGGCCGTCAACCTCCTGGCTCTGCTACATATCGAAGATGGCGAGGTGGAGGAGGCCCGCTCCTTCTTTCAGCGCGCTGCCAACATCGACAAAAATGGCGAAATGGACGAAAAGGTTGGCGGGGGGCCCGAAAAGTTCCTGTTCCTCGCTGAGCTCAGCGAAGAGGGCGGCCAGGATACCGTCGAATGGTTCGACCGTGGTGCCACAGCGCTGCGCAAACAGATTCAGAACCTCGATTCCATCAGCAACAAGACGCCCGAGCAGCAAGCTGCATATGACGAGAAGCAAAAGAAGCTAGGAGGCGTGCTCTGCGCCGTCGCCGAGGTTTACATGACTGATTTGTCGTGGGAGGAGGATGCCGAGCAGCGATGTGAAGCGCTCATTACAGAGGCCATGATGATCGCGCCAGGATCGTCTGAAACGTGGCAGACGGTGGCCAACGTGCGCATCTCGCAAGAGCGCAACGACGAGGCCCGCACTGCCTTAAAGCGCAGCTTGGAGCTGTGGCAGGACCTTGCTCCCGAAGACCCTGCGGTGCCCGACTTCTCAACCCGTATTGCCTTGGCCCGTCTGCTCCTCGAGACGGAAATGATGGAGGACGCTCTCGTCGTTCTCGAGCGTCTAGTCACCGACGACGACGAGAGCATCGAGGCGTGGTATCTTGGTGGCTGGGCACTGTATCTGGCGGGCGAGAAGCTCCGTGATGCCAAGGGTAGTACCAACGGTGATGGACCGTCAGAGGATCTCAAAACGGCATGGAAATCGTCACGGCGCTGGCTGGCCCAGTGCTTGAAACTATTTGAGGCCCAGGAGTACGAGGATGAGAGGCTGGGCGAGCACGCCGTTGAGTTGGTGCTCAGCATTAACGAGGAAATTGGCGAGCCTGAGGAGGGCGAGGATGAGTGGGATGTTGCCAGCGACGATGAGGATGACGAAGAAGAGGACGATGACGAGGAAATGAAGGATTAAACAGCAAGGGAGACTTGGATTCGAAAATGAAGGTGGGATATACAAAATGACAGAGGAGGACTCGATTGCGCATTTAGACGGCGTTGAGGCAGCCTTGTATAACGATATAATACTTGGCTTTAATGATGGACACGAACACTATGTCACATTCCGAATAAGCTCATAGTCACTTACACGTGAAGCGTGCGGCGGCTCGAGACCTTTGAGCGTCATCAACATGCATTTTACAATTTTTGAGGTTTCCCATTTCTGTATATACGGCTATGTCGCCTCGACAGCGAGCTTCTCCATGTCCTCCACAGGCGCATCGTCGTCCTCGTCGCCCTCGTCAAGCTTGCCTACCATGCCACGCTCCCACAGCTGACGGCCCGTGAGCTTGACCGGTTCCTTGACCTTTGCCTTTTTCAGCTCCGCCAGCCTCTCCTCTTCCTCGCGCGCGCGCTTCTCCTCCATCTCCTTGAGGAAGCCTGTGCGCCATTCGAGGAACGTCTCCCGGTTCACGGGCGTGCCCTGAAACTTTTTATTCTCCTCGCGCTCGGCGGCCGCGCGCCGCTCCTCCTGGGCCTGGGCCACGGCATCCTTGCGCTCCTGCACCAGCTGCTCTGCGGCGTCTTTGAGGGCAGACACAATGGTGAAGACCATGGCCATGCCCATGTTTTCCTGGATCGTCTCCTGGACGCTGGCGAGCAGGTGGTCGCGGTCGTCGCCCGTGTCAAAGAACTCGGTGGCGCCGCCGTCGGGCGCGGCCATGATCTCGAGGTCGGGCGCTACGTCTGGGTAGGCTTCCGGGTAGCGAACGGAGAGGAGGAATTTGGGAGGCTCCTCATCTTCGGGGTGATCGGGGATATCAAGCGCGATGGATATTCTGAACTCCGTTTCCGAGACATCTGCGCATGGTTAATAGTTGTTCTGGGCGAGGGGATCTGCTGTCGTCTGCGAGCGCCGTACCTGTAATTTCTTCTGGAAAGATGGAGTCGAGAACCTCTCGCTCCTCAACCTGCTCTTCACGGCCCATGATGTAGAACCTGGTGGCCGAAACGGCAATTGACACTTCAAGCTGTCAAAAGAGTTGCCTCTCCATCGCAAGGGCCTGAAGTGGGCAGGCGGGCGACTGGAAGTAGAGCTGCAGCGCACTGCTTACTAACGTCACGGTACGAAGGCCCCGAAGTAGGATTCATTCTGGAGGTTACATTGTTTGAACATGGACTTACAACCTCAGATAAAGCGGAGCGTATGAGAATATATCGAATTCAACGTAGCTATCATGTATCCTTAGCTGATAGCAAAGTTCACGGCCAGTGTGATGCTCAGCAACCTCACACATTACCTACCTACCAACTACCTACCTAGGTCAGATAGGTGCCTTGAATAGACGAGACAAAAACAATTGAGCCACAAAGCCCGTTTCTTACTAAAGAGGGGCCGATGAAAAGATATATTCTTTAGCACAGCGCTTTCAGACATATATACAAGTGTGCATGTATTCCGACAAGCAGAGAGTTGTCAAATACCTTATGAACACTGAATACCAACGATGTACAACCACTGTAGCAGGTTTTAGGAAGACTTACAGGGGGCATTAGCGCCGCGGGGTCCAGCGCACCCATTAGGCTTAGTGATATTTCACCGCCCGGCAGATTGGCAAAATTTTTGGAAAGTGCTGAGAGCACTCGCAACTTTTTGGTGTCGCCGCTGGGTCCAAGTCCACTGTGCTTCGCCAGACCTTCTTTTCTCGCAACTCACTAGAAAAGCAACCATCTCCAAGAATGGCTACCAAATCTGCGGCCGTGGGTAGCAAAAGAAAGGCTACTGTCGGATCCAAGGGAAAAGACAGCGTCATGGTCAAAAAGGCGCGTCTTGACGGCAAAAAGAAGGCTGCGCCTGTCGCCAAAGACTCCGACGAATCTGAAGACTTTTCTGATTCTGAAGACGGTGGCGTTCAGATTGATAATAAGAAAGAGAGCAAGCCTGCAGCCAAGGGCTATCAAAAACCCTCGGAGTCAGGTACGTGGCACATGATGGATTGAATTGAGTCACTGAGCTGATATGATAACTCAGGTCTATCCTCCCGCGAATCACACGCCAAACAGAAGCAGCTTGCTGCTGAGCGCAAGGCCGCCAAGCCGCTCGCCGACGAGGTCCAACGTACAAAAAAGATTTGGGAACGACTGCGCCGAAAGTCGCACGTTCCCAAGGAGGAGCGCCAGCAGCTTGTTGCCGAACTTTTCACGATTATTACCGGTCGCATGAAGGAGTTTGTACTGAAGCACGATGCCGTCCGCGCTGTACAGACCGCCATCAAGTATGCCACTCCCGAGCAGCGTAGACAGATTGCCCGCGAGCTTGAGGGCAGTTACGCGCAGCTGGCGGAGAGCCGTTATGCCAAGTTCCTTATGGGCAAGCTCCTAGTGCAAAACGACGAAGAGATTCGCGACCTTATCATTCCCAACTTTTATGGTCGAGTTCGCAAATTAATCAACCATGCCGAAGCCTCGTGGATCCTAGACGATATCTATCGCACGGTGGCGACCAAGCAGCAGAAGGCTTATTTGCTACGCGAGTGGTACGGTCCTGAGTTCACCCTCAAGGAGCTGACCAAGGATAAGGCTGTGACGGCTGACCTAAAGGAGATTCTGGCCGATACCCCGAGCAAGCGCGGACCCATCATGAATTCGCTGCTTGAAATGATCAACTCATTAGTGCAAAAGCGGATGACCGGCTTCACCATGCTGCATGACGCCATGCTCCAGTACTATCTGGCTACGGAGCCCGGGTCGGAAGAGTTCAAAGAGTTTCTAGAGCTCATCAAGGGTGACGAGACTGACGATCTACTCAAGAACCTGGCTTTTACCCGCTCAGGCTCACGGTTGGTGTGCTTGCTGCTTGCTCATGGAACTGCCAAGGACAGAAAGCAGCTTCTAAAAAGCTACAAGGACACATTCATGACCATGGCCGGCGATCAATACGCTCATTTGGTCATATTGACCGCATACGATGTTATCGACGATACAAAGCTGACGGCCAAGTCCATTTTCCCTGAATTGGTGGGCGAGAAGACTGAGGAAGTTGTAGACAACATTGTGGGCGCCGTCAACAACCCATATGCTAGACTGGCCTTCATGTACCTCTTTGAGGGCATTTCCAAGTCTCTATTTCCTCCTGGGACCAGTTTTGCCCAGGATCTCCTCAAAGACGTTCACGAAATCCGCAAGACGACAAGTAAAAAGGACGAGGATGCTCGCCGCCAAGAACTGACATCTACGCTCATCCCTCATCTTCTCGAAGCCATTGCGACGGCTCCGTCAGATCTCATGTCCACAGCCTTTGGCTGCCAATTCATTGCGGACATTCTTCTTGCCAACGCTGGCGACAAGGCTACCGCGTTGGAGGCTGTTGCCCAGGCTGCCAAGGGTAACCCGAGCGAGGAGGTGCCGGAGGACGAGCTGCAACCTCAGACTCACGTTTCGAAGACGCCGTTTGGCGGACGTATGCTCAAATCTTTGATCCAAGGCGGCCGGTTTGACAAGGCCGCTGGTAAGATCATTCCTCTAGAGCCAGCTCTAGGCTTTTCCAATATTCTATATCCTGTGATTTCAGATTACATTGTCGATTGGGCGACAGGCCCCAGCTCTTTTGTCGTTGTGGCTCTGCTCGAAGCCAATGACTTTAGCGACGCCGAGGCTGTGAGAAGGACTCTCAAGAAGAACAAGAAGCTTCTGGACAAGGCGGCCAAGGAGCAGACGCCGGAGCAAAAAGCGGCCCAGGAGGCCAGGGAGCAGGCGGCCGAGGCAGACAAGTCGGCAGGCAAGAACAAGGCTGCCAGCAAAAAGAAGTTCGAGCCAGCGGTAGGAAACAGCGGCAGCAAGCTGCTGCTGGAGAAGTTGTAGGGAAAAGTTGTCATGAAACGCATGCGTGGCAACGTTGCTTCTAGCGGTTAGAGTTTTGTGTACCAAATGGACTATATATGTACTCGACATGAAGTTTTGTTTACATCTGCCTTGTTCAGTACAAACCTTGTTCAGTACAAACGCAGTTGCATTGATGTCTCGCTTTATTTGCTGCTGCACAAGTGCGAGTGGGCTACACAGCATGGGCGGTTGATGGCTGACCACCCTCTCTGATCGGTGCTGACAAACTCTGGGTACACCATTTGGCCGCCTTTGTCTTTTACGCCGCTGCTCAAGATGCAATAACATGGTGTAGACCGAGAGGCTGTCGTCGCTGTTTCCTTTTGGTCGGCAAACCATACTTTGCTGTTCATTTTTGGGGGCCGAAAAGCATGGACGGGCGGGCTGTGCCGCCGACTAATGCAAGCCACCTCTGCTGCGATTGATTGCTGCCATGCAACACGGCTACCGGTGTAGCAGCGTGCATGCTGTAACCGCCCATAGCTTCCACCTATGGACCACGATGACTGGTGAACTGTTTGTTACGAGCAAGAGCGCCGGGTAAGTAGGTACCTAGTCTGTCACTTGCCGCCGAAATAGAAGCCCACATCGTAAGCCGTTTATTTCTCCGTCCTCACTTCTCGTACTCTTACCCCCTCTATGACTCTGCACTGCATAGGTAGTTTCGAAACGGCGCGTAGGCAGCGCGGCAGTTCCGAGAGGAATCCGCCGGTCTATTTCCCTTGCGCGCTGCTCTGCATGGGATGGTGGAGAGCGGCCATGCGCATGTTATGTTGTTATTCCCAGACCTGTGCGACCCGTTCCATGTGGCAGTCCCCAAGGCACGGCGCCGCGCCTATTGGGGCAGGACTAGAGATGGATCGAGGAAATGTATAAGCTGACAAGTAGAGATTGCCACTCTACTTGCGTATTGGGTGTTGGGCATTTGACCACGGACATCAGTACCAAAGTTGTCGGGCGAGCGCTTATTTATGATGCAAAGTTGGATATTTTACTCCTCTGATGCCCTGCTTTCGGCTCGGCCTGCTTTCCTCTCTCCCCTTTCTTTTCTTTTAGATACAGCAACAATTCGATCTCGGTCATAATACTACCACAAAGTTCAGCATGTGAAAAAAGAAGAGGCCAAGCTGAACCTATCTCTCTGTGCTCCACAACCAACTAACACGATCTCAGCTCTGGCTCACTTTGTGCGTTTTCGTGCAACACGGTCCGACAGCAAGCCAGCCCCCTTCTAGCCATGCTCGTTTCAGGGAAAGTCATGAAAGAGGTGGAGGCACGAAATCAGAATGGCTCATGTGTCTATCCCATGAAGTGGTACAACTCCTCCGACGGCACCATCACCTGCTGCAGCATCGATCCTTGCCGCCTCGAAACCTGCCTCAAACGGAGGAAGATAGGCTCTGCAACGGCATTTTCAACAAGAATTTCATCTTCAGCAACAGAAACTTCGTCGTCATTTGCGTCGAAAACAATCATGTCGTTAGATACTACTGGGCGGATCACTGTCCAACCCATCGACGAGGACACAAGCACAGAGCCATCGCAACCGAGCACGTCCACATCGTCGACTCGCTCGCCGTTCTCATCACCCTCATCACCCTCTTCGTCTTCTACTTCGTCATCTTCCACCTCATCTCCTCCTTCCAGCACAGCGTCTACAATGCGAGCCTCCGGTGTTACACACACAATTCCCAATGATTCCACCGTCACAGTGACAAGGCATACCACTATAACCCAGGAACTGCCCACAACCACGGCCATGGACTCTGCAGCACCATCCACCACCGACGTGGCCCAAGTACCTGACGTTTCTTCCATCTTTGGGACGCCACCTCCTACAAACACACCAACATCAACTTCAAATCCACAGCAACCAGCCGGCGCCGTCAACACGGGCGCTGTTGTCGGTATCGCTGTGGGCGGTGCGTTTGCTGCTGCTCTGGTAGCCGTCTTGCTTTGGCTGTGGAGGAGCCGCCGCAATCGCGCGGCGGAGGAAGCAGAAGACGGGAGCGAGCCCATGTTTGTGGATAAGTCGAGGCTGCATGACAGCATCTTTGGCCGACGGCCCACGTCTGCCTCGCTGCCGAGGCACCCTACGCCGCATGAAGCCACAGGACGAGGATACGGCTATGATCCCTTTGCACCATTCGGAGGTACGTATACTATAAGATCAAGATTATGCCGTCCTGTCAATGATAGAGTTAACATGGTTGTGCCAGGGCGGGCTGATCAACCAACCGGGACAAAGCCTCCACTGCCTCCCGACACATTCGAGATGGATGGCCGAGAGATTCAAGTTGTGGAACTTCCGGGCACGGCCATGACGACCGCTGATGGCGGCGCCGTGGAGATGCAGAGACAAGACACGCGATCAGTAGGGGCGGTTAAGCACCGCCCTAGCTCTGATCCGCGAGCCACGCTTAACCACTTGCCCCAGGATAATGGACGGCCAACCTACATCAACCAATGGAACCAGTATAAGGCGCTGGCAAGAAATTCCCTGAACAGATTGTAGTGACGGGCCGAAGCCCAGATGGTGTAGCCGGGGTTGCGAGCGGAATCATTCTATATTTTGTCTTTTGTTATATCAAGAACGTGAGACATTCTCTTCTGTTTGTCTCCAATCCCAACTGCGAAAGAAAAAATTGAAAACAGTCTAGAGTTACAGATAGTCCCGTACCTCTTCCCCTGCCGTGGAAGAAAAACGCCGTTGTTTTGGAATCGATTTTACCAGTTTGCGCCAGAGATGTGAAAACAAATGAAACAAGGAAAGTGAAAAAACGCTGTACCTCCAGCGTGCAGTCGACAACCACAACCCCTGTGACGATCTCATCGCGTATCTGCAGTGGAATTTCCGCTCTGCGATTGCGTAACCGTCGCACAAGCACCCATGTGCGCTTACCGGTTTTGCAGCTTGGAAATTTCCTCGAGTAGCTCCTTTAGGTCCTCGTCGGAAATCTTGTCGGCGAGCGAGGGGATCAGCGTCTTGGCCTCGTCGGCGGTTTCGCAGCACAGCGATCCTAAAACACTCTCCAGTCAGACGTCAATGAACAAGCGGAAAGCGATTGCAATGGAGAATAGGCGTTCCCCTTTTGGGGGGACGGAAGGGCAAGCTCCGTACCCAGCTGGGCGCGCTCAAACTTGGCCAGGTCCTTGTGCGTGCTGAGCAGCCGCTCCACGGCCTCTACGTTTTCTTTTTGCGTGAACCGCGCAAAGTGGTCGAGGTAGCTGAGGGTCTGGTTCAGCATCCTGCATCACAGCAACGTTCAATTAGCAATGTCCCTTTTTATCCCGTCTCACACACAACACACACACGCTTCCGCCATTTCCCTTCCCTTTTTAGCAAAAGAAAAGGGAAAGACAGAACGTGAGAATGACAGCGCGTACTCGGTCTCGTTGACGTTTTTGCGGTCGTTGCGCCGCTTCGCGACCAGCGCGTTTAGAACGAGCGAGGCTTCCGACAGCGTCAAGGTGTCAACGTTGTTAAACTCGCCGAGGTTCAGCGTCGCCGAGGCCTCTTCGTTGCCAGGAGGCGGCGGCTTGGGCCGTGACATTTTGTTCGACATGGCGGAGAAGGGAAGGGGGGGGAGGAGAGCGGGCGTAGCAGAATTTCGTGGGATTTTCGAGAAGGTTGCCGGGAACGGGAGGGGGTTCGGTCACACGCGCGCGCGCAAAGGAGAAAAGAGGAAAAAGAAAAATAAGTCGCAGCAGTAGAGATTCGTCGCCTCGATTGGATATATACTGAGGATGTTTGGATATTAAGACTGCGCCGTGGTGGAGAGGCGCAAGAGCTTGCGTGGAGGAGAAGGAGAAAAAGGCTGCAAAAGAGATGAAGTGTACCACTGCAACGCTTTTGGTTTGGATTGCTCAGCGCCCAGCGAGGTTCGAGTTCAAGATGGGTTTTAGTGGGGCTAGGCGCCGAAGCGGCTTGACCAGAGCGGCGTGGCAGCCGACATTGGTGTTCCCCCTACTCATCATTTCATATATTCTCTTGAAGCCTAAATTTACAACGAAAGCCCATGTTTGCAAAAATCAGTGCAATTGGTAAACTCCAAAGATAAATTCTCATACAAACTATCGCGCCGTGTATCCTTGGCGGGGTTGCCGTCGTGGTCGGCATACCTAGTCGGAGGAGCCAGCCTCAACTCACAGCTTCGTTGGAGCTGTGGGCAACGTGGGAACCAGCGCAGTGATTGAGAAAAGAAGACATACTACCACTAGAAAGATGTATGATACTCTCAAGAGGTTTACGGGACTTCGTGGTCGCTAACCGCTGCAGGACTGTGTTTGCGCTCATCATCATCAACAAGGCCGGTGGCTTAATCTACAACAAGGTCTTCCACGAAGCGGGCCTGCAATCCATCAGCACAAATGACTACCTCGTCCTCGCGGGCACCTTTCACGGGTAAGTAGTCTCTCGGCTGCTCCACGGGCCACCAGCAACCCGCAGCTGACAATAAACCCATCTTCCCCCTCCCGCCTTCAGTGTCCACGCCATCACAGCCAGACTCAACCCTTTACGGCCTGTAGCGCCGCCTACCGCACCAGGCGGTATCCCGAGCAGGCCGGAGCCGTCGTCTGGGCTCGAATTGCTCGAGACGGAAAACTTTCGCATGCAGTGCTTCAATACCATGACGGGGACCAAGTTTCTGCTCTTCACAGACACGACGCAGGCCAATGTGGACGTTACTATTAGGAGGATATATGATCTCTACGCGGACTATGTCATGAAGAATCCGTTCTACTCGCTGGAGATGCCTGTGCGGTGTGACATGTTTGACCGCAAGCTGTTATCATATATTAGAGAGATCAACAACCGTTGAATCACGGCGCAAGCTAGGGACATGAATATTACGATTTGGAACAACGCTGGACGAGTGCACAAGTCTTCCATAGCATGACGCTTCTAATGGTGTTTTTGTTTGTTCAAAACTCCTCTGTAGCTCCGGTCTAATGTACAGCGCCTGCGCCGCATAGCGTTCAGGACGTATCCATCTTGTCGCCGTCATCCTTCTTGTCCTTCTTGCTTCCGCTACCCTCACCTTCCTCTGCGACACCCTCGAGCGATGCTTTGGTGGCGGCTTCTTGCTCCTCGCGCGCACGCTTTTCTTGTCGCGCCTTTTCTTCTTCCATGCTCATGCGCAGGGCAAGCGCCAGCTCGGGCTCTAGCGCAGGGTCGAAGCCAAACTCGAACTCGTCGTTGCCGCTGCCCATGCCGCCACCGCCGCCACCGCCGCTGGACGCGTTCTCACCCAGAAGGATAGGGCTGGATACGAGTTGGTCGCTAAGCAGCTTGCTGCTGGGTGGGATGATGACAAAGTGGGAGCCCTCGCTGCCTTTGACCTCTTCATTGAAGTTTTCAAGCTTTGTCTTTGTGTCGTCGTCGTCGAGATCGCCAAACAGAATAAAGTCGACGGAAATATTGCCCTTCTTCATCTTTTTAGCCAACAACTTGAGTTCCTTGTCGCTCTCTTCAATCGGTGAGCAGATAAAGACTATTATGCGCTGGCGTTGCGAACGGTTTTGTCGGTGCTTGAGAGCGAGCTGGAAAGAGTCAGCACAGCTACAACAGCATTCAGTTATACAAAAACTACATACCGTAGCTACTTGGATGCCCGTCTTGAGATGCGATGAGCCACCAATCTTCTTCTTTGTACGATGCAGACCCTCGAGGATCTTGCCTTGCTCCGTTGTCAGAGTGACGAGAACCTCGGGCCCTTTGCCTCCCATGCTCATGAGGCCAACAGAGGACTCGGGGTTGCCCTGCGTGATGCTCTGGAACAAGACATTGACGGCGTCTACTTGTGAGTCGAAACGCGTGGGCTGGTAGTCTCCGTTTCGGCTGCTCTCGCTGTTGTCAACGACAACCATGACCGCCTCGAGAACCATTTTGACGGCGGTTCTGTGATGACTATAGCTTCGCTTCCCTACTTCGACTTCCGTACCTGTGTGATGTTGGCAGTTGAATTGGCGGAGGTTGCGAGTTGATGGCGCCGATGGGAGTGGGTTGTCGAGGAAGCAATGCCAGTTGCAGCAAGTCGTCAGTGATGGTCAGCCTGGAGCTTGACTGGAGACTGGTAGCTGGTACCCGGCATGCAAACAAATCCGCGGGACTTTGGCGCTTTTCTAGGTACCTCTACTTTGGCCGGCCGCCACCACTTTAGAGCTCCGCAAGCTGACATAATCCGCCAAAGCTGGCCGTTTGTTTACTTGAGCACCAGTAGCCACTCATAGCGCGCGACTGGCAACCAGCTTCCAGCGACCACACAAACTGCATTGCATTTTCAAATTTGTAGCCACAACAAGACGACAAGAGCTTTTATTATCAGCAATGGCTCCCGCAAGATCAAAGAAGCGCGTTTCTGACCAGTCAACTGCCTCGACTAGGCAGCGCGGCATCAAGGTGCCCGTCAAGGAAGAGCCGACCACACCCACCGAGCGCAGTCCTATCAAGAAGAGAAGGGCCGGCATTACACTGCACCAGAAGAGTACTTTGATTGGCAATCTGCAACTGGAGAGTATGTACTATTAGGGTAATAACAATTATGACCGAACTAATTAATCATGTAGTCACCGAGAGAGCTAGACGACTTCGTGCCCAATATCACCTTCAAGCCCAGGGCCTCCGATCGCGAATAGAAATCCGCGTCAACAGAATTCCTACTGCGCTACGGAAGATGAAAATGGGTGACTTATTTCTCAAGTATCTACATCAGGAGCAAGCGGCTTTGCGACCTCCTGTGCCGGCCAAGGATGGTCCACTGTCACGAACTACAGCCCAGAAACAAAGCTCGCGCCCGAATACCGCTCGCAGCAACAAGCGTGTCAGGTACGTTTTTTGCTGTACCTTCCTACTCAATACATGCTAATTGGTGCAGCACCGAGATTTGTGGCGGAGACAAGGAAAACGAAGTTGATGGCGAAACAATGAAGAAGCGCGTTCGCGCTGCCATGCAAGACAACCCGGTTCGGCCGACGCAAATTCTATCACCGGCATCATCCAACTCGAGACTCGCCAACCGCGAGATACCCATGTCTCCTACCAGATCATACATCAGCAGACCCGGATCGCCCCTAAAGGCCGGCGGTGTGCGCTCTGCCGTTTCGGCTACGACTATGCTGTCCAATATGGTGGAAAGGGCCAAGGCCGCACGCGCTGCAAGCACCAGAAAAGTCACTACTACATCATCCACCACTGCCAGCTCGAGGGGCGCCGCCGCACGTCCCGCCAGCGCAGCAAAGACACGAAAAGCTGCTCCACCGAAGCAGCAGCCCGCTCGTCCGGCAACACGCACTGGACGCCGAGTCAGCGCTCACAGTGAGACAAGCGAGGCAAGCAATGGTACCGTGGTACGCAAGCCGGTTGCATCCAAGGCCAGCACGGCATCTACGAAGAAGTCAGTCATGGGCAGCATCCGCAAAGGTGTGGCCAACAGCAGAGCTACAGCTCCCACGACGAGCAGCTCCGGAAGAGTTCTCCGCAAGCGCACTTGAGGGATGGAGTACAGGTACGAGCTTTTTGGTACGAATGTTATATGGGAAAGAGCTTGAATTGGCGTTTTTGTTTTAACAGTTCGTTGTTCTTTGGGGCATGACACGGCGTTTTATGCAAGGAAGACCCCCTTTACTCGGGAAACACATCCAGCTTGCAGCATTCGAATTGGTATCATAGCAAATGGAAATGATTATGCTTTGCTCTCAAATCCTAACACATGATTCATGCGTAATGTAGGCTTTTAACTGGCAGCCGCCGCCGCCGCCGCCTTCTTCTTTTTCTTGTCGTCCACCAGCTCGATATTGTCCTCGGGTATTTCCTTGTACTTTTCCAGTATAAACTCCTCCAGCTCGTCACTTACGTCGCCCTGCACGACAATTTCCTCGCCACCGCTAGGGACCTTTGTGACGGACGAGCCGGTGGCAAACTTTTTGCCAAAGTCCTTGGCGCACTACGCGGGGAGGGAAGCGGTCACTCATCAGCCCAAGTCTTGCAAGAAAGCGCCCAAGGGCGGCGCTTCGCGGCTCGAAACCGCTACATACCTTTTTCAGGTCCAGGCCAAATGTCTCGAGGCCAATGACGGCTGTGACAAACTTGCGCTTGTTGCGCTCGATGCGTTTGATGGTGATGACGCTCTTGGCGAGCTTGTCGGCCTGCTTGGCCTCGGCGGCTTCGGCCTTGGCCGTCTTCTTCTGGGCGTCTTTGGCGGCGCGCTTCTGGGCCTCGACTGACAAAGACGCCGTGGCGGCCTCTAACGCCTCTGTTTGTGTGTGAGCAGCTTGGCAGAGCTTGTAGACTCAAGGGGGGTTCGCGACGAACCTGCTGACCATATCCTGCTGTACATCTCCTTTTGGTTGCTCTGCAGCCAATCTTGGCACTTCTTTACCGTGCCGCCATATTCACAGTACTACAATTTTGTATCGTCAGCGTACCGGATTCATCTTCTGTATCGATCGGTTCAACTCTGAGCAACGGCACGCACTTCAGGTGGCAGAGTGCAGACTGTGCAAGACGGGTTAGATTTATGGGCGTGACTTGTTTGGAAGAGCGCTCTTGGGCCACGTACCTCCACAGTATGTGACAATTCGTGCTTGGGGCTCAACAGAGACATCTCCTTGCTCTGTGTCTGCCATTGTGTCGGTATGGCAGGGTTTTGCGTATGCTAGTCGTTGTTGTATGTTTTGTTCGCGTCGAAGACATCCATCGCGGGGTAAAATCAGGTTTGGAGGGGCAGCTGTTGACGTGGGGCGGCTTTGAGAGTATAACGCCGAAATCTCAAAGACCGACCCGATACTCCATATTGATTTACGGGCAAAATTGGATATCACAATTATCTACACATTGGTTTTTACGGTCATTGCGCTTAGTTTCGATCAACATGGTGAGAGGCTGTGCAGGCAGGCTTTGCCATATCTGAAGCTACATCTATCTTACCTCGCAACTACTGGGGACTCTCGCCATTTCGCTGGCCACCGAGCGGCAGATGAAAACGAGCACAGCATCGAAGTTATATTACTAATATAAAGTCCGATACCTTGACGATCCTATTTGTGATTGGAAGAATAGAGATCGGTATTTGGAGCTGCCTCAGGCAAGTCAGGATCGAAACATCGCCAAGCTAACATTGCATCGGTTGGCCCAGGTCGTACGCCTGATGACGCTTAGGTCGCTGGCTGCTATCGTCCTTCCAATATCAGAGGCCTACTTCAGCTGCCAGTCTAGATTTATTGTAGTAACTATTTATTGTAGCTTTCTTTTTATTTCCCTCGAGCGCCTTGAGATCTGGCCACCTGCCCAATTTTCCCGGTCGTATCGTGTTACTACACCGATGATATACCTTAGCTACCTAAGTACATACTCATGTACCCTCTCTCCCCATCTTCGCAACTCGCCTCTTGCAAGCAAACGGATGATTAGCACAACATCCTTCGCATCTGCGACAGTCTGCATATTACTCTCATATATTTGATATCTCATGATGTTTATGATTTCTCATCAATATACCGACGACTCGTCAATTTAAAGAGTTGGCTGGCGATCAGCCGGTGACGGCAGGTTGACTAGCCCCCAAGCTACGGACGGGCGGCAAAGCAAGAAGCCGCATTGTGCGACGGGTTCATCGACAATTTCCGTCTTCGTGATTCCCTTTACGGCCACCTGTTCAACCTTTTTGGTTCAAATTCGACTCATCGTCCGACTAGGGCATGCTTCACTGTCAACAGGCCCCGCCCTATGGCCAGGCATCACGACAGAAAATTAAGCGCCGAGCTCCTCACAACAGCACTCATTGGCCACACACTTGCATGAGCTTCCAATATCCTGGCAGCCACATCACCCACAATTTACAACCCTGGCGTCGAGCCCAGTTCGTCGGCATCACACCCTCATGATTTCATGAGAGTCAGGCGCTTCGACACGCCCGTCGATTGGCTCCCCGACAGCCGACTGAGGCTGAGCCCCAGCAGCGAGCCTCTCCATCCCATCTGCCACGGGCAGGTCTTGACGCTCTTTTGCTCCGGTACGCACTAAAATTTGTGCCTGCGCTGACGTTGCCGTGGTCGTATAGTTCCCCATAGTTGGAGCATGCAACTGACCCCATGATGCATGCCACCGTACATGATGTTCACTGTGCTTGGCACCGTCGGCGCCTAACTTGGTTGTGCAAGTGCTTAAGTCGGACAGCCACCCAGGCCAGGATGGCCGCCTCTGGTCTTGCATCTTCGCTTCTTCACTCTCTGTTTAATACACCTTATTTGTTTTCCTTTCCTTTGTGTTGCTTGCCGTCTGTATGCTTCGTTGATCGAAGCAGCCTGCCTTTCTTTTCATCCTACCTGGCGCCGGTCGCCAGATCACTCTTTCGCGATACATTTTTACTATTTGTCTACCTTGGTGCTACGTGACAGGATCACCAGTGTCCGCTATCGGGTATAGCATAGTACACTTTCAGTATGGCCCAAATACTTCGTGCACCGCCAAGCAGCTTTCAGCCCGCTGAGCCTTCGCTGGGTCGAAGGCAGAAGAGGCAACTTAATCCTATTTTAGAGGAGGACAGTGACGACGGTCAGATCGATATGCCTTGTCAAAATCCTCAAATCAAGGCTCACGCCTGGTTCTCACCCATGAGTGATCATTTCCCGACTCCTCGCGGCGTGAACTTTCTCTCTGCTCCAATTCTTCCATCGTCTCCTTCCACAGTTTCTGCCGACAGCTCTCCGATGACGTCGTCGAATCCGTGGAACCGTGTTAGTGTCGCGACAGACAATACCGAGTTTGAGGATATTTATGACGTGTCAGACGAGGAAGATGACCTGCCACGAGGCTTGCGCCGAAGCATGTCTCTTAAGAAGGGTCAGCAGTCGGCCGAAGAGACGTCCAAATTCCTGGGACGCCTGGTCATTCCCTCGAATCATCTTGAGGAGTGGTCTGCTGTTGATGACCTCAAGAAATTGGCGTCGCCAGTCCCGCTGACACCGTCGGCACAACTACCCATGTCGCCGGCTCAGATCAGCTTCATGGGACAACAGCAGGCTCTCCATGTCCCATCCGCGCCACCCTCACTCGACGGCAGCTTGACCTCTGAGCAGCTGGCAGCGATGAGTTCTCCGCCTACACCTGTGATTGGTCATGAAGAGGTTTCTCAGGAAGAGAAGTGGACGGGAGTGCGACTTCAGCCTGGTGCACTTGCTACTCTGCATACATTGGCTTCCAACGATGGAGAGTCCGAGGATGAAGCCTCGCAGCCCTTGGAGGTTACACAGATGGAGATGCGATCCAATATGGAAATGCAACATCTGCCATTGCGCGTGATGACAGATCTCTTGCAACCTCGCCCCAGAACTTCGAATGCAACCCGCCAATCCCTGCTGGAGCTCAGCAGACTGGATATTCCCTCTCCTGGTGGTTTCTTCTCCGGCCTGTCCCCCGGAGCCCGAAATACATGGCATCTACCAAGTCAATCTCCGGGAGGCATGCCCCCGCCTACATCTACCACTGCAGAGCAATTTTATCGCTGCCCATGGAACACTGATTCGGACATTCCACCCGTACCCAGCCGCCCCGACTCAGTAGAGGGCTTCTATCGCATTTCTGGACTTTCTTCCGAGCCTGTGGAGCAAGTTATCGAGATCCATGAGGACGATGATGAGGTAGAGGATGACATGCCTACTGCTCGCCCAATCCTGCCAACACCAAAGGCATCCGAGTTTAACAAGGTTGATGTAGCCCCGCCGTCCCCTGATGTCGAAGAGATTCCCACCGAGATTGTGGTCGACTATGATGCTGGCTACGCCCGAAAACAACAAAAAGCTGCCCTTTCTAACTTTGACCGCACCGAACTCTGGCTCTTGGCCCAGCGATCATATCTCAAAGGTGTGGATGAGATTGACAATGGAGCTCTTCAGACCATTGCAGAAGATGTCGACAAGGAGGATCCAACGGATCAGGAAAATCTGGCTTCAGAGTCGCAGAAGAAAGTCGTGCGCTTTTCTCACATCCTGCCGACAGCTCAACCCAAGCGGCTGCCTTCCACGCTTCTTCGCCAAGAATCAGCATACTACCGTGCATTTCAAGACTATATCGTGCGCACACAACGCTCAGACGTTTTCATCCACCAGCTCCCACGCTTCGAAGCTCTGCAAAGCCAGCGTGTTGGTCTCCGCGAGACTCACTTTAATCAGCTTCTTGGCAAGTACCAGTTGAGCGTTGTCCCCCAGTCGGCCAAGAAGCGTCTCAGCGCCAACGTTGTACGCGGTGATCTCAACTTGACAGACGACCCTGAAAAGTTACGCAGGGAAAAGGAGCTGGAAGCGATGAATCAGATTGCCATGCCATCATGGCATGTCGCCGCTCTCAAGTTTCTCAATGGCGGAAAGTTGATTCGCGCTCCCATCACCAAGAGGCTGGCCAGGATCTCCATGGCAACTATGAGCAAAGATGGCACGACGCGCGACAGGGCTCGCATACTTGACCTCGGCGGCCAGGCTACTGGAGACTGGGCTTGGCACTGTGCTCTTCAGTACCCCAATACCAAGATTTACACGGTTACGACAAAGGCTATTCGCCAACTGTCCAACGCCAACATTCGCGGACCACCCAACCATCGTCAAGTTGCTGTTAAAAAGTTCGGCCGTCTACCCTTCTCTGACAACCACTTTGATCTCATCTCCGCCCGCGAGCTTCACAGCATCCTCAAGTTTGTCGGCGAAAATGGCGAAGACGAATGGGAGACGTGCATACGCGAATGCATGCGTGTCCTGAAACCTGGCGGCTACCTCGAGTTTTCCATTCTCGACTCTGACATAATGAACGCTGGTCCTCAGGGCCTGGCAAAGAGCGTCGAGTTTGGCTTCTCCCTTAAGACCCTTGGCTACGACCCCAGCCCCTCCAAGCTTTGGCTGAGAAGACTTGCGCACGCTGGCTTCACCGACACGCGCCGTGCCTGGGTCTGCCTGCCTATGGGAGCCCAGCGCAACTTTTACAAGTTGCCCGCTGCGCCCGGTCTAGCTGGAACACGAGATGAGGCGGCTCAGGTTCGTCAGATGGAGGCCATGACCATGGGCAGCGCCGGTAGCATTGCAGGTGTCTGCAGCATTGTTGGAGGGTGGAGCTGGGAGCGATGGCTACTACGATGCGAGATGGAAAAGGTTGCAGGAGAATTGCGTCTGGCCGATACGGTGACGACGGGAGAGACGATAAGAGAGGCGGCCAAGTGTCTAGAGGGAGTTCACGGTGTTATGGAAGAAGGTCGGGGTTGTCGGGCCGGGTTCAGGATGCTTAACGGATACACACGAAAGCCTTTTGTCGATTCCGCGTCAATTGCGATTGGATTCTGTGGATAAGCAAATTTGGCATCTATTTTGATTTTGAGATTGTACATAGGTAAAGCAAGGTGTTGTGCTACACGGAGCCATTCTAGAAGACTAGCAGCATGGCTGACATCGTATTTGGAAAATAATTCGCTCGATATATAAACAGAGAATTTACTAGGAAATAATATCTTCATTCATACAAAAAAGCATTTAATTTTGTTTGTTCGTTTGAAGCCATCACAGAGCACCCAATGCGGTTAGCCTACCCCCCGTGGCAAGCCAACCAGATACAGCCAATTTTTTGGCCCCATTTTCCCTCCCATTACCAGCCTCAGGCCGTTCAAGCTCCAAGCCGTCAAGCTCGCCTCCATTCCAAACTCCACGACCTCATCCCATCCCATCTCCATCGACAAGCAACGCAGGGGACCGGGCATCAGATCGCGCCACTCGGACATCATCTCTCACAACCCCGTGTGATACCCCCGGCCGAACCGATACATTCCGCATAATCATGTCCAACAACTGGCAGGAAGAGGCCATGCGCCGCCTGCGTCAGATGCAGCAGGCGTCGGGCGGAGCGGGCGGACGAGGCCCTCAGATGCCGCGCGGCGGCGGTCCAGCGCTCTTTGGCGGCGCTCTGCTGATTGGCGGCGCCATGGTGCTGTCCAACGCGCTTTTCAATGTCGACGGCGGTCACCGCGCCATCAAGTACAAGAGACTGTCTGGCGTGAGCAAGGAGATTTACAGTGAAGGTGAGCAGCGGCAGCAGCAGCACCCAATTGGAAGACGGGGGTTTGCGAAGTTTTGGTCGAAGCCTTTGGGGGCTCAATAGTTGGACAGTCAATGGAAGGCAGTGCTGACAAACGTGGCTAGGAACACACATTAATATCCCCTGGTTCGAGATGCCTATCGTCTACGACGTGCGAGCGAAGCCGCGCAACGTCGCTTCGCTGACGGGTACTAAGGACCTGCAAATGGTCAATATTACCTGCCGTGTGCTCTCGCGCCCGCAGGTCGAGGCGCTGCCACAAATCTACCGCACGCTCGGCACCGACTACGACGAGCGCGTGCTGCCCTCAATTGTCAACGAGGTGCTCAAGAGCGTCGTGGCCCAGTTCAACGCCAGCCAGCTCATCACCCAGCGTGAGATGGTGGCGCGTCTTGTGCGCGAGAACCTATCGCGCCGCGCAGCCCGCTTCAACATTCTACTTGATGACGTTTCTTTAACTGTACGTGCTTCCCCTCGTCCGGAGGACATGAATCTCTGCTAACACAACGCCCCAGCATCTTGAATTCTCGCCCGAGTTCACCGCCGCCGTCGAGGCCAAGCAAGTTGCCCAACAAGAGGCCCAGCGCGCCGCCTTTGTCGTCGACAAGGCCCGCCAGGAGAAGCAGGCCATGGTGGTCAAGGCCCAGGGTGAGGCCCGCTCAGCCGAGCTGATTGGTGAGGCTATCAAGAAGAGCAAGGCCTACCTCGACCTGAAGAAGATTGAAAACGCGCGCCTCATTGCCCAGCAGATGCACGAGTCGGGTGCCCGGAACAGGCTGATGCTTGACGCCGATGGTCTCGGCCTCAACGTTTTTGAGAACGACGAGAAGAAATAGGCGCGAAACGGAGTGGCACGCGCATGAAACCAGCAGAACAGCCAGGGTGACCACGGACAGCTCTCGCACTCTAAAATCTCCACTGTATTCTTCAAACGTATGGAGTGTATTATAGCAATATATGGATGAAAGGAAAGGAAGCCTAATGCCTGCCTCCGAGTTTGAAGGCCGTTTTCGACCACCAACTTGCCACAACCTTGCCGTAAAGTCAACATTGTACGATGATGTCGATCCCAGCCCCAATGATCTGCTAGAAAACGGACAATAGGTTAGTATTCAAGGTGATGCAAAAAGTTGGCATCATTACCGATGGCCACACCCAGGCAGCACCGGGCAAGTAACTAGCTACTGCCCACTCAAACCTACCTATGGTTGCGCTACCCCACCACGCCTTGTCCCGCCTTCAAGCAAGCCAGCGATGACGGTCCCGCCGCCCGCGAACCCTGCTCTCATCCTGACACTTGCATTACCTCCTTGCGCGCAAGAACAAGAACGAAAGAGCAAAACTAGTCAACATCTCTCATTTCCGATACCCACACTCTAAAACTCCTCACTATGTTGATCAAGTACGGTATCCCCTCTCTCGTCTCGCAGCCCGCTTCCAGACAACGACCCCCGCTAACCCGCGATGCCGCAGGGTGCGAACGCTGACGGGCAAGGAGATTGAGCTGGACATTGAGTCGAGCTACAAGGTATTTTGCTTTTGAGTTTTCTACGAAACATAAGTCGTGGCAAGATGGGCTGACAAGCACGTGGCGTGGCGGTTGAACAGGTCTCGCAGATCAAGGACAAGGTCGAGGAAAAGGAAGGCATCCCGCCGGTGCAGCAACGCCTCATTTACGGCGGCAAGCAAATGTATGGGGGCTTTCTCTTCTTTCTTGTCATGGGCGCCTTCGATTTTCCTTTGAGCTGACGCATCGACTGCAGGACCGACGATAAAACCGCGGCAGACTACGACCTCAAGGGCGGCGACACTCTGCATCTCGTGCTGGCGCTCCGAGGCGGCCGCCGATAGAAGCCATGCCGTTTCGTTGGTTCTTCCAAACTCTTTCCGAGCGAAACGAATGAGGGGGAGATGACAAATAAAGAAGAAAAAATCATGCATTCCTCAACAAGGGCATCGTCGACATTAGCGATTAATAAACCAAAAGAAAGACAGAAAGACAATGGCGGCCGGATAGCGTTGCTTGGTACTTTCTACTACAGTGGCAATGCTAGGCGCTTAAATATCCAAGATGAAATAAAAATTACGAATTGACAAGGACCATGAGATGATCAAGTGAAAGAGATCAAAGGCAACGAAATATCATTTTGCTGGCGATATGCATATATAGACGCAAAGCTCGCAATCTAAAACACCAAGAACCGCTCGACGCCCTAAGCAAAAGGCACGCTCATGCATAGCCCAGTAAAAGACTGTCATGCCGCTGATAGGGTGCATCATGTGCGAAATCCAACATCAAACGCCAAAAACGGGAATCACCCCCATCGCCCGACAATTCGTAAGAGACAAAAACGCCATCACGCTTGACGCTGCATAGCATGCACAAGTCGTAAAAAAATACAGACAAAATCGCTAAACGGCCCACACGGGAACGTCATAAAGGCTCAACAGCCAAATCTCATCACGCTGACTGTTGACGCCAGGGGCAAATACAAAATAAAGACAACAGAAAAAGACCGCTCAAATCTTTGGAGAAGATTCATGAAGACGACAAATCCAGACGACGTCTATATTCCCAGATCAAAACAAAAAAAACCAACCTCGCTATGCATATTATCGGTGTTGTTGCATTGTACAACAGCGTACACTCTTTGTTTTTGTGTGTTATTTCATTCTTCCTTTTTCTTGAAAGCATCAGCGTCGGACGGGACGCTTCATGAAGACATTGACGGGCTTCTTCTTGCGCATCAACACCTTGGGAGCTTCGGGCGACGTCTTGAGCGACATGCTCCTCGCAGTATCCTCGGGGGGACTAGGCTGCCTAGGCAAAACCCTGTTGGGCGACACCTGCGCCGGCTCAGTGGCTGGCCTCTTGGACGGGCCGGCAGCAGGCTCGTCGAGCTTGGCCGAACTCGTAGTGCGCTTCTTGGCCGTGGGAGACATGTCGCGCGACGCCGTGGTGGTGGTGGTGGTCGTCGTCGTAACGCGCACAGGCTTTGTCGGGGATTTGACGCTCTTGCCCGCGCCAAACTTGCGCTGAAACATGCTACCGCGAGACCCAATGACCTTGCGTCCGGGAACGGTAGGCTTTCCAGGCGTTGAAGCCGAGGAAGGGCCTGCGAGAGTGGCAGATACAGGGGTAACGCGCTGTTTGGGTGGTTTGTATGTGGGCTCCTGATCCATATCAGAGTCCTCCTCCGAGTCGGTAATGTAGGCTGCGCGTTGAGAATGCTCTTCTAAAGCTGCTGCGCGCTTCTTTTCCAATTCCTGGAGGCGCTGTTCACGCTCCTCAGTCTCCGGAGTGCGAAACGCGGGCTGGGCTGCGATGCGCCTCTCCCGCACCATAGCGGGCGGCGGCGCCTTCAAATGCTGCTTTTCGAGGAGGCGAATGGGTGCCACAACAGAGCGGGAGAGGGCGCCTTGAATGTTTCGGACCTCCCGGGCCTCGCGGCGGGCCTTGCGCATGACGCCCGCACCCGTAAGTGTCTTGGTGCGGCTGCCTCCGCCAAAGGTCAAAACGCCCGTGGTGTGGTCCTTGGGCCCGTTGCGCTTCTTGGGGCGTATGGCGTCCGAGGGCAAGAAGCGGCCCTCGACAATCTTGCTCGTGTTCTTTTCCTTGTCCTGGCGGAGACCCATGAGGGCGGCGCGGAGCTGCTCCTCCGACTCCCTGATGGAGCGGTCGTGGTCGACCTTGTACTTTTCCCAGACCTTGAACCACTTGTCCTGGCTCTTGGGCATGTACGCCTTGGCTTTGAACTCCAAGGGAAAGTCCTTTTCGATAAGACGTAGCCATAGCTCACCCGTCTCGCCGTGGAGCTGCGGGCAGTTGAGCTCGATCTGGCGGAGTTGTCGGGCATTATCAACCTTGAGGAGAATGTGACGGACGGACGCATAGGAGAGATAGCCGATGCTGACAATAGATTCTATGTTTTTGACGGCAACGGCGGTGGCCATTTCGTAAAGCGACTTGACAGGCATCGTGGCTGATGCGTGTATTGTAACTTATACTTTGTAGGAATCTGCGTTGTGGTTATGGGGGTTCAAAACAGTTGCAACGGCTAAGCGTCAGGCTGGTAGTAGTATGGCGGATTTTATGAAGAGCTGACAAGAGTAGCAGTTCTGGATCAAGTAGTGTCGATGGTAGAGCAAAGTTCAGTTGTTTGTAATGGCTGTTGAGAAGTTGATTGAGTAGGGGTTTTCTTCGTTTGGTTGAAACTGTTTGTGTAGTGCGAGCTGGACAAATATGGTGTGAAAGGACGAAGAGTACCAGTAGTATGAAGCGTATGAAGAGGAGAAGAAGAAGAGAAGAGAAGAATGATCTTGCTGGATGACAGATGTGCGGGTACAACTTTCGATATTTGAATAGAGTTCGCGCATTCGCCTTATCCCCCCTTTTCAACCGAGAAATGACGCGTGAGGCTTGGAATCAAAGCCTTTTGGCGAGCAACACCAACATCAAAGCATGCCTTTTCGTGTGTGGCGTCATCAGATTAAGCGAGCACGTATCGCGATGTCGGCAGGGATCGTTGGTGTTGATGCGAGGATGAGGTTCGCGCAGACGCACAGAGATGGAGGTAGATGCGCTAGGTACCTAGCCTGGTGGCTTCAAAGTGCCACAGATAGGCGCGTTGCCGGGCTTGGTGCGACGCCGGGCAAGCCAATAATGCAAACGAACCCTGAAAAAAAAAAATAGAACAGAGAAATAATTCGGGTACAGGGTGCTGTATTTACATTTTGTTGCCTAACGAAGATGATGCTGAAATTGACATGTGTCCCGACCAAGTCAAAGAGGACCCTCCACATATAGGTACCTTATACTTTTGAGTCCTTGAAGCTTTCGTGGCGGTTCCCTAAGGATATGGCGCCAATTAGACGGCATAGAAAAAATCGGCCTTAATTTTTCTTCGCGAGTAACACTACCTTGTTCGAACTGCTAACATTCCTCCAACTTAACAAATGGCTCCATCACATTTATCATGACAGTACGTACACACTTTCGCTGGCGCTGGCGCGTAGCGGCTTTAGAGGCGAATCTCACCAATGAGCAGGGGGTAGCTCTCGCCAGCAGCTATTATAATCGTAATGAAGAATTTGCTACGAGAAATGCTGCAATAGTCGGTTTGTCAAAGCAGCTGGTTATGTAAATAGCTTGCAGTTCATCATGATCAAAGTGGATCGAGTTGCCTGGCCGTGCTGGCGAAGCTGTCTAGAATTCATAGTTACTTAGCCTTCACATCAACAAAGTGTCAATGTGCACCTGGTTACCGCAACTGGCTTGCCTTTGTCTTGACTACGGCGAGCCTCATGATTGCGCCCTCCCGTTTTATCGTGTCTTACGATAGTTTTCTGCCCCAACCCCCTCACGGTATGGCTCGTCAAAACAGTATCGCGCAAGCCACCGATCCGATGCTTTGAAGTTTCGTGTTCGCTGGGCCGAGCAAACCGCTGAAGGGCGTCACCTCTCTCCACGTTTTGCATGGCGATCTATCATGCAACAATATGTTCTTCGGCGCAGGTCTCGACCCTAAATTGGTCATTTCGTACAAGAGCAGTCACAGTCTTTCCGGCGCCACATCAGTCTCCATGAATTGAGAGCTTCTCGCTGTTTGATGACTCTGCAATAAAGTCATGACTGGTCACACGCCCTTCCAAGACAAATTTGCCCATGAGATTGACAAGTCATTCAGCCAAGGCTAATCTCTGTCTCTACAAAGATGTCCCAGCTGGGAGGAGAGTTGTTCGTCGACGCTGGATAGACAGTGCGGCTCAATCACAGAGGTATCGTAGAACATGATTAAAGGTGCATGCATGCATGAATGCGCGGGTCTTTCGACACTAATCGATCTTGTCGGGCAGTTTTTCAATCAGTCAGATAGACACATTTGTCGTTACTAGTCGCCTGTTGCTCGCCCTCGTCACCGTCCTCCCGTACATTGGTGGATGAGGCATCGAAAATGGACCACAACATAAAATCGACGAGAACACTTCCCTGGAAGCTCTAGTAGAAAATTAGGACAACCTCCAGGCCTCCTCGAAGTAGCGTCGACGCTTCGACACCCAATGTCCGACTGCCTATAACCGCTGCTCGGGTCGCAGCACTCCTTGGGCCGGGTGGTTACTCAAAGTCGTTCGTTGACTTTTCTGCCAACGCTTTCAAGTTATCAAAAGTTATTCATAACTGTTCTTTGCCCTGGCATATTGTATGATTCATGGCTGCGACCCTTCGGTAAGCGACGGTCAAGGAATGCCTATGTTTGGCTATGCAGCTGCACCTTTGCTAGGTACAACGCATCATGCCTGGCATAATATTCAAGCTCCAAAAAATATCTCTGTTCCTCCATCAACAGCCCTCTTGGCGGTTGTCTCTGATCCTGCTGCCCACACGTGGTAATTGCGTGGCTGTATGGCTCCCTGCTTCTTCCGCAAGTAGCCTTCATGACTGTGACGACTGCTTGCTCGGGCGGATTCTTTTCTGCAATGAACTTTTCGTACCGATCATGCGGCCAACGTTGGCTCAAATGCAGCTACGTTCTTGAGAGTGGTGGAAAAGTGATGCAGCAGGATGCAACTCAACACGCACAGCGGCGGCCCCCCACCACCACCACCACACCGTCTCCGCGTCCAATATCAGATAGTCAGCGTATGGCGCGAGCAGTTAACTACTGCAGATACGGTAGCCCACTGATAGAGAGCTGATCCTATTTGTCCAACGCGCAATCCTTCGTTGGGGTGTGTCAAGCCGCCAGAGCGCCAGAGCGCCTCTCACGTTTGTTGCCGAGAGTGCTAACACCCGTCTCTCACCTCGCTCTGCAAAGAGTTGGCAGTATATAGGTAGGTAGCGGACCCCCCCCCCCCAACTATGTGTCATCTTGCGCAATCAATCTCTGCAAGGTGAATTATCTGCTGGAACGAGTGTCAACGACGATACCAAACATGCTGCACCGCGTCAATTTTTGCCTACTGGCAGTAGTTGTCTTTTCTGCTACCCTAGCGATGGCACTACCAACTCTACCGCGTATGCCTACCATCTTCCCATCTTATTGAACAGAGTATAGCATCTAACATTCAACGTCTAAGGCCTCTCCGTCACACGTGCACAGGGTGAAGCATGGTCTTCAAATGCATACCAAGGGGAAGCTGCCTGGGCCAATCCAAAGGACGTTCTTGGAACGAAGTAGAGCGCCACCTTGTCTGTCTATCTGGAGATTATGTATTGGCTTCTACATGCACGTCTAGAATCGTGCTTCCTCGAGAGCTGACTTTGGGCAAGTTTTCCTTGCTTCGTGGGGCTTATACTATCGAGTGAATTGGATGGGATAGAATAGTAGGTACATGAATGAAAGAAAAGGGTCTACCGCCGGACAGCAGCGGGCCATCTGCACCGATTGTGAGACTGTGACAGATGCAATTGAATCAATGCTTGTTAGCAGAGCTTCAGAGTCAGCTCCTGCGTTGAATGGCTGGCTCGACGCCGCACTGCTACATCGACGCAACCGTTATACTTGATCTATCTGCTCGAGAACTGCACAGCATGCAGGTGCTATTTGCGCTGCACAAAAGTACTGGAAAAAGGCCACACCCCGTTGATCCGCCTGTAATCCCTCATTTTAACCACGTGTCAAGCCACTTCTTTTGAGTGCTTTGAGGCTTCGTGGAGGTCAGTCGTAAGGACGCTGACGAATGATAACGATTGCTCAGCAAGGAACCTTCTTGTAGGATTTATTGAAAGCCACTGTAATACAGAAGTACTGCTGTGATCTGCAAGTATGAATGGCCGGGCACAAAAATCCAAGGATATTCTGGGGCACCGGCGATGTAGTGTATACGTGAAATCACTAGGCAATAGTAGATAGAATGCTTGTGCGAAAGCCTTAATCACATTTAATTAATTAAAGCACTGGGATTAATGTAATAACTATTGGCGTGGCTACCAATATTAGTGACCTTGCCTAGGTAGCTCGGGCCGGCTCTTCTCCACAGATGGCTTTAGGCCTGCTCAACTGCTGGCTGTGGAGCCTTTTGTGGGGGTGGTTTGGGCGGTTAGAAAGCTGCAATCTGGGGCTAACAGCGGCCCCGCCCTTGCCCGATCGTGGCCATCACACCCGTTTAACCCGGCCACTCACGACCTACACACCCACACCACACGAACAATCTCCTCACTGCAGCGAGCACCATTGGCACCAACGAAATTTACCGACTTCGTACAGACATCTGCCTACAACATGGCACTTTTACTCGGCCGGCTGCTAGCAGCCTGGAAGCCTACTCGGCGGCAGGAAATAATAAGTGCAAGGGCTGGCCAGCCCAACAGCTTCTTTGCGTTACTGTCATTTTTCCAACCTCGTCTCCTCCGTCAAACGCCCCGCCATCACATCCGCCAACTTCTCTCGCCATGAATACCGAGGGTAATGACGAAGCTTTCGGCCCGGTTTCCGCCTCAAGGTTGGATTTCACCCTTCTATTTGAGCATACTGTTCTGGGAATACTTCCGACAGGCTTGCTTCTTGCCACTACGCCTCTCTACTTCTATATTTGCGCCAGGCGGCCCCTCTACACTCGCACTGGTTACATCCTATGGGCTGAACTCGTGAGTTTCTCTTATCCATCTCCGCTTCTATTTCAACTAATGAGGTATGACAGGCCGTTTCTATATCTCTCGTCGGCGTAGAAATTGCGAATCTGGTCGTGTACAGTCAAACGCCATCGATACGAACGGATGTTGCTCTGGCTGCGGCATCTTGATCATGCGTCGGCGGTCTCGCGATTGCGTTTATATTATTTATTGAGTACAGACACTCTCTTCGACCAAGTGCCCTCCTTAGCCTGTACATCATCACCAGTCTTGTCATAGATGTTAGCAAGAGCCGATCCTACTTTATTCGCCATGAACTACAAGCTCTCGGCAGCTTATCTGCAGCGGCAGCTGCAACGAAAATTTTAATTACGATTCTGCAAGAGGTTCCAAAACGGCATCTTTTGATGGATAGCGAGCTGAGAAACTCTACTGGAAGAGAAGCTACCGGCGGATTCTTTTACCGAAATTTCTTCGGCTGGCTGAATTCCATCTTCGCGACTGGTTTTTACACCGTTCTCAAAGTCACGGATCTGGAAGAGCTTGGTCCCGAACTCGCTTCCAGGAGCCTTTATCCCAGGTTTCTTCAGATATGGAAAACAGGTAAGAACGACGCATGGCGGACTCAATCTCCATGTACTGACTTACCTCAGACAACCCTGATCCATCCAGCGGCCGCCTCGCCATTGCGTGTCTCCACACTCTCTGGTGGCATTTTCTAGCGATACCGCTACCGCGATTGCTGTTCTCACTACTGACACTTGCGCAACCTTTTCTGCTGAGGCGAATTCTGGACTGCATCTCAAACGATGATGCCGGGCCATATGAGCGAGCAGGCTTGATTGCAGCTACTTTGTTGACTTTTGCCACGCGGGCGGTAAGTAGTTTTGTTTCCGTCTTGTTGGACACATCGCTCCAAGGCATCCTGCCTTCTCTTCAGAGCCTAAGCTTTGACCTTACAAACCTTTGCATGAGTCTAATTCAATCATTGGATAGATTGCACGAGGCTCCTATAAGCATGCAAGCTATAGGCTTGTCACGGCTATCCGTGGCGTCTTGATAGCGGCCATGGCTGACAAGCAAATGCGGCTTACACATACAGAGGCCAAGAAATCAGCAATATCAACCCTTATGACAGCCGATGTTGAAGGGATTGAAGCCACGTTGCCTTCTGTTCATGATTTGTGGGCATTCTTCGTAGACATTGGCTTCGGTCTCTACTTCCTATCAAGATACATCAGTCTTGCTACCATTTCAATTTTTGCTCCCTTTCTTTGTAGGTCCTGTCACGCCGCCTTCATGTCATGCTCGGCTAATGGTTATCCCTAGTCTCAGTGATCTATGGCTTTCTTATTGGAAAATGGTCGCCAAAAGCTTTATCAGCCTGGAATGCGAGTATTCAGTCAAGGGTGTCGAAGATGACAAATATTCTTGCTCAACAGATTCCCATTCGGATGATAGGGCTCGGGCCCATCGTGGGTAAATTTGCTCAAAACTTACGTGTCACTGAAATGAAGTACTCGAAACGATTTCGCATCTGTACAACGACAACAATGACAGGAGGCATGTTACAGACTGAGCCATCTTTCTTTCATTGGCTAACGAGTTAACAGCTGTCTGTATTGAAGCATTTACACCTGTGATTATTCTCACGGCCGCCTTGTTGTGGACCACTTTTCCAGAAGGCTTTACTGCTTTCAAAGCGTTCCCCATTCTCGCCCTTATTGCCATCGTCCAGATGCCACTATTTTTCCTCATTGAAACATTCAGCAATGTGATGCGTGCTTGGGCATGTTTCAACCGCATCCAGGCTTATCTACAGCTACCCGAATGGAAAGACCCGCGACGGTGTAGTGACGCGGCGACCAGTTCTGCAAGCGGCACTGAAACATTAGCTGAAAAACAAAACAAGCGTAAGAGCATTCACCCGAAGAATGATGTCGTGTACGAGTTCATCGATGCATGGATTGTCCCTTCAGGGAGTCCTCAATCCATCCTGAAAAGCATTGATATGCAGATCATGAGATCTCGTATCATTGCGCTACTTGGCCCCATCGCGTGTGGTAAATCTACCTTTCTCCGCTGCCTACTTGGCGAAGCCGATTTGTTACATGGTGCAATCTGCGTCACGAAAAAAGCGATCACGATTGCATACTGCGACCAGACCCCTTGGCTTCATAATGGAACACTACGAGACAACATACTTGGTCCCAATCCTTACGAGGAGAGCTGGTATCGAGCGGTTGTGAGGCGGTGCCAACTTGTCGAAGATTTCGACCAATTGTCCAATGGTGACGAGAGTGTGGTGGGAAGCGATGGAATGAATCTCAGCCTGGGCCAACGCCACCGCGTTAGTCTGGCCAGAGCTGTATACGCCCGTCCAGATGTCGTCCTTGCTGATGGCATATTCAGCTCACAGGATCAGGTGACCGCCAGAGCCATCATGAAGCAGTTGCTGGGTGCTGATGGTCTTCTGAGGCAGTCCAACACCACTGTTGTACTAGCTACTCACTTGAGCGTGGTGTTGGATGTAAGCGATGAGGCGCTGGTTTTTGACGGCAAAGGGAACATTGCTAGAAAAACGGTCTCCGATAATCCCGACCTCAAAAAGGAGCTAGTGGCAGCAATGAACGTGACGAAGCAAATGTCTTTCGAACGCCGGCAGGTGGATTCTGGAGCCAAACATATGCAGGAGATGCATCTCGGAGATGGCACGGCAGCCAAGACAGCCGAGAATACACCTCCGAGCAACTTTCGTACCCGGGGAGATTTCGGGCTGTACCAGTTTTATTTCAGCGCCATTGACAAAACTCGGTTTATTTTATGGATTGTGGCGATGATAGTCGTCACAATTTGCGACAACTTCCCCAGTAAGCTGTTCGAGTGAGGATCCAATGCCGATCCGCTAACTAAAGCGTCTTGTTAGGCGGTTATGTGCGGATACGGGTGGACAAAGATCCGAAAAACAACCTTTACCTGCTGGGATTCGCACTCCTTGCGCTGGGCAGAGTAATTATTGGTCTATGGAGTCAACGGGTTTTTTATCTCCAAATTCTTCCGGAATCTGGTGAGCAGCTGCACCAAATGCTTCTAGACGCACTGACAAAGTAAGTTGTCCCATACAGAGCTCTCATATGAGTGAAGCCTGCCACAAACTAATAGCTCTAGTGCAACACTCAACTATATCTGCGCTGTTGACAGCGGAGATCTGCTAAACAGGTTGGCAAATCAAGCTATAAATTGCGGTTTATGTAATCTTACCAATTCGCAGATTTAGTCAAGATATGAGTCTGGTTGTACAAGCTCTCCCATTAGCAATGTACAAATTTGTGTTCAGTATGTCACTCGAATCTGAGCACGTTCCTTTCAGAAGTTACTCTGATGTACTAATGGAGAGCATAGTGCTTTTTTCCACCGTCATCGAGCTTGGCTTCGTCCTTTCTGGGCATCATACGCAACGATTGCTCTTCCCTTTGTCCTTGGCATAGTGTACGCCATACAAAAGTACTATCTTCGAACATCTCGCCAGCTGCGCCACTTGGACCTCGAAGCGAAGACGCCACTGTTTGTTTGTTTCAAAGAAACAGCCAATGGTTTACTGCATATTCGGACCCTTCATTGGTCCGAGGCACAGCTGCAACGGAATCTGATCTTCGTGGATGATTCTCAAAAACCTTACTACCAAATGTTTTGTGCGCAGCGTTGGTTAGTCTTGGTCCTCGACTCGACCATAACCGCTGTCGCCGTAATCATCGTCGGCGTCGCACTGAACGTCAAGAACTCGAGCTCGCCGGCCGCAATCGGGTTGGCGTACCTGATCATGATCAACTTCGGAACAACTGTCGCCGGATTGATCCAGCGATTTACAGAAATGGAAATATCGCTAGGGTCCATTTCCCGTACACGTGCTTTCGTGGAAAATATGCCTAGGGAACAAGAACCCAAACACTTCAGAGTCCCTGACAATTGGCCCGACAAGGGCAAAGTTGAGTTCAGAAATGTCACAGCCAAATACAAGTAGGCCACCAAACCAATTCGCGCGATGTATTGCTGACAATGGAGTAGTTCAGACTCTGTTCTTACGGATGTATCATTCGTTGCTCGACCAGGAGACAAAGTAGGCATTATTGGCCGATCTGGAAGGTAAGTTTCATCATAATTTTGTCGATTTATTCTCACTAAAGACATGAAATAGCGGCAAGAGCTCTTTGCTATTGACTTTGCTGAACTTCTTGGAGTATTCCGGATCCATTATTATCGATGGTGTGAACATCAGCAAGGTTCCGCATCAACTACTCCGCGAGCGCATTACGACCATCACTCAGACACCAGTCGTAATCGATGACTCGATTCGATATAACTTGGTTCCATGGGACGACAACAAGAGTTTTCCAGACTCTGTCATCAAACATACGTTGCGGCAGCTTGGTCTTTGGGAGCACATCAAGTCCAAACGCGGGCTTCAAGCATCTGTGGAAAGTGCCGGATTATCTGCAGCTCATCTAGAGCTCCTCTGCATCGCGAGAGCTATTCTGCATCATATTCAGATGGAAAGCAAGATTGTACTAATGGACGAAGCGACTGCGTCGTTAAGCGCAGCTTCAGATCTGGAAGTGCAACGAGTCATGAAGGAGGTATTCCAGGGCTGCACGGTCTTCAACGTTGCACATTGGGATTCGCCTTTGCAGGTGAACGATCTTGAACTGTTCATCGAAAAGGGGAAGCTTGAGAATGCCTGGCGTTTGAAGTCTGACGAGGAGGACGAGGAAGCTGCGGAGGAAAAGCTGGCTCGGGATGAAGATGAGACAGCCTATCTTCGACGCTTGTTGAGGAAAGAAGATCAAGAGCAGCGTGAGATTTTGGCAAGAGAGCAGGCTTTTGAGGCCAAGGCCAAGGAGTCCACAATAAAGGAGGATGGCGAAAAGACATTGGAAGGACTTGTTGAGCTGCCGGACCCGACTGAAGGAGACGCGTCGAAGGTCAGGCCGATTCATCCATTGGTGAGGGCGCACGGAAAACTGCGAGCCGAGTCACCGAAGGATGCTACTGGCCCCCCTGCGGCCAGCTCTTCGGCGCCTGCCAGGCCAATGCCAACGAATCCGCCAGAGCACGCGCCGCCGCAAGCCGAATCCATCGACGGTCAATGACCGAGCCGACGCCGGGATCGGCAGGGCTCGAATCAGCTTACGGATATCCCTCGAATCGGTGTGTTGTTGTCCACCGCCGTTGGCGCGGAGGACTCGGCGTGGCCTAATTGCGTTCAGCGCGAGAATTTTAGGGAAAAAAATCGGTTCGAAGTGATTAATGTAGCGCTTCTCTGACTTATTGATCGAGTAACGAACACTCCTTGTGTTTTTCATGCTGATTCTCTTCCATTTTCTCTGGCTCATTTACTTCATCGGTCTCTCGCGCGTGCATAGTATCTTGCATAAGCTCACAATGTAGCTCGTAGTTTTGTACTCCTCATTCTCAGTACTACCAGCAAGCCCGTCTTGTCTCGCGACACAACGCCACCACGCGCGGCTTAAGGAAAATGAAAACCCATCAAATACCTCAATGCAAAAGCAATAGGTACATTCCATTAGAAAAAAATCTCTTCTTCTTCAACTTTTAAACAACATTCCGTCTTGCGCGAACGGGCAATGCGGAATTACGTTTCACCGCTCGCCCCCGCTAAAACTTTTTCCTCACCATAGAAAAACAAAACTCTGACCCTTTTGGTAACAACTTCCTCCCCCTTTTTCCCACCAATATCACACCCGCTATCTAGAGGCAAATCTCTTCGCTCTTCGCTCTCTGCCGCGTTTCGAGGGCACACATGGCCTTGGCAGTCCCTCAGCAGTCGAATTTCCTGCTGCTGCTGTGCCACTGCTGAAGCTGCCATTGACGACGCAGGGTTAATTATCCGCTCGGTGCTGCACAGCTCGAATCGATTAGGCAAAGGCATACTCTTGGACGCTGGCGACATTCCAAGGGTGTGAGTGTGGTGTTTGAGCAGGAGAAGGGTTGGGTGATTTCGTAGACACTGCGTGCGCTGCGCTTGTTGGCGACGAGGTGAGGTGCGACGTGACCATGACTTGTTGTGATGTGTTTTTGTACGGCATTAGTGTGTACAGCAGTGGGCTTCTTACTCGGTGCTCCAATTGCTGAAGGAATTCTTCATCGTGCCAATATCAAACACCCTAGCATTACCAAACACCTGAGGTCTACACTCCCAAAGACAATGGTGCATGAAGCTAGGGAGACATCTATCACCAAGTGAACGTTTTCAGTACGGAAAGTATCTTGTATATTAATTCACTAAATTTCAGAAAAGCCAGTTTTCGTAATTCTTTACTATATCATCCCTGAATTTTTTCTTTTTGGGCATCTTCCACTCCACATCCGCTTAAGCCTGGTAAGTAGAGGCAGAAACGTTGCCACCACGACCAGTCCAGTTGACGTGAATGTCCTTGCCGGCCTCGTACTTGGCATTGGCGTGCTCGGGCTTGATGTGGAAGGTATGGGCACCAAAGTAATCGCGCTGGGCCTGGAGCAGGTTGGCGGGCAGGTCCTTGGTGCGGTAGCCGTCGAACCACGACAGGGCGGTAGAGAAGGCAGGGGTGGGGATACCAAGCTGGGCAGCCTGGGCAACGACGTCTCTCCAGCCTGGCTGAGCCTTGTGGATGGCCTTGTTGAAGAAGTCGTCAAAGAGGAGGTTGGCAAGGTCGTTATCCTTGCGATACGCGGCGGTGATGTCCTTGAGGAAGACGGAGCGAATGATGCAGCCGCCACGCCACATGAGGGCAATGGAGGGCTTGTTCAGCTTCCAGCCGTACTCTTTGGCAGCCTGGCATTTGTTAGCTGGAGTCGAGAGATGAATGATGAAAGAAGAATGGCACGTACCTCCTGCATTAGCATGAAGCCCTGGGCGTACGAGATAATCTTGGAGGCATAAAGAGCCTGCTCAAGGTCCTCGAGGAACTGCTCCTTGTTGCCCTCAAATTTGCCGCTGCCGCGGGCAACGTACTGGAGCTTGGTAGAGGCAACTGTTCGTTCCTCCTTGATGCTAGACAGGCAGCGGGCAAGGACAGCCTCAGCAATGAGGGTGACAGGCATGCCGAGGTCAAGAGCGTTGACAGCAGTCCACTTGCCGGTACCCTTCTGGCCAGCCTGGTCCAGAATCTTCTCGACAAGAGGAGTGCCGTCATCATCGTTGAAGTACATAATGTCACGGGTAATCTCAATGAGGAAAGAGTCGAGAACACCCTTATTCCACTTGGCGAAGACGTCACCAATCTCCTTGTTGGAGAGACCGATGGCGCGCTTCATGATATCGTAGGCCTGGGGTTGTTAGCTGTGAACTTCATTGTGGTTTGAGAGGAAGCGTACCTCGCAAATGAGTTGCATGTCACCGTACTCAATACCGTTGTGAACCATCTTGACGTAGTGGCCAGCACCCTCGTCACCGACCCACTCGCAGCAGGCCTCGCCATCAGACTTGGCAGAGATTCCCTGGAAAATGCCTTTGATGTGAGGCCAAGCTTTCTCGTCACCACCGGGCATGATGGAAGGGCCATAACGGGCACCCTCCTCACCACCGGAGACACCGGAACCGACGAAGCTGAGGCCCTTACTGCTAAGGTACTTGGTGCGGCGGTTGGAGTCGGGGAAATGCGAGTTGCCGCCATCGATGATGATATCACCCTTCTGTAGGAGGGGCAAAAGCTTCTCAATCCAGTCGTCGACGGCCTGGCCGGCCTGGACGAGGAGCATGATGCGCCGGGGAGTCTTGAGCTTAGAGACGAACTCCTCAACGGAGTGTGCGCCGACAATGGGCTTGCCCTTGGCCTCGTTTTCCAAGAAGTGATCGACTTTGGAGACGGTTCGGTTGAAGGCGCAGATAGTGAAGCCGTGATCGGCCATGTTGAGAATCAGGTTCTGTCCCCTGAGCAGCAAGGTCAGCAGCTTGTCGGGACAGCGCGGAGGCACCGGAATAAGCCAAAACTTACATGACAGCAAGGCCAATGAGGCCGAGATCCGCGCTTGGGGCATTGTTAGCATGTTGCACATGATGAGAGCTATTTGGGCCGGGAGTTGCGGAGGAGGGGCTGCTGCTGTGGTCGGAGCCGAGCTTGATGTTTGCGAGTCGAGCACTACCGCTCAGCAGTGAGCGGACGATTCAAGAGGGGGAAAAGTCGCCAATGTAGAGCAACACCGCAAAGCACAAGCAAGGCCGCTTGATTGAGCAGAGAAGCAAAAACACCAAGAAAAAACTGGCGATGTGCCCAAATACCGAGTGCGGGAAATTGAGCGTGTCTACCAGCTGTCGGCGGGGTGGTGGGGTAGTTGAGATAAGAGCAGATAGCACAGCAGAACAAGGAACGGCGGGAGACTTACACAGGACCAGACATGATGGATGTGAGGTTGCAGAGTGGTATCTGGATAGAAGAAGAGCAGTGTCAGGTAGCACAAGTGCAGAATCCAAGAGGACGGGTTGAAGATGAAGATGGAGAGTAGAAGAAGGAGCAAAAAGATGGGCGAGTTTGAAGTTTGTATGACCGTGCTTGGTGAGGAAAAGCGGGCTCAACTAGCTATGGGGGGACTGGATTGGCGGGGCAGCAACATGAGAGAGTGGGAGTGTCATCACAATCGCTGAAAAAGAGATTTTTTCTCACGCTACGGTGCACTTGCTGAGAGTACTATTAGTGATCAAGAGATTCACGGAAGCTAAAGCAGCCAGCAATGCAGTTTGCCGGGTTGGAGGCGAACTGCCGTTGTGACTTGACCATCTCGTCCCAACAAACCATGAACTGGCAGCAGTAGCAAGAATAGACACGGCGTCGGCTGTTGGTTCTTGCCAATTTGCGCCTCATATTCATACAGTTTGAGACATTATTCTAACATGGCCTCAAGTGTCCTCGACAAGCCGTGTCAGATGGGCCGCGATGCCGCCGTCGGACGAAACGCATCATCCAGGGCTTGGCTGGCCCAACGAACTCCGGGGCGGGGCCCATGACGCACCGGCAGCGGCGAATAGGCAGAGGTGTGGCCGGCGGCTCTGTAGCGGCATTGCAGTTACCTATGGCGGCGCTGTGGCTACCCCTTGGTGGCACGATTTTGGCTGTGGAATCCCCAACCCAGTAGCTCCGGTGCGGCCGGTCGGTCAACGAGCTGCCTTGCTTCACGAGGGAAGCAGGATACGCGCCGGTAACAAGGCGCGCAAAATTGGCAAATTCTGACATGGCAGCTGCTAATTGCTCATGTCAGTATTAGCAAGCGTCGGGCCTGTTCTTGTGCCACGTTCCACGGCAGCAGCGGCCCAAATAGATACCATCAATACTGGCTTAATAAAAGTGTCTCAGCAGCCATAAAAAGTTTGTCAGCAGGGGAAGCTTTATGACGAATGCGGGTGTTGGGGCAGCGTCTCATGTTGCTTGGCTGATACTCGTAACACATTGTCTTTATCTACCGATTGGTTGTTTATTCGAGGGTCTTCGAAGCTCCCAATTATTTGCATATTTCACTTAATTGTTCCTCTACATCGTTTTCTGTATTTTTTGTTGTTCTTTTCTTCTCACAAAATTCGAGCTATCCATCTACCCCTTTGCTTCGAGGGGCCATCAGCCATTGAGCGCCAACATCTTATGGCCATCAATACCGCCAGCATTGTTTCGATATTCGAACCATTTTGCTTGTCAATTCCGCACCGATCCAATCTCCCTTTCCTGCGATACGAATGGCAGCCGAGCGCCGAAAGACCTCTGCTTCAATGCAACCGTGGCAACAGCTGCTCGTATTGTGCCACCAAGCACAGACTGTCAACCGCGCCACGTTGTTTCCTGTTGGCCTTGAGTCAGAGTGGCATCTAAATCGGGTGTGGCGCATGGAGGGTCCTGAGTCCCTCCTCGTACAGAGCCTTGTGCGGCCTGCCACAACCAATGCCGCCCGCTCTGGAACCGCCTGCGTCTACCGAAAACGGTGCTAAATTCAAAACCCACCGCCTGTGACGTAGTATTTTTTTTTTTTTTCGGCTCAAGCTTGCACCAAAATTATCTGCCTGTAGCGCTCAGGGTCCTCTTTTCCCTTCGTTGCCGTGGGGTCCACGTTTCTCCTCCTCCATTAGTGTCGAGTACCAGTAAACGGTGGTGCCATCAACAAAGAAACCTTTCTTGATTGCCCTCATCTTGGGTCTGTATGATACACTGTGCTTCTAGTAAGTCCCATTTTCCTTCCAATACTCGGTTGATTCGCGGGTGTCACTTGCTGATTATGTTGCCTGCCGTGCTGCAGCTTCACATACTGTACCCCTCCGAAACCCCGCGCCAGCTGTTCGTGTCTGTCCCGCTCTCCAGCTTTCCCATCAATCTCGACTCCAGCATCTACTTGTGCCGTAAAAGCGCCAGTCGGAATCATGGACGCAAAAATACTTGCAGCTTCTGCAAAATATCCCATCAATGCTGGCCATGTCTACAAATATGGCACGGCTGGCTTTCGCATGAAGGCTGACTTGCTCCCCAGCGTCAGCTTTCGTGTCGGTCTGCTTGCTGGCCTGCGTAGTCGCAAGCTAAACAGCCAGGCCATTGGTGTCATGATTACGGCTAGTCATAACCCAGCTCCCGATAACGGCGTCAAGATTGTCGACCCCATGGGCGAAATGCTCGAGCAAGAGTGGGAAGCCTATGCCACCAAGCTTGTCAACTGCGCCACCGACCAGGAGCTTCTCGACACTTACAAGGCCCTCGCTACACAGCTCAAGATTGACCTCGAAGCTCCCGGTCGTGTCATTTACGGCAGAGACACTCGTCCCTCTGGGCACGGTCTCGTTGTTGCCCTGGCAGACGCTCTCGACGCTACCAGCACAGAGCACACCGACTTCAAGATCCTTACCACCCCTCAGCTGCACTACTTGGTCCGCTGCATCAACACCGAGGGCACACCCAAATCTTATGGCAAAGTCAGCGAGGCTGGTTACTACGAGAAACTCTCTGAAGCCTTTGTACGTGCTCTGCGCGGACGCAAAATTCAAGGCCAGCTCATTGTCGACTGCGCCAACGGCGTTGGTGGCCCCAAGTTTGCCGAGCTCCTCAAGATTATTCCCAAGGATGTCACTGGATTCAACGTCAAGGTTGTCAATGACGACGTGCTTCGACCCGAAGTGCTGAACCTCGACGTGAGTATTTGTTGAACTGCCGGCTCTTTCACAACTGATGTTGATTGTCTAGTGTGGCGCCGACTTTGTCAAAACAAGACAGCGCAACCCTCCGAACCCCAAGCCCGTTCCCGGCGCCCGATGCTGCTCTTTCGACGGTGATGCGGACCGTCTCATCTACTACTGGATCGATCCCGACACCGGTTTCTTCATGCTTGATGGCGATCGCATTTCTTCGCTCTGCGCTTCCTTTATTGGCGAGCTTGTCCGCTCTGCTGGCCTCTCAGACGATCTTCGCATCGGCGTTATCCAGACGGCGTACGCCAACGGCGCTAGCACCAAGTACATTGAGAAGCTGCTGCAGCTTCCCGTCGTATTTACGCCCACTGGTGTCAAGCACTTGCACCACGCCGCTTGTCAGTACGATATTGGCGTCTATTTCGAGGCCAACGGTCACGGGACTGTTGTCTTCTCGCAGGAGGCCTTGCGTCTGTTTAGAGCCAAGCAGCCCCAGTCGCCTGCTCAGAAGGACGCCCTCGAAACTCTTGCTGCCATTGGTGACCTGATTAACCAGACTGTTGGTGATGCCATTTCCGACATGCTCATGGTTGAAGTTGTCCTCGCCCACAAGGGCTGGACTCTGAAGGACTGGGCCACTACATACACGGACCTCCCCAACCGCTTGGTCCGTGTCGAGGTCGCAAACAAGGATGCTTTTGAGGCTACGGATGCTGAGCGTCGCTTGGCCAAACCGGATGGAGCACAGGACGCCATCGACGAGTGTGTTAGGAAATACACGTCGGCGCGCTCTTTTGCTCGAGCCAGTGGTACCGAAAATGCTTGTCGCGTTTACGCAGAGGCTGCCTCGCGTGCCGAGGCGGATGAGCTGGCCAACAAGGTTGCGCAGATTGTCAAGCAGTTTGGCTCTTAGGAAATGGTGGCTCTTGACGAGGTTGGAACGGACACGACAAGCATGAAGGAAAGCATGGTAGCTTTGTCCTTGGTGCCAGTCTGATTGCATTCAAAAGGGAAACAAAATAAGACTTGACAAAATATTTATGAGCCGGGCGAATTATTTATATTGATGTTTTCTACGAGAATTGATAGCGCTTCATGATGACCAGTAGAAAATTGTAAGCTATTCAAAGCACAAACGCAGTGCTCAACTTCATACTTGTCAACTAGGTAGATGACAATTCGCAAACATACTTCTTGTTGCCTACTTTATAGGTATATCTGTTGCTGAGGTCGGCTGCACTGGGCGGAGAGCAAATTACACATCAGACGGTAATCACGGGCATTCTGGTATTCGCAGATGGGATGGAAGTTGAACCAGATTATGATTGCTAGAGTAACATTCTTTGCTTTTCACAGTGTTTCTTCTTTTGTCATGCGAGATGTCCACGTCCCGGCACGTGAAGCCCATCCCCCGTGGAAAAGGGATGCGTGAGTAGATCAAGAAGCGACATGTCTCATCGCGCACAGGCGAAACGCCACCTCCAAAGAAGAAAAGAAAAAATACTTAGGGACCTTAATCCGCTTTTCACTATTTTACCTGAGAGTTTAAATACAAAGTCTTCATGGATGATGTGGCCTTGTTTGGTGCCCGCCATTGTGCGACTAGTTTTCGATGCATATAGCATATATTGAACCAAGACATGTCCGGCTCTAAAACGATCGTCAAGAATGAGGCAGATAAATCGATGCCCTCATGTTTTGGGCGTGAATCATGGTATAATGCTTGTCGATTACGTGCTGATGTGCGCAAGGCAGGACTGCGTTTCGCCGGTGACAAAAGGGTGCTTCTGCAGCGTGATGCAACGCCACCAAAGTGCATCAAGCTGGCTGTTTTAATTACAAGGAATTGGGAAAAAGAGGTTCAAGGTCATTACAATCTAGAGGGCAGCTAAACGAGGATGAAGCATCACATTTCTGTCTCCATGACGCGCAGGAGCTGAAAACCGCAGCCTGCTGTGCGAGTAGGGGGGAGAAGATAAAGAAGAAGCTATAGCAGGTTTTGTGTTATGCGTGTAGAAGCCTGTGATATCAAGCCTCTTAATACGGTGCATCGTGGCCGAGATTGACGAATTGTGTGATGTACGGTGTACCGCCCTGAGATAAGGCAAAGGAACAAACGCATCACGGATCACGGGCGGCCTCGGCAACTGATGGACGTGAAATTTAAGGGTCCTCTTGATTGGCTTGAACTATTCGGGTTCGATCCGGTTTGTGTTGCAAAGCCCGTTATTAATATACAACATATTGACTGCCTTTCATGTGTTATAGCTTGGTAGACGTTCTATTATTACTGGAAATTATAGCTGGGCAGAGCTGGTCCGCTGGATGACTACAAATGGGGGCAGCATTTTGGTGCTAATTATTTCATCTTATTATGATCTTACCACCCCCCTCCCCCTGCTACATTGTTCAGCGGACCGATAGGCAATCATGGGACACTTCCGAGCATCCGCAGGCTATTACTGTGTGTTTTGAACTTGGCCAGGAACGACTGGATTGACGTTGATGTCGAGCTTCTATGAGAAGAAAGTGGCGACGAAGGTTATTGTTAATGCTTACGGATTACCGACGGCGTACTAGCACCATGCCGGCGGGTCGGCACGGAAAGGAATTGCAAATGAATCATCAAAGTGCCCGCTGAGAGGCATGGCCTCGTAGCAAGGTAACAGAAGGGTTGCACGCCATCAGCGCAGCACTGCATTGCAACCTGTAATTATGATGGGGGGCTGAGGCTGGGTGGAAGGTTGATGGGGAACAAAGGGCACTCTTGTTTCAAAGTGGCAAAATTGAAGTGATGCTGTTAAGGGAAAATGCTCGTATTCTTCATGCAACGTCTCTCTCACTTGGTAAAGAAGATACAAATACGATATTTAGGGCTTCTAAGCTCGTTTGATGTGCAGCCACTTTTGGTGAGGTCTTATCCGTTTGCCGATTTATTGTTTGACGTCACTTGATTAAACTATAATGTTTAAAAAAGGGAAAGTAGAAGAAGAAGACTATCCGTTTTAGTTGGCCGTCGGCCTTTTTTAGCAGAATTCAATTAAATTTGACCAATTACCCATTGGCTCGAGATGGGGAACGACGGAACCAAAAGTTATTTAGTAGGCTTGGCTGTGACGTATTTAGACCGCGGCCTTTTTCTTTTTAAGATTGCAAACAGCTCGGAAGCACGGACTAGCTCCAGATGGAAAAGGAACGAGAAGAGATGGGCCGAATTACTACGGATACATGGCCGACAACGCCACGGGGCGGGGGGAACCTGCTCGCTGCTCTTGGACAAGGTTGTTTGCGGCGTTTGAGAATGGGTGTGCGCAAGGCCCGTCATTAGCCTCGACTTGGGCAATTTGGAATGCCGACAGCCAGATTTGCCAGAGACGTGCAACAAGAAAAAATTGAAGCCAGAGATGGCCCGGCGCCAAAAAGGGCAGCGGCTCTGCTAAATAAGCAAAAAGCCACATTTTTTTTTTTTCAGCACGAACGGACATGGGCAAAGTTGTACATGCCAAGATGAGACTGGGCCCTCTCGATCGTTTGAAACAGTGGTACGGAAAATGGAGAAGGACAATAAATAGAGTTGAGAGAGCGACGAGGAAGAAAAAAAAAAGTTTGGCAATCAAAGCATGTGGCCTCATCAAGTGGCCTGCGGATGGGACGGAAGAGGCCATCTCCGCTGAGCAGGAAAACGCACAGGGAGTTTTTGTCCCAGCTGGAGCTTGAGAGAGCGCCCTCTTCCCCCCTCTCTCTCCCCTGACGCCAGAGCCAATATTAGGCGCCGGGTGAAGCCTCCACCAGGGCACGATTCAGCTGTTACAGATAACTAACTGAGCGGCGTGCCTGTGCGATCCAGCGCAGCCGCTCGGTCGACAATCACAGAGAGAGAGAGAGAGAGAGAGAGAGAGAAAGGGTTCGGTCATCTCCAAGGAGCGGCCAGCGCCGTTTACCGTTTTTTTCGCAGGCAACGCGATGACGCGAGGAGGATTAAGAGCTTCTGCATCATCATCATTATTGCGCTGAGCAATGTTATAATAGCGGCCTGGCTAGTCCGTTCCGGCTGATGGTGATCTCCCCCCGCTGGGCGCACAGGTTCGCTAGCTGGACAAGGGCCGCCAGCCCACACCCCCCTCCACACCCCCTTCCTGACCATTATCGTTCGGTCAAGGCTTATCCCAATGAGGTACGCATCAACGTTCGATTGGAGAGGGTGGTGGCGGCGAGCAGGAACCACCAACAGAGTACCAGTAGAAAAGCCCATGATGCACGCAGTGCAGATTAGCATGATCTACACTTTTTCGGGGTTCCATTGGCCGTCCGCCCTTTCGAGTTAAGGGCTTCTCAGTCAGGCCAAGAAGATGGAGTGATGATGGCATCTCGCTTTCTTCGGCAGAGGGGGAGCAAGGACCAGGGATCTTGCTTCTTGTCAATGGCATCTCAAGTACGCGTACGTGCGACAGCAAAAGTCGCCCAGCGCAGCGCCAACGTTGGGGGCCGCAGGCAAACTGGCGCCAAAAGATTGAATCAATTTTATGAAAGGACCTCTCGAAGGGCCCGATCCTTCCTCCAGACCTCACTTGTGCGCCGGGATTCATTCGCTGTGGACGCTGCCCTGCAGCAAGGCTCCCCCCTCCCCCCCCTCCCCCCCTCCCCAGGTTGACTCGGCCGCTGCCACGCAGTAAATATTGCAGAACATTAAGTACAGGTAGGCGGCGGCTTTTGCAAGCTGCCTGTAAATTGGCCGCGTGCTTGCTTCATGAACTAGTCCAGCCCGTGCAAAGGCGTAATCCCCGCTTTCTCCTCCTTTGATCTGGCTGTGACGTTGTTTGGTTCATGTTCCGTGTCGGGCCCTGTAAAGTTTTTTTTTCTTTTCTTTTTTGCTCCATTCAATCGTATACTCTTTTCTTTATCATTATTTCTCTCTCTTTATTCATTCGTTTTGAATTGGTTCCTTGGATCATCCTTGCGGGTTCTGCTGGTCGCCGTCGTAGTTGCCGTCAGTCTGGTTCCCTCATCCGTAACAGCCTCACCACCAAGACTTCATTCGCCGGCTTCGTCAATTTCTCGTCTTGACCCGAATCCACCCACCGTTCGTTCTTCCTGCGCGTTTCGTCAGTGCCTGTTTCGCTTTAGGCCCGCGCTTGTGTATAGTCTGAATCGCAGTTCGCCCTATGCATCTTGCCGCTCAAGCTCCAGAAAAGAAACACATTTCTGCACGACACACAGCCTCTCTTCCTCCCTCTGGGCGCCATTCGCTCGCCCTCTGTCTCGCACCAAGTCTCCTTGATCTTCAGATCCCACACGCCATACTTGCCTATTATTTCCGACCATACGACATCTGCGTTTCTTCCTCCCTTTCATCTCTTTTGGTGAAACGTTTTAGTCCCGTTTACAATCCCGTTTACAACCGCCAGCTACCCGTCTTATAGCTTCTATCCACCCCCAGCGCCGTTTGAACTTTACCGTTGCAAGTCACTTGAACCTGTCTGCGCAGCAACAACCAAGTCAAGGCGCACCACATATGAGTCTTTGGTAATGTTTAGCTACGTCTAAATCATTTGCCACGGCCGTTACCACGCGGAGACTCCGTCACGGTCTCTGAGCTGTCGCTGGTAGCTGCTCTCTACGTTGCAATACGCGCAAAGTCTAAGCATCTCACGCATATTTTTGCGTGCTCTGACGAGGTGACGACTAGCCAAGCCATGGCTCCAACCGACGCTTCAGTTCCTTCCGCCAGCTTTGCTCGCTCACACTCGTCGCCCGAGCCACTGTCGGCATCCGCTTTGAAGAACCGCCCTCCGCTACCGCCTGATTCACCGTCGCTCAACAAGAAACTCCCGAGGCTGCCGTCCTTCGAATCCTTTGAGATCCCATCCTTCGACTCCATTGGCGACTTGGATACCAAGCTTTCTCTGTCCGGAACGCCCTCGCCCTCGTCCAAGCTCGACTCCGTACCACTCACTACGCCTGCGGCAGGCACGACATCCAACATCGAAATCGAACAGCCGGCCGGCCGCTTTAAACTTGCTCTTGCTAGGTCCAAAACCACGAGCCGCCCCAAATCTTGGTTACCGAGCTTCAAATCGAACAAGGAGCAGAATGCTCTCCCTGTGCAGCATCTAGAGCCACCGTTGGCCAATGATGGTGCAATGCCGCGATATCCACTTCTCAAGGAGCGCAGCCAGTCTGCCAGCGACACTTTTGCCAGCTTCACGCGGCGCTCCTGGATCTCTCGAACACCGTCGCCCGTCATCACGACCCCGCCACCAAATGCCAAAGCCTCAGACAAGACGCCTACAACTTCGACAAGCGCCTCGAACAAGTTGCAGTCGCCAGCGCAAATCAAGGCCTCCGAGCCTGCTGTGCGACCAGAAAATGATGTTGAACACGGAAAATCTATCTCGTTGAGCTCCAGCAAGGCTGGTGCCTATTTTTTCAGGGCCAGGCCCAAGCCGTCGACCCTGGTCACTGCTGTCCAGGACTGGGGTGCCGATTCCGACAGCTGCGCCTCGTCAGCTGCCAGCCTGAGTCAAACTGGGCCGCAAAGCGTGGCCAGCCGTACTTCGCAGTCAACAAGCTCAGAAAAGAGCAATGCAACCCCCATAACTGATGATTCATCCAACGAAATGACGCCACAGGTTCGCGATGGCCTGTGGTCGTCGTTCAAGACGCTAGAGCTAGAGTTTAAGAGCTTCACGCTCAAGCAAATGGCCCAGCGCATCGCTCAAATTCAAACCATTCTGCTACCCTTTCTCCGCGCCACCATGCATCACCCGTCCACCAAGAAGCTGCTGCCCGAAGATGTTGACCGCCGAGCCGTCATCCTCAACAAATGGTGGCATGCCATTCTCGACATGCTTGATTCCCAAGCTAACCAGCCGATTCCTGGAGTTGATCGCCCGATTTTGCTCGAGGCCGCTACCATGGTCATGATGAGGCCCGAGTGGCGTCAGGCAACGCCAGCTTTCCAGGCTCTGAATGACCGATGCCCTACTGAAAAAGTTCGCTCACGATCATGGACCAGCTCGTCTTTGGAGTCGCAAAATTCCATGCTGCTCGATGAGACTGCGGAGCACAGTGTGCGAACCATGTTTGTCGGCAACCTGGTCCGCCAAATGTCGCTCGTGGTGGAGAAGATGTCTCTGCGGCATGCGCCTCTCACCTTGGTCAATTTTGCCGGCAAGACCTGTGCATATGCCTTCTTTTTCGCGCCTGGAGTTGCCGACATTTTGCTGCGTCTGTGGGGTCTCACACCTGAACTTATCCGCAGAGCAGCCGATGAGTTTGGCCTACCGCGATGCGATAATGGAGATAGCGAAGACATTGTCGCGTTTTTCCCGTCCAAACTTGGCGCCTATGGCTGGAGCTCCCCACGAGCTGCCTGGAATAATCTCAAGCAAATTCCCAAGATGTCAGTCCTGGTGGCCAGGATCCCGTGGACCGGTCCCTGGGTCTCGAGATGGAAGGGCCGCGACACAGATCTTTTCTTCATTTTCTGCAAGTACTTTCACGTACTGACGAATCAATTCCTTCTTCCCGATTTACCATTGGCCTTTAAAGCCCGCGCACCGGCTTTTGTCCTCGTTCAGGCGCAGTTGCTATCTATACTGGACTCTACCATTCACCGCCACGCCGCTCTTGGCCAGGCATACAACCCACCACCACTTGTAGACACGTTTCACGGCGCTGATGCGTCAGCCATGGCGATGCCTATGCCTCCATCGAATCTGATGAAGGGTATGGCCGAAAACAGACTGGTCGCTCTGCTCAAGGATTTCTTATTAGACGACTTACCTGAATTTGCCAACGCCAAGGCCACTTTTGCCGAAACGTTTGCCGCACTGATGAAAGCTGCCACACAGCGGACCTCCAAGTTTAACAATTCTGCATGCTTCACTTTATGCGACTTTTTGGAAGAGACACTGGTCATCTACGATAAGTACGAGACTCAGGAGGGCGTGGCCTCATGCATTGACTGGACATTTTGGATTGAAGTCTTCAGGCGTGTCATGAGCTCCATGAACACAATGTCCGAAGTGCGCGCTTTGTCTTTTCTTTACACTATCTGGAATATCGCTACGAAGCAACCCTCACGCAAAGCCGAGATCTGCTTTGACTGGCTGCTCACGGAGGAGACTTTCAATTCGTTCTTCAACAACTGGTGCCCCATGGTACGTGCTTACTATCACCGACTGTTGTGTTGGAGAATCTGTCGCTACGATGGATCACCCACGGACGTTGATATTGCCGTGTTTCGCCTTGCGGGGAAGCGCCTCAAATCAGTCTGGAGCCATTATCTCTATCTCAGAGAAACGGCCGAAGAGAAGGGCTGCGCAAAGCCGTCATCCACGCCCATGTCGCCGACCGTAGGAAAAAGATTCATCATCATCCGCCAAGAGGTGCATGCTCCCCAGCCAGGCCTCGTCGTGGGTCTGGACACATTTGCTAGGAGTCCCTCTGGTACCGACCTAGCGGCAATGAGCGACTATTTTGACTCGTCTCAGCAACCCAAGGGCGATTCAAAGAAGCGATGGTCTCTGCTCGGCAAAGTTCTCTCTTTCACGAACGTCACAGCCGCAGCTGATACGCCCACCCCTGCCGGTCTTCCCAAGAGTCATTCGCTGGACGCGCTGCAACTGGCTCGACGTGAGACAGCCGAAGCTCGCTCTCGCCCGTCGACGCAGTCGTCGACTCATTCGCAAAAGCTGTTTCAGATTGGTGGCAATTCTGCGGCATCTGATACTGAGTCTCGTTGCTCGACGCCGCTACTGGACGAGCCAGGATTCATATTCAAGTTCATCCTAGCCTGGCAGCAGCAGAACCTCCCCAGCCGCGAGCGAATTCTGAGTCTGCCGCAGCTGCCTGGTCCCGCGCAGCACCGTCTCTATGGTCCCGATGGTGCAAGACGGGTGCCACTCGACGCACTCCGTCAGGTGTCGAGTTCGTCACAGCCTGGGTTGGTCGACCGCGCCAAGAATGCGACTCCTCTCTCGTCGCCGCTCGAGGACAGTACGCACAGGCTCTCTCTGGCGGAGCCGGCAAATGCAACCGACAGCCCAGAGACACGAACTGGTGTCTCGAGCCCGAGCGAGGAGAGCGACGCGACACGTACAGCGACGCCGAATACGGGCTACTTTTTTACCGAAGAGATCAGGCCAAGCAAGCCAGTTGGTGCCTTTGTCCGCAACGCAGTCTACTCTGGCCAAGCGCTGGCGGAGTGGTCGCAGGTTGTGACTGAGTGCAACAGCTTTGTCGATCGACGAACCGAGGAGGGCGTCGATCGACTGCGCGACATGGAAGTCCCATTGTTGAATGTTGAGGGCTTTCGCAAACTCGGCGGCTGAGAAACTCACGTCTGTCAACTTTCTTGCACATGCTGTGATGGCTGTCACATTATGCCCTTGTCGCATGTGCACATTTTTGTCTTGGTTCTGCCTCTTTCATCTACGGCGTTGCTTTGGGTTGTTATCTTCTTTTTGTATAGTCTCGATATATGAGCAACCATAAACTGGCAGGATTCAAACCACTACTGCAAAGCATCTTTATCAGCCACAAATGATGTCGCATAGCATTGGCAATGTATCATTTTTATTGTTTGTTTTTAGGCATGGAAGACGATACCCACACAACAATTGAATGAAACTGTCATGATGATGATAACTAGCGATGTCTGTTGATTGATGCCGATTGACGTGCAGCTTTTAAAGGAACGATGATGACTGCGGAAATTACAGGGTTTGATACACCCCACCCCTCCCACGCTGGTCACGCAAAAGCCCAACATTATGATGGCATCCTTCTATTTCGCCTTTGTGATGTAAATTGGCAAGCACAAGCAATTAAATGAATAGAACTGTAGAGTGTCGTATAGACGACAGCCCGACAGAGGAATAGCTTCAGCCTGAACGCGGAGGGCAGTTAATACGCAGCCGTGGTTGGCGCTGGTGGCGCAACAGGTACTCTACTGCAGATCCTCCGCTGTAGAAGGGTAGCGTGATGGCGATTATGCCCAATGCAGTCGCCAAAGAAGCTGCGCGCCTGTACGGAAACGAATCTCTCGAAACTTTGTTTTCCTCGTAGCAAAAAGATCAACACCACTTGTTGCAATGAATCTGTTTCGCTTTGTAGCGTAGTCGGTTGGCTTGGGATCTGGCGGGCTGCTAAGATGAAATTTCGCTTTCATTAGCCGGCTCTAACTACCGCGCATAATGGCTTGTCACACGCTGTCTACGTCTTTGGTGAACACGGGCGAGTAATGTAGGGGGGTCCTGAACCTGTAAACCGCCACGCCGAGGTTTCTTCCATCTGGCGGTTATGAAGCACCCCAAGATAAGGCTGATGGGATGGGTATCCACCACTTTTTGCGCAGCCGCACAAGAAGTGATGTCGACCTTGGTCTTGCCAAGCCCAGCGGCCAAGCCGCATACGAGGAGGCAAGTGGGACGGTCAGAGCTTTTTGCGTGCTGTAGGCCCTGTAGCCTGTGTGTGTGCCGGTCCCCCGGACGAGTACAGCCCGTTTCAAAGACTCATGTAACGTATCAAAAAGTGCATCGCGCTGTGAGGTCATAGGATATCCACCAAGGACCCTTGCTTTTCGGTGCTTCTTGTGCCACTGTGCTGGTCGGGTCCGAGTATTGCGGGACGAAAGTTGCGGGAAGAGTTGGACAACTCTGTACGGAGTAGAGTCCCTTTGTAACTAACGCCCGTGCTTCACAGCAGTGTGTTAATTAGTGGTGGTTCCTATCCCGGCGCCTCGATAACTAGTGTCGAATTTGTGCTAGATCGACAGCCATGGGTGACGAAAGCGTTGGCGAGCGGGAGCAACTAAGACTTTGTCTCGTTGACAACTCCTAAACCGTTCGTCAGCTCATCGCGTTGCTTCAATTCTCTTTGCACTGTAAGCCAACAAGAACTACAAGAAGAAATAAACTTTTTCAGCGCCTCGATACGACAACTAGATGGAGAAACTTCTTCTGCAGGGACAAAAGACCATGTGCATTTCCAGGTTTTGGATCAGATTTTAGCGGCGCTAAACGAATGCGCTTTATGCCAGCCAAGACCACTAATCCCCTTGCCGTTCTCCGCAACGCCACACGCCCCCAAGCAGCCATTCGCGCGGTTGGAACTTGGGGATTGTTGGAATAGGTTCCCGGGGCCTTTCGTTTCAATGCAGTGCTGAACCCAAAATGGTCGTTGTATTGCACAGGTAAACCCGACTCAGGGAGGTGGAGAGGCCTTGGTGGGTGGCTCCTTCCTGATCCACGCGCCCAGCTCTTTTATTCCCGTATGTCCTCTTTTTACCCATCCTCGTGTCTACAGCTTCATCTTCCTTTTTTTTTTTTCTTCCTTCTATCCATCTTATTTTGTGGCTTATCTTTCCCAGTGTAGGCGTTTCTTGAATACCTCTCTGGCTATCGGCAAGCTCATATACATCTTTTTAATTTCGCGCTCTTCCGGTTTCCTTGAACATTGTTACCCCTCTCGCCCAGCAAGATTACGGTCAGGCTTTCTTCACCCATCCAGCGAATTTTGCGAATCCCCGCCTTTTTTGCCAATTCTTCACCTTGTCAATTCATTACAACTCTTCCAAAACCAAAAAAATGACAACCATTTCTCTCGCTCCTGTTCCGCACTCGGGCCCCAGCCTATCGTCTCCAAATACCGTCGGCAGCAGCCTCCCGGTGCCCGTCCGGCCAAAGTTCAACTCGCACATCACCTCGGATCGCCTACGTGAGGGCGCCGGTCTACGCTTGCCGCCCTTTGCTGTGCGCGTCAGCAATATCCAGAAGGACCGCAGATCCGTCTTTCGCGAGCTAGGCCTCGAGGGCGATGTGGCCTTTGGCGACGACACATACCTCGTTGTCCGCGAAGATGCTCTCCAGAAGCCCGCATCCGGGAACGATGACGACGGCGATGATGCCACCTCGACGACCACGGGCGGCCGCAATATCCAGCAGCAGACCTCGCGTTCTTGGTACACCAAGCTGGCCGCGCACCCGGCCCTGACCAAACGCCGCTCTAGCAAGGGACGTGCCGTCATTCCATCTGTTAACGTTATCAGCCCCGACTCCCAATAAGCTGGCCTACACCCTCCAATTATGCGATGCTTTTGCTGTCTATCTACTGCCACACACGACTCATGTCGCATGCTCAGCATCAGCCTGGTGCTGAACACGGTGCACACCAACTCTACCTTTCACATACCACACGCACGGCAAACCACACACAATACCACGTGCTCTCGACCACTGATGCATGCCCTTGCGAGGGACTCTTTTGGCGTTCTAGTTTTTCAGGTTCTAGTTTTCTTTGATTTCCGAATTTTTTGCAGATTTTATGTACAAAAAGCTCGCTGAATCTGTTTGATTCATCCTGTTATTATTGGAACATACGAGCCTAGGGGACGGGCAAGAGTCGAATGCAGAGGACCCTTGATTAATGAGGATGAGAAATGTCATTGAACATGTAAATATCTTGGCAGCGACAATGATGATTCAATTGCCCCGCCGTTCTTTCAAATATTGAGATTTATTCATGCAAATCGGCCGTAATGCTAGCCTGTACCCTGCCTATATTCCAATCCAGAATACCCATATCCATAATAACTCAATTTATGACGACGCCGAATCCATGCTAGCAGAAGACAAAACGGTAAAAGAGAAACGAACCAGAGGCACAATGAAGAAGAGGTAAAGAGAAAAAAAAGAAGGAAAATTGACGTAGATGCAACAAACAATTCCAGAATTAAAAAAAGGTAGAAGAGGAGCATAACAAGCTTAGAGCTCCTCCAACTCATCGTCGCCGATGGTTCCCACAAACGCACGTCGGAGGAACTCGATCCACAGCTTATTCTTCTTATCCTTTTTCCCTTTTCTCCCCTTCTTCTTCTTCTTCTTCTTCTTTCTCTTCCCCGACGTGTCTACGTCCTCATCGTCCTCTGCCCGACAGCCGTCTTCGCCATCCACGTCGTTCACGTCATACTCGGCTGCGACCGCCTCGCGGCCGCCTGCATCCGCACCGAGGCTGTGCGCCAGCTTGAGCAGCTCCCGCACCGTCAGGTCGCGGAGCTGGTACCACTCGTCGTCGCGCGTGTCGTACTCGACCTCAAACTGCATCCGATTGACGTCGTGCTCACCGTCGCTGTGCTCGGCCTCGTTGTTGATGCGCGTGAGGTTGGCGTAGTACTGCGTAAAGGCCACCCACGAGAGCGTTTGTGGCATGTAGGCTGGTCCGGGCGGCGAGTCGGCATCAGGTCCGGGCGGGCTGGTGAGTGAAGGTGGGCCGTGACCTTTTCTCTTCTTTCCCTTCTTCTTTTTCTTCTTCTTCTTGCCGGCGTCGTGCACAGCATCGTCGACTTCAAAAATGTCAGGGAACTGCGCCTCAAACTCGGCCTCGGTCATAACAGGCTCGTTGCTGGAGCGGCGCTTGAGCTCCTGTGGAGAGAGGCCAGCCTCGTGCGCGCGTTGTAGTTGGGCGCCCTGGATGGTGGAAGCTGTGCCATGTACGTCTTTCCAGACGGGATTGTCCTCGATGCCGGTGATATTGTACTCGTACACACGCATGGTGGGGAAATAGTTTGGAATGACGCTGGGCCCGATGACAGAGATCTGATATCGCTCGGCCCATTTGCCACCAATGTTCTTGAGACCCTTCTTCTTCTTTTTTCTCTTGTCTCCCTTCTTCTTCCTGCCTTTGCCCTTTTTCTTACCGAAAAGGGTCTCAATGTCATAGTCATCTTCATCATCATCCGCTTCCATTTCCACGCCTTCGACATCCTTGTCGATAGTGTGTCCGGCACTCGTGGGCAGCTTGGACCACTGCTGACGAATATCCTCAAGATAGTCGGCTTTGCCGAGAATGAAGGCTTCGTCGTTGTCACCGATATTCAGGCTCTGGCGAATGTTGACGTCGCCTCTGGCAAGAATGCTGTCCTCGTCGAGGTCATTTGTGTCTTGCAACACAAAGTGGTCAATGTTCATGTGGCCAAAGAGCGATCCAATGACGACATCACGGTACTGTTTCAGCCAGAGAGTGTAGCGCTGCCAGCATGTTTCGTCCCAGTTTTGCTTGCTGTTGGTTCGCGCCGGCGGGACATGGCCCATGAGAATGGCCTTCATACCGCTATCGCGCAGTCGTTGTAGCTGGACACGCAGCCATTCCATGTGCTTGTATCCAGGCTCCGAGGCCAGCGCACACCCATCGACGGCTGCATTGCGCTCAAAGAAGAACATGGTGTTGAGGCTAAACACAACAAGCTTGTTGGGAACGACCTCGGTGTAAAACCATCCGCCATATTCGAACTGATGGCGTTGCACTTCGGGAATAAAGGGGCCCCAGATGTCTGCATAGTCTACGAACCAGCGGTTGGGGCCGGGAACCATGATGTTGTGGGGGAGAAAGTCGTTGTTGCCAAAGGTGGGCACAATTGGCAGCTCGAGAACAGGCCCGAGGGGGGTGTCGGTTGCAAACGCCTCAAACATTTTGGCAGCGACTAGACGATTGGTACCAAGGACTTGCTCCGAATTACGGGGGTGGTTTTCGTCGTTGTCGTGACGGGCATTGTCACCGGTCCATATGACAAAGTCAATCTTGTCGCGAAGGTTGTCGCGGACCCAATCGAGGGTCTGATTGGCGAGAGCTATCGGCGAGTCACAATCAGAGACTTCGGCGCCAAACGCGCCGGCGAGTCCCTTGCCACTATGGCAGCTATCTTCGATGTCGGAGTGGACTTTGTAGAACTGGTCGGGGTGAAAGTCTGGCGGGGGGTTAGTGACGCTGTTCGCCTGTGGGGGGTAGAGAGGCAAACCGGTAATGTGCAAGAATCGTCCCGTCAGTTTTCGAGGCTCGTCGCTAGAGGCAAAAGTGCCTCTATTGACGTCGAGCACTTTTTGCCCGGGAACTGCCAAGGTTGAGACAGCCAATGCCAGCAGCATCGGAAGTCGGACCATTGCGACCGTGGAGAGCATGGTGACAAGCCGCTGATGCGTCTGAATCTAGTCGCGCCGCATGTCACGTCATAAATGATAGACGGGGTGGTGTCCTGGGGGAAAGGAGTGGTTTCCTTGTTGTCTCAAAAGCCAATCGTCTGATGACGGTCGACCGGTGTAGATGAAGTATTTGAGACGCTGGCCGACCGTTCCAGTGCTGTTGGCCCAAATCAGATCATCGACCAAGTCGAAAAGTAGCTTTCGAGTGGGGTCAAAGTCTGCCCTCCAGCGGCCAAGACAGGCGCAGTAATAAATACTGGGACTGCCTAGTTGAAACAGACGAGCCTAACCAATACTCTGAAAGCCGCTTTGGGGACGCTGGAAATAGATGCGTTCTGGTGCTAGGATGGCACTATGTCATTTCCGGCGGATTTTGCGTGGTTGTAGATGCAGTTTTGGTATCTGCCGTCTGAGATGTGAATCAAGGTTTGCGACAGGAAATCCACGAATAAATGAGACAACGAACCGCTCACGAGTTGCGTATTAATTCGAAAGCCAAGGTCATCATTGCGTGGTATTTTGAGGGCTTTGGACATGATTGTGGTGGCTAGGATTGCCTGGTGACTTGTTTGCTGGTGACTGACTGCTGATGACTTGACTGCTGGTGACTGTGGACGCGGGACAGCTGCCCCACGATGTGAGGCACTCTATCTGGCAGAACCAATCTCGCGTCGCTGAGCGCCACACGTGCTGCTGCAGGCAGTGGCCAGCAGGGTAGCGCCACCTGCAGCTGTGTATGGTGACGCACGGGAGATGTGCGTTGACGCGCTTTTTTGGGTGGTAGCGGGCATCATGCGGATGGGAAATGGGTGGTGTGGAGGATGAGAGAGGCTGACAGCTTGCAGCAAGGGATGCGGGGGATGCGGGGGATGCTGCGGCAAAAACAAAAGGAGATGACAATCAACAAGAACAGATGCTGGGAACGCAAAAGAATTGTACAGAAAAGTATACAGAAATAATTACACAAGGGTTTTACGAATACTTGGTGGCCATGTCTCAAGATCAACTTGTTCTTAACGAACGTGGAATAAAACCATGCAAAATTATCTATCAACCTCGTACACTCGTAATATAATTGCTAGGTATGTCCCTCAAAGCAAATCACTCGAATTTCTCGCTGATTGCAATATCAACTCCTAACTGCTCACGAAAGGCGTAGGTTGTACAGAGCGATCTTGCCATTTCAGATGACGCTCGATCTGGCCTCTGTTTAGCCAGTAGCTATATTGCATCCAGTAACTGTCCTTTGCGGTAAAGCCATCAGTTGCATCGTAATCGGTGAAGGAGCTGTTGCTATAAAACCGCCTGTGCCCCCATGTTTGCTAACACAGCTCAGAGGAATCGATAGAAGGGTTGTATTTTGGTCAAAGATTGTCTTGAATCTTGTATCTGCAAAGATGAAGGAAGTTTCTCTTCTTTTATACTTGAGAGGCCGCACAAGTTGCATTCCCTTGCTGTTTATGCTCTGATGCGGCCCAACGCGGCTTCTGGCCAGGCGGCGTTTCTGGCTGTGAAACAGATGCCCACACCCATGAGAAGGTGGGTGTGTGGCGTGTGTACATGGACTGTACTGGGTACCTTGGGTAATACTGTGCGCGAGCTTCAGCTCATTCAGCCAAATAAATGAAGGCTCAAGATAACTGACGAGCTGATTCCGCTAATTGACGATAGACTATAGCTAGAACACATTAAAAAACACGCAAAGAGTGTACGCAATAACGCTATACTTCTAAACCTTTATATCTTATTCTCTAAAAATGTTAATAATCTAGTAGTAACCCTGATCTATACATTAGAGGCGTCGCTTTCTTGCGTCTATCATTCGTATAGCTACCTCCTTTAGGACGTTTGTAAATATTTATCTTAAAGGAAACCAAAGGAGGGGTGTGGCTGTTATGCTTGCGTGCGCCACAATCTGTCATCAACTAGCCAGGTCGTCAATTATCCTGACCCCAGAATGAAATGCCCCACTTCCAATTGGGCCCTTCTTCTGTCCATTTTTTCTGCCTGGCTTTTTTTCCTTTCTTCCTTTCTCTCAACGCAACGATCGAGACCTCGCGAGTTTTCCGCTCAGCGACACCGACGCGCTTTCTACTGCTCCGATAGAATACGTCATGCATTTTGGGTCTTTTAAGTTGCCAGAGGAAAACTTGCCGCTCGTTTGAGGGAGCCTGCGCTGCGATTTTTACGTGTGGCGGTCTCCTATGGTTTTTTCGTGGCCACATCTCTGCCCCAGGGCAACTTTCATTGTAGATTTTGGCCGCATGGGTCAAGCTCAATGTGATTGAACATGGAAACTTGCTCGCGGTGATGGTGACTCAGGTTTGCCCAACGGCCTCTGGGTTTAATGTCACAAACTGTCAGTATGACGGGCTGCTACAAGTCCTGATCAACCGTTTTCAGGCGCAACGAGATCAAGTGTAGACAGACGCCATCAAATAACGCGGCGTCGCAATGCTTTCCTATTCGAGGCCAGACCTGACAAACAGGTGTTCTCTTCTTGAAACAAAAAGTCTATGTAAATGCAATGTTGGCTGATGCATGCTTATATGTACAATCATTCTATGTTTGGCAGGCGTCCGTGTACACGCCAGCTACTCGAACAAGATCCTCCACACTTGCCACCATTTGATAGGTGGCGGAGGAGGCAACTCGGCCGCCAAGACATCTTCCAGCCCCGTGTAGAGGTCCATTTCATGCAACGGTACCATCCAGGGATCCTTGCGTCCTATGGTAAACTTGTGCCCGAGAAACAATACGGCGAAAATGGCGATGCCGATATAAGATGTGATGAACGTTGGCGTGTCCCAGTTTCCCTTGACGAACACCTTGAATCCATTGAGCAGCAGCAGCACAGAAAAGACAATGCCGCTGATCCAAGCCGCGTATGGCTGGAACCTCGAGCGATAGGGAAGCTGGCCGTTGGCAACAGTCACATTCTGCAGCTCTGCGGCCTTGTAGAAGCGCAGGTAGATGAAGCAGCAGCAGATCCAGCTCTGAAAGGCGCCCGTGTTGACAATGTTGACGAGCCAGTTGAAGACGACGGAGCCCGTGCTGCCGAGGTTCATGTACGCCAGCGCGGCAAAGCAGGCGCTGAGGGCGGTGGCGTAGTGCGGGATGCCATGCTTGGTGCAGCGGGCAAAGATGCGCGGGGCGTTGCCGGAGAGGGCCAGCGAGTAGAGGGCGCGGCTGGCGACGTAGAGGAACGAGTTGCCGGTGGACCAGGCCGAGAGGACGATGACGGCGTTGATGATGGAGTCGAGGACGGGAATGCCGGCGGCCTTGATGCCGAGCGCCCAGGGCGAGGCGGCGGCCGTGTTGCCCGGGGAGAGCAGGCCGGCATTGTCGCTGCGGACGAGGATGCCAATGGCCAGGACGCCGAGCAGGTAAAAGATGACGAGGCGCCAAAAGTAGCGCTTGGTGGCCTTGGGCATGTTGCGCCGCGGCGACTGCATCTCGCCGGCCGTGGCGACGAGCATCTCGGGCGCAAAGATGAAGGCGTAGACGGAAAAGGTCAGGGTGCCGAGAAAGGCGCACAGGCGGCCGACGCCGCCGTCGACGAGGTAGGTGTTGACGGGGCCCGGGTGCGCCCAGTTGGTAAAGTAGAGCGGCTCGTGGGCCGGCCCGCCGCCAAAGAAGATGATGACGGTCAGCAGCAGCAGGCCGATGATGGCGATGATCTTGGTCGTGGCGAACCAAAACTCGGCCTCGCCGTAAATGGCCACGGGGAAAAAGTTGCAGGCGATGATGACGACGGCAATGATGGTGTACCAGGCGGCCGTCGGCACGGGCGACTCCCAGTACTGAATGACAATGGTGGTGATTGTGATTTCGCCGGCGATGCCCAGCGAGAAGATGTACCAGTACAGCCAGCCGAGCGTGAAGCCCAGGCTGCGGGACACGAAGCGGTGGCCGTAGTAGGCGACGCCGGAGCCGCGCACCGGCAGGTAGGCGCTAATCTCGCCGACGCCCGTGGCGACGCCGTAGAGCAGCAGCGTGATGATGGAGTAGCAGACGAGCAAAAAGGCCGGCCCGCCCATCTTGAGCCCCTGCCCGGAGCCGACAAAGAGTCCCGTGCCGATGGAGCCGCCCAGCGCAATCATTTGCGCGTGTCGCGACTTGAGCCCGCGCCGCGTCGACTCGCTGGCGCCGGCGCCGAGCGAGGTTGCGGGCTTGCAGACCTCTTCGTCGGAGGAGAGGTGCTGCTTCTCGGAGCCGGGCACCGGACTCGAAGGGGAGAGCTGCTCCGCCGCCGCCGCGAGGGACGGCTGGTGGTTGTCGCCTTTCATGGTTTGGAAAAAAAAAAAAGGGATATATATATATGGATGAATGGATGGGAGGGCGGGCGGTTCGGGAGGTTCGGGCGGAGAAGCTGGGGTGAGGTGGGCAAAAGCGCGTTGAGAAGAGGAAGAGGGTCGGTTGCTGACAAAGTTAAACAAACGCCATGACGGGAGATAGATCGCGGGGGAATGCGTAGATGTTAAATGTTCAAGTCTTTCTGGGGTCGCAAATCGAAGGCGTGCATAAAAGTTGCAGGTTCAAAGTCCCCCATTGTCGAGTCATGGAGGCGATGCCGGAAGTCTGTCTGCCGGTTCCGAGTGGCACTCACGTGATGGAGGAGGCCTTTACATTCAATGGCAGGGTGCTTTTTAACGCTCTTTATGATATATCACGCAATAATGTTTGAATTGACAAATCTTTTTCTCCATTGGTTTTACGTGGTGGCATGTATGCATGCTCGTGGTTCAAAGGATTCAGATGGGCGACGCCACACTTTGAAATTTTCTGCAGCCGGCGCCAGTCGGCCACGTTTAGTTGTTTAGGTTTCTGACCAATGACGCAGCCTGGTGGCTTGTCTCACTCGCCCATCTAGGCAATCAGGATTCGACAAGACCTTTTAGTCCTTTTTTTTTTTTTTTTCACAATGTGTAAACTGAAATTATGACTATTTTTTTCATCAATGCATCGCTTTTGGCCAACATATCAGGTAGGTAGCACCTTTGTCGCAAAGCGCTCTTCCAACGGCTCGTGTCTCAGGCCCCCCTCGACGTCATAATAACCAACCGATCAAAAAAAGGGCTATTCTGTTTTTACCCCCATTTGTTGATGTGCACACGGGCTTCGGCCTGCGAGCACGCACGCACGCGCAGTCTATGAACATGATTGGTTTTAGGGCTGGCTCTGGGCATCAACAAGATCATGGCTGGCTGCACACAAAGCTGTCGTCGGCTGCGTCCACTTTGATGTCATTGGTCGCTTTTAGCTTACAACAGGCTCAGATGGGCAGGCTCAGCCATGTTTTTAGCGTTTGTTTGTAGAAGAAGCGATGCTACAACAGAGAGCAGCTTGACTACTTGGGCTGGAGTCGAGAGAGAGTCTGATTGTGTATGAGCTCGCGTTTAGACGGGAGACTCGCGCTCCGTGGGCAACGTCAAATCGGGCTCGTTTTTTTTTATTCCCCGCGCATAAGCTTCCCACCTCCATGTTTCTTAGCGTCCCATATCGTGCACGGCATTGCTTCATTCCTACAGGTCAAGATCTTCCCCCACACCGCGACCAAGCGTTTCTGCCGCCATCGTCCATTTGAGTGGAAACGGCCCTCTATGGGTTAAGTTGATCGGAATTTTGACAACGGGGGTTCCGGACGCTGCCGATCTCCATCTCTCGAATCAAGTCTATGCAGGAGAAATCCGACAGATGGTGTCGACTTGTCTCTTCCTACCAGGAACCTTCCTCACACTGTCAAAGGCCATCGAGTGACCTATTCAATCTATTACGTTTCACACAAGATAGTTTTATGCAAGTAGTTTCATCTGAGATGGCTTTCATACAAGATGGTTTCATACAAGACAGTGTCTGTGCCTCTTGCTGCACTGCACAAAGACCGAATTATTTTCTCGCTCTTTTGAGTCAAGACGCGATCTCCGATGGTCTGAGCTTTTTCAGTCTCGGAACCCCTCCAACCCTCCAAGACGGCATGCTTGCACATCTTGAGCTTCAGACTACTTGCTTGAAAACACGGTGTCGCGCATCGGCCCACTACTACAAGCTCACAAAGTTTCAATGCGCGTTCGAGGTCTGCACAATTGTCCCTTTTGCTGCTGTTTGATTCGCAGTCTTGGCTCGAATGCAATGCCTACGTGACCGAGCTCAGCCACGATCCCGAGTTATACCCGTCCTTTTCCACCGGTATTGTCTCGGTCTTGGCGACCTCGTCGCAGATGTTGCTCAAGTGAAGCTTCCGGTAGTTGCTTCTGACAACAGAGATCTGTGTCAGGAAAGGTGGGTGGCTTGAATACTTTGCAATGGGGCGCCGCCTGACTGTCCAGTCTGTCAAGGCCTGCTGACAGATCATCAATGCCTACATCGACAACTTGGAGTGTTTTTGATGTTCAAACTTGCTCCGTGTCGCTCGTCTCATAGGCTTTTGCGCTCACTGTCCATTCATCACAGTCTCCACAACCAATCAGCAAACGTTCACTTTGTGGCACGAAAAGTGCACCTGAAATGAGCCAATGACACCATCTTTGCTGTTGAACTCGAGTGGCGCCAGACAAAGTTGACAGTAATAACACCTGTCCACTAATTGGCTCGTCATGGATATACAGAGTTTTGGTCACTGCAATTGCATTGCTTCAGTCCGGATAATCAAGGCATCAAGTACGAGAGCAATGCATTTAGTATGCCTGAGCATCCCAAATCTTTTGCCTCGGAGGACTGCTGATTCAATAGTACACGACTCTTGATCAGACTCGATTTCGAAGACGAACTCAATACAACAAACAACCAACCCCTTTTTCCCATCAACCTTAGAACAAGTCACACGTCAAGCCACTCCTTGCACTTGCACTTGCACCGGCCTCCAGCCCTTCCTCATTGCTTGATAGCAGTCTCCAAGATGTCGATCAAGATGTCGGCTACGACGATTAGCATCACCTCCAGTATCCGGGGGTCTCGTCACCACTTACCGTGCTTCTCCTCAAACACGAGCATGGGCCGCAGGCGAATTGCCCTGTCACCGCTCGCGCCGATATTCAAGCCGCCGGCCTTGGCCTTGGCCAGCACCTGCTCCCTGCGCGGGCTATCAAACGCAATGAACGTGCCGCGGTCCTTGCCGCGCAGGTTCTGCACCTCTCCGGGGTACCTGGCCGCCAGCGCCTCGAGCTTGCCATACAGGTACCGGCCGACCTTGGCCGTGCGCTCGACAAGCCCCAGCCGCACCACCTCATCATGGATGCCGCGGAAGAGCAGCGCGCGTGCCGGGTCGCCCATCCAGGTGTTGTACTGGCGGTATGGCTTGTCCGGCCGCAGCGCGTCGTCTCGGTAGTAGAATCCGGCGGCCTGCGCCTTCTTCGAAAACGTCACCATGTCAGGCGGCGTGGGCAGGTCCCAATGCTCGTGCGCCCAGAATCTGCCCGTCGCGCCGATGCCAGTCTGCACCTCGTCTACAATCATCAGCACCCCGCGGGCGGCCGTGATCTCGCGCAGGCGCCGGAAAAAGGCCGGCGATGCGTGGTTGTCGCCGCCCTCGGACTGGATCGGTTCGACAATGAGCGCGGCGACTGGCTGCGGCCAGCTGGCTAGCAGGCGCTCCGTCTCGGTGAGACACCGCTCTTCTTCGGCAGCGTTGGCGGCAGCGTGGTCCTCGAGCGGGTATTGGAGCTTCGGAAACGGCGCCGCCGGCCAGTCAAAGGCGGGAATGTCGAGCTTGTGAATGGCCTTGCTGCGCGTGGTGCTCAGGCTGCCAAACAGCCGGCCGTGGAAGCCACCTTCAAAAGAGAGGATCGAGTACTTGGGCGCGCCAGGCTCCTGGTTCTTCATGACGGAGGAGAGCTCCTCCGGCGTAAACTCGGCGCCGTCACGCTCCTGCGTGCGCCGCCAGATAAAGGCAGCCTTGAACGCCAGCTCGTTGGCGTCAGAGCCAGTCATGGAGGTAAGCACCTGACTGAAACCCTTGGGAGCAGCTTTCAGCAGGCCCGTTTCCAAAACGTCTGCCCACTCGGATGAGGGAAAGGCGCCAATAGCAGGACGATTGACAATGGCGCTCTTCATCTGAGGGCTGTCTGCGATTTCGAGCAGGCGGGGGTTGTTATAGCCTAGAGGGATGGACGCGATTTGGGCGAATCTATTTGTGCAAGTATATTAGTTTCCGTCGCTCTCAGCTTCAATAGGTGGCTGCAATTGAATAACTCACGCATCCAGGAGCACATTCCCGTCATGGTCGACGATGCTACTAATTGTTAGCCAGCTAAGCTCGGGTAACACTCGACAGCACTCACTAATTTCCATGGCACTTGTCATAGTCGACCACAAAGTTCATGCTCCTCGTATCAAATACTTTTTCCAGCTTTTCCAGCGCGGCCTTGGATCGCGGCCCAGGGATCGCTGTCTGGACGGCCGGCTTCGGAGGCTCGTTGTGGAATACTGACGAGGCTGTCGCCATGGGTCGTACAACCTGCAGCTTGCCAGCATAGCGAGGAAGGCGACGCGCGCCTGCGCGAACTGACGAGAGCATTTTCTTTTCTTCAATTGTTGTATTGCAAGCCGCAAAATCAGTAAACGACTATGTTCCTCAATTTCAAAAGAGCAGAGAAATGGGGTGGTGCCTGGCTGATAAGCCTCGACAGTTGCTGGGGGGGCTTATTTTATTATCAGTGAGACTGACGATCACTTGGCGGCCGGCCGTTCCCCACGCCAAAACTGGATACACGGAATTGGACGTATGCGGAATTGAATCACACAATTCCTTTCGAGGCTGGCAAACATCTAGCGGGGTCAATATGAGTCGACATGCAGAAGGTGGGGAGAACCGTTGTTGCGATGCTTCATCGCGCATATTTCATGTCATTGGCCCTTTCGAGAAACAACGGCGGACGCCATACCGTCTGCAAGACCGTAATACAGTAACTGAATGAACCTTTCGATCGTTCAAGACCACCGGCGACCGCGGACACCCCAGGCTAGAGCGACGCTAAAGTTTTTTTTTTTGTATGGGGGTTGCCACATGTTCGGTGGGCGTCAGAGGGCGCCACAACTGTCATTCATGCTTGGTATTGCTGTCTGACAATGTTCAGAAGGCGCGCAGCTTGTCGAGGCGTTGAAGCGGCATGCGAGCAGCAAAATCTGAAATTAGGAGCAAGATTGGCAAAGCACAGGCGGTGCAGCTGCCCCGCGAACCCTCAGAGTGGCATCGCACGTCGGCACTAACAAGATGCAAAGTAGCGACCAGCCAAGATTCAGTCCGCCTTCTCCCCATGTTAGTCGCCGCCTGCTCATTGTCACGACCACGGCAGTCTTCTGTCGAGCACTCTGGCCGGTGAAGCATCATGCACAACGTCTGCCGGCGATTTTCGTTGAGGTAGAGGTCACCATTCGTGACAACTTTCCAATCAAGAGTGGAAGTGTCTCGACGACTCGAAATTTTGCGATGTGGCGAGTCAAGTCGACTTCGCTCCCAAATGCATTGCAACGCCTAAACCTGGTATCTAATTTGTCGCGTCTGACTCTTTGCGTAGAGCTCATTGACCCGAAATTCGTGGGTATCATCCGTATCAAAGAAAGAAAAAAACGCCAGTCCTGTAAAGAGTGCATGTTGAAGCTAATAACTATTTTCTTGCCCATCAAAGGCAGCCAAGTTGGGGGGAAAAAAAGCAAACAAGAGCGCAGAGTCGAGGCATCCAAAAAGCGTCAATCTATAACAAAGAAAATTTTGCTTGAATATACTTCTTTTTCTTTTGTCAGGCTCTGTCAATGCTCAAGCTTGGCCCTTCCAGTACCGGGTCGGGATAAAGGGCATCTTGGTGATGACACCCTTTCGCTTGCGGCCGCGCACGACGACGTCGACCTCGGTACCCGCTTTGTGCAGGCCGTCCCGGACGTAGCCCATGGCAATATTCTTGCCAAGCGTGGGGCTGGGCACGCCCGAGGTGATAGTGCCAATGCTTTCCCCGTCCTGCTCAATGGTCGCGCCCTCGCGGGCGGGCGCGCCCTCGACGACGAGGCCGACGCGGCGCTTCTGCACGCCGGCGCCGCCCTTGCTGCGGGGCGTCATCTGCGGGACAATGACCTCGGCGCCGTGAAAGCCAGCGTCGGTGGTGCGGCGCTCCTTGGGAATGATCCAGCTGAGGCCGGCCTCGACGGGGGTGATGGTGTCGTCAAGGTCGTGGCCGTAAAGACACATGCCGGCCTCGAGGCGCAGCGAGTCGCGGGCGCCTAGCCCAGCCATTTGCAGGCGCTCGGGTCCGGCGGCGGCGAGTAGCGCTTCCACGGCGGGCGTCGTCGTGTCAAACGCTGGGTAGCGCTGGCCATTGAAGGAAATCTCGAAGCCGTCCTCGCCGGTGTAGCCGCCGCGGGAGATGAGCACCGGGTGGGTGACGCTGCCGTCGGCAAGCTTAAGCTGCGCCCAGACAGCGTTGCCAAAGTACAGCTGGGTGAGGTCGATGTCGGCATACTTCCTATCCAGGACCTGCTGGAGAATCTCGGCGGCCTGCGGGCCCTGCAGGGCAAAGAGGCCCGATTTGTCGAGCCGCGTCCACTCAACACCAGCGCCAAACGCGCCGAGCTGCTCGTCAATGTACTTGGTGTCCTTTTCGAGGCACGCGCCGTTGGTGACGACGTAGTATTCGTCCTCGCCGAGGCGCGTAATGACCGTGTCGTCGACGATGCCGCCGGTGCCGGGCCAGAGCAGCGTTGTCAGCTTGCTCTGCATGGCGCCTTGCGTGGCCCACGCCGATGGTGTCACGCGCTCAAGAAAAGCCGCCGCGCGGGGTCCCTTGAAGATGTGCTGCACCATGTGCGACACGTCAAAGATGGACGCGTGGTTGCGGGTAAAGTGGTGCGAGTCGGCCAGCGATAGGCCGCCGTACTGCACCGGCATGTGGTAGCCGGCAAACGGTACCATCTTGCCGCCGTGGGCGACATGAAAGTCGTACAGCGGCGTCTTCTTGAGTTCGCCGCCGGCAGCAGAACTGGAGCCGTGGCGGACAGCGCCGCGCTGATGGAGGGCGGCGCCGACGCGGGTGGTGGTGAGGCGACTGGCGGCCATTGCAGTACGAGCCCGCGCGACCATGGCGATACCCTTCATCATGTGAGGTGCGGGGTGTAGATGTGTGTGTGTGTGTGGTCGGAGTAGAGTGCCCAGTCAATTGAGAAGAGGACGTGTGTATCTGCGCGGGACAAGATGCAGACGTCAGCGATGAGAAGGAGAAGAGGGTGGTGGAGGGGGAAAGGAAACGCAGCTCGTTTCCGCGGCAAGAAGAATCTCGAATTTTGATGTGATTGCATGTTTATCAATTCCTGGTACGTAACAGCCCAAGCTGTGGTGGGTCTCGGGTTCCCCCGGACTCGGGATGTCTGGCAAAACGAGCAAACGGGCTCCGATATCGAAGGCGGATCCGGGCGACAGCAGCGGGGGGATGGGGGGCCTTTTGGGGGCGCTGGAGCGTCTTTCAAGGGGTTTGACCGCTATAAGCTTCCTTGCTTTGGTGCTGAAAGGGTGTTGAGCCCACTGTAGGTACCTACGAAACACCATTACCAAACAGTTACTCAATCTGTCAAGCACCATTCAAAAACGATATGCCGGACGTCTATGCGACACAAGATATACATTCGATCATTGAAACGCAATCAAGAGCCACACGTGATAGTCGAAGCAACTTAGGATACAACCATCACTACCGAGGCAACTCGTGCCCAATCATTCTGCTATGCCAAACACACAGCCATTGTATGATTCTACAACTAACCATTGCTCAAATTAATCAAACCCAAGAAAAAACGACACGTACAAGCATCTTTCGCTGTGCCTATCCGCTGTGCTGCATCTATCATCCACAAAGCTAGTCGTACTCTTTCAAGCCGTGCTTTTAGGCCGTCTGCTCGAAGCTATACTTGAGCCAGCCTCCCAACGCTCGCAGACTTTCCCATCGCACGTTTTCGTCTTCCGACTGCATAAGCTCCATGATTCTCGTCTTGAGGCCTGCCTTTTCTAGACGCCATCTCTTCTCTGGTACTTCCTTAACCAGGCAGCCGACGTCGTTGCAGGCAATGGCCAGCACTTGCTTGTCGTTGTCCCAAGGCTTCTTCATGATCTCGGCCAGTTGACGAGGAATCTCACCATTCTGGTGTTCCAGAATTCTTCGCGCATTTTCTGCCCAGAATACCTGACTTCTGTGAGGCGGTGACCAACGCAGATGGCCAGACTGTACCTCGGCTACATATTCGTCAAAGGTCGTCTTGGTCTTGGTGTATTCCTCGAGCATGTCCTTGAGATTCTGGAGATCATCGAGTAAGTCGGTATCGTTAAGTTGGCGGCCGCCGAGCGTCTCCAGCAGAGGCGGCAGGCGTGCGAGAACCGCCGTGGGCAGCAGTGATGTTTGGTTCTTGGATAGCAGGTTGTAGAGTGTCGAAAGAATCAGTCGGCTCGTCTTTTCCTTGGGCGACAGTCGCAAGAGGTGTGTATACAGGAGAACAATGTCGTACTCGCTAGAAGATTATGAGCATGCAACAACTTGACAAGATAAGAGATAAGGCCAACCTACTTGTTGAGATCATCACCAATCTCTTCAGCCTCGAAGCTCATCTGCCACATGACCAACAAGACATGGTACAACAGCTGTAGGCCAACGCCGCCACCGACGGACCCTTCGATACCGGCTGTGCGACCATTGGTGCTTCCGTTCCACAGGGTAGCTGATGCATTGCCCGAGTTGCTGACTCCTGCGGCACTGTGGAGAATCTTGATGAGCGGCGCAATCGTCTCGCTGCGCTGGTTCCAGAACTGCTCGCGCGAGGCGTGGCCGTTGAGCAGCGTCGAGTATTCCTGCACGGCAATATCTTGCAGGCCGGCGTCGGTGCTCTTGGCTAGGCCGGAGATGTATGTAAAGAGGACAGGCAGGGCACGGAGGGTGGCCTGCGACTCGTCACGCGAGAGAGCCATCAGCGTCGTCAATGCGTGAGAGGTGAGCAGAGGGATATGGTCCTCGGTAGTGTTGGAGTGAAGAAGTGGTAGAAAGTGCGTGTATGGCTCGGGGTTCTTGAAGATAGCTTTGGCTAGGGATGGGACAGCTAAATGATACAGAAAAGGTGAATGTCAGTAGATGTAGATAGCATGATGAGGACTGCAAAGACGATGGAATGCAGGACTTGGGTGACATGTCTGCTACTTCCTCCGACATTAATAAATCCCCAGGTATCAACTTACCGTCGAGGACATCGGCAAGCAGGACAAGGATATACTGGATAACGTTGGCCTGCTTGGCGGCCGTCTCAAGAACGCTGGGCTTGCCATCGCCGCCGACAAAAAGCAAGCGGTAGCCATCGAGGTCTTCCTCAACGATGGCTCTTCGCTGCTCGGGTTTCTTAGCCTTGTCCACGGCGCGGATCTGGGCGTGCTGGTCCTCAGTGAGTGTGCCGGCGCGGACCGCTCCTTCCCAGGGAATAGGCCGCTGGCGGATGTTGCTCTGGAGGGAAGCGAGGTATGTTGGCGGATCGAGCGACATGGTGCGCGGCGCGTCGCAGCGGGAGAGAAAGGGATAGGTGCGAGAAATTGACGGCCGGTCGAGCTCGGCGAAGGAATGGGTTGATGGGGCGGATGGCCAGAGACGCGGCGTAGGGAGAAGGCGAGGATTACGACCGGTGATGATGTAGCCTGTCCATGGAGCTCAAGCAACACGGCATGCGGTAGTGTCAAGCCACAGAAGCAACCCCACCGAGTTGGCCTAGTAGGAAGGTGTGGCGGTGCACGTCCCAGCCACCAATAATGAAATCAGGATGAGGAATGAATCGAGAGGTGTATCTGAAATCTCTTGATAGATGTCTGATGCATGGCACCGAAATATCGTCGGTCTGACCTGGCCATCCTTCGATTATTGTGTCTTCTTGCAATAGTCTGACCATATTCCGTAGAGGCGCAATCCTGAAGGATTGCGATACTACCGTGCTCACCAATGTCGTCGCGTACTACACGAGCTAGGCTGGATGTGCAAGTCGCCGTTTGTGAGATTCTTCAGGTATAAATAATAGTAGTTCCTCGACAGACTGCTGGTCATTGTATCATCAGAAAAGATGCGCGTTTCCATTCTTCTCGCTTCGGCCTCGGCCGCCCTTATCGCGCCCACCATTGCGGACTATCAAGAGTGCCCCGACCATCTCGCACCTGTCACTCAATTCTACCTATTTGGCAACCTTGACTGTGCCAATAATGGGTCGGGCAAGCGGCTCGGCAACGTTGAAGTGTGCATGACGGACCTAGCTGAGCACAACTACGGCGAGCCTCAGGGCTGCCACAGGCTGGAGCAAGGAGGCGTGCTTTCCATCTCGCAGTGGACAAATATCCAAGGATGCAATCGTCAGTACGGCAAGGCCGCAGGCTGAGACACGGAGCTAATATAACGAATTGGGACAGTGTACATGTATACAGATGCCGAGTGCCTGACTGGCATCAAGAAGTTGGCCAATATGGGCGGATGCAACTCACCTTCTGGGGACTGGAGTGGCAAGCCGTGGTTGGCGTACTGAGCGTGGTGTCCGCCAATGTGAACACTGCTGCACATATTGGATGCCGCCGATTTATCGATGCCAGTGTAGCGGTGTATAGATTGTGGGTGCTGGCCGGTCCACGTAGGGCATTCATGCAGCTTTGTCGCCGCTTGCTTTTAGCAAGCCAACGTCAGCAGCTAGACTAGCAAATCGAACCAATTGAGACGAATCAAAAGGAAATTTACCCCGTGATACCAAGGTGTTTGCGCGTGGCAAACGCGCTGATTTGTTCACGGCTGCAATGCAGGGTAGGCGGCGCTAATCGAGACATGCAAGATGTCACCGCTAGAGACAAGAATGAGCCGATGCGGGCCGGCCGGCGATGGGTAAAAGGGACGCTGTATGAACTGCTGTGATCTTCAGCGTCTGCAGCGCGAGACGTTTGTCAGCCAGCCAGGCACGGCATTGGGTGTCTTGGGCGACAATCAGGTCCAACTACGGATACTGATGCAAGCGAAGACCCATTGGGCGCGACTCGGAAGCCCAAGTTGCGAGGTGGAGCATTCGGTGCCTGGAGCAAGCAAAAGCAAATCGGCTTTTTTTTTTTGGTCATTGTGACATTTCCGCTCGAAATGTTGATGATCAAAATGTAGGCACACGAAGTGGTGAGCTGGCAAGCTTCGGAATAAAAACAAGCTAGAAATACGAGGTATGAACGAGCATCGGGGGGCTGACCATTATCAGCTTGATTGCGCGGCTATAAAAGACGCTGGCATATAGTGATAGATATAGCACCAAAATCATGGTGGCTCGGGCTTCACGGGTTGAAGGGTTGACGGGTTGACGTGGCTGACCATGTTCCTGGATGCAACTCCACGCTAGACAGGGGATACGCGGGATAATGCAGGAACATGGCAAGTAGGAAAAAAATGAGCTTAAAAATTCTACTCTCTGAATAGTCAAAATGCGCAGGGTATTGTACATATCGACTAGTCAGGCCTTGGTTTCGTGAAATGGAGGGGCTGGTGTGCGCTGTAAGTGGGAGGCTGGGAACATCGTGTTAGCGTAGCAGCCCGCACCACCCAACCTTCTTAAGAACGTTACCTATGCACCACGCCCGACGCCGCTACATGCATCGTTTTCTTCCCTTTGCATTGTTTCTACCGGCTTTTTGAAACCTTTCCTCTCTCTTGTGCATCCCAGAGATTTTTGATGATTTTTCCGGTGCAGCGTTGAACGCAGAACCCATCCTCACAGTTCTCAATTACACCTGCTACCACCCGTTGAGCACTTGTCTCACCGACCTCGCTGCGGCCCGCCCCTCCCGCATTCCAGTGCAGAACCACAACCATCAAAGAATACCGCACAATCGCAACAGTTTCTCCTCCCACGGAGTCTCTGCTTCGGGGCAGATCCCCCGACCGACACAATGGGGACTCACATACCTCCGTCGTCCGCCTCATCGTCGCGGCGGACAATACGAAGGCCGCCCACCCACCTCCTCCTCCTCGCCCTTCTCTCCCTGACCGGGCCCGTCGTCGCCTCGCCGTACCCCAGAGGCGACATCCTCCACGACGCCCGCTACGCCTACCTCCTCGGCCGGACGTGCGCCAGCTTCTGCGGTGAGAACGGCCAGTACTGCTGCGGCGGCGGCGAGCACTGCACGACGCTGTCCAACAACGTCGCCACCTGCGTTGCCGACGGCGCCATCGCCTCGCCCCTCTACACCACCACCTGGACCGAGACGCGCACCTACACCAGCACCGTCCTGACCTGGTTCCTGCCGCCCCCCGCGCCCACCGCCGGCGTCGACTGCGTGCCCCAGCGGCCCGAGTGGGAGGCCTGCGGCGAGATTTGCTGCGCTGGCTGGCAGACATGCGCCTACAAGGGCCAGTGCTCCGCCAAGCCCGGCTACGGCGAGCCCACGACCGTCATCGTCACCAACAACGGCGTCGTCACCACCCAGTACTCGGCCCCCTACCGCGTGACCGGCACGACGACCATTACCAACACTGGCGTCCGCTCCACCGATGCCGGCATCACTACGGGCACGCCCACCTCGACCAGCAGCACCCGCACGGCCACGGCCACGCAGGACCCGGACGGTGCTGCTGGCGGCGACGGCACTTCGGGCACGGCTAACAACAAACTCAGCGGCGGCGCTATTGCCGGCATCGTCATTGGCTCTCTGGCCGCCGCCGGCCTCCTCATCCTGCTCTGCTTCTGCTGCATCGCCCGCGGCCTCTTCAACGCTGTCTTTGGCAAAAATCGCGAAAAGGCCGATCATTACGATGACCGCGGCACGTCGGTGTACTCGCGCCGCGATCGTCACACTGGCTGGTTCGGCGGTGGCGGTGGCCGTCCCTCGTCCGTCAGCGACCGCCGCAGCGAAAAGAAGTCGAGCGGTGCCTGGTGGCTTGGCCTCGCCGGCGCTGCCGCCACCCTGCTGGCCCTGCTCAACATTAAGAAGAAGAAGGAGGTCCCGCGCAAGACGCCCTCGCGCTACACCGACTCCTACTACAGCTACTCCGACTACACGGGCATCACCCCCAGCAGCGCCAGCTCCGGTCGCAGGACCACCCGCACAGGACGCACCGCGCGCTCCGGCCGCTCCAGGACCAGCCGTGCTAGCCGCAGCAGGTTCGACAGCCGCAGTCGCGTCGACAGCCGGAGCCGCATGGACAGTCGCAGCCGTATAGACAGCCGCATGGGAGTGACGAAATCGGCCTATACAGCCAGGTCCTCGTCTCGCCACGATTAGTCGCGGCCGTCTCCAGAGCAGTAAAAACTGTTCTGGCACGCCTTGCTTTGCTCGGTCGGATACGGAACCGAATAACCACCACGACTGTACATTGAAAAAGAGATTCTCTGCTCACCTTGACCGTTATCGGACTGGGTCGAGTTGCATATGCGTTGATTTGTCGTTTTCTTTTCTCGGCTCATTGGCAAATGAAGACGGCGTTGGTTTGTTTGTCTATATTTGATGTTTTAATTTGGAATGAAGGATGGACGACGAGGTTGAAAAAAACGACTGCGAAGACGCCATGGCCTATACACATGGTATCGAATTGGGCGGCTCGCTGATTCTTGCTATTTGCTCTTTTGCACATACCTCTGCATTTGGATTTGATGGACACGACTTGAACGATTTGATAGAATTTGAGAAGAAAAAGGAAGCTCACTGACGGCGAGCCTCGCCTCGTTCAGATCGGTACCCTTTACTTAATGTTGAATATTTCCTATCCAACACAGATACATACCCCAATAAATAGACTTGCTGCCTCAGTCAGCACCATCAACTCCGCGCTCTCCAACCACTCGTGACCGTACTCGCCGCGGGTGCACATATGATAGACGTCGTTAGATTGATTTGTTTTGCTTTTGTATTTTTTGTATGTAGCCCTTTTGCTACATGACATGCAAGAAACCTTCGCCTCTCCTGTAAGACCCAGAAACGCAAAAGAAACAATCCGTGTCCATAATTTACTCCTCAACAACGTTGCCCTTCTCGGAAACGTACAGACCGTCCAAGAACTAGAGATTATGTTAGCGAACAGAGGGGCAAAAATCTAGTGGGGAGGGGCCGACGAGCAAGCGGGAGCAACCTCCGTGGCCAGAGTCTCGACTCAAAGCCAACCCGAAATCTGTCTCGCACAAAGGCCCCCCCTGTATATCAAATCGTACCTTTCGGATATCCTTGTTGCGGACCTTGCAGATCTGCTGAATGTCGGCGGCACTTTGCGAGACGTTCTCGATCGAGTTACCCGAGAGAACAAGCTCATCCTTTTGCGCAGTCGAGATGGCAACGTCGACACCCTCGGCCATGACCACGCGGCGCACAATCTTCTCGCCAATGAAGTTGCGGATCTCCACCTCCCAAAGACCGGTCTCCTTGCTCTGGTCGACGTTGACGTTGATGGGGAAATGCGCGTAGACGTAGCGCATCTTGTACTTGAAGCCCTTTGTGACGCCGGTGATCATGTTGCTGATGATGGACTTGACGGTGCGGAGGGTGGCGACATTCTTGCGGTTGCCGTGGTGAATCTCAATTGAGATGATGTTCTTGGAGGGGTGGCCGAAGTTGACGGCGAGATGGCCGAGGTTCTTGACGAGCTTGCCGCGGGGGCCCTCGACGGTGACGATGCGGGTCTTGATGTTGACCTTGACTGTAGCGCGCAAGAAGGTCAGTGGAAACAATTCGTACATTCGAGCAGTGTGCGTCTCGGCTCTGGGAGGCGTGCAGGCGGCGGACGAGGAAAGAAAGTTTGAGATGCGTCTCCGTAGCCATGTCGCAGATATTTTCCCCATATACAACCGCAAATTTGTTGACAAAGTTCTTCAACCAGAATGATGGCGAGCAGGGCGAATTCGTCGTCGTTTCATCGGTGTTGCCGAGCATTCGATCGCAGGTCCGATATGCATCTCGCACTTTTTTTTCCTCGTCTTTCGTCGTGTCGTCCAAGCTTCGTCCTACACCGGATGCCGAGAGCAGAAAACTTTGACAATTCGTTCACGTACCACCCTGAGGAATCTCCAGAGTCTCCTGGGAATGAATGTACTTCATCCTGCCGGTATTTGATGGGGTGGAATTGGGCGTGAGGTTGAGGGTATCTCGAGACTGGGCGGCGGGACAAGCTCGACGAAATGTTTAGCGAAATCGTTGTGGGTAGAAAAGTTCTAGGGCTCAGTGCACGTGAGGGCGCAAGTTGGCAGTGCCGACTTTTTGCCGGGGCAAGTTGGGCGCTCCACTGCGTTTTGTCGAGGCGCAGAGGTGGCTGGTTAGCGGCGGGGCGAGCGGACCACGTGATCTTCAATTTGAGATCAGGCCGGACTGCGAGTTATGATGAGCGAGACTGTGAATGGTGTAATGGCAGTGCTTCAGAAAGTGAATGCGCTGTTTCGGATGTTCAGTATCTAATCTAACTGTGAGATATTGGCTAAACTTCTAGTCAATGCCCCTACTGCCAAGCGCCGTGTTGTCGAGCGGCGCAAGCACCGAGTCTTAAATGGTACAGCATCGCAAGTTGTGCCCCAATTCTTGCCAGCGAAATGTCTTGCTAAATGCAAGCATCAATATATAGTGGATGAAAGTTGTTGTCCCAATACTCACTCTGCAAATCTTTGGCGCGTACTGATGGTGGCCTGCCCAACCATACGTCAGCTCTCGCGAGGCTCCACAGCAGCAGCAGTAGCCGCAGCTCGCAACGAACGACAACGTCCCTCCCCCAGCCAGTAACGTCAACCTCCCGCCCCTCCGAGCTCCTTACGCCAACATCACCACGCGCAGCTTGCTTCGCCCAACAACCCAATACACTTCTTCCTCCCCCTCCCCCTCACCCTCGACGGCGCATGCGAGATTCCTCCCTCCACTCAAAATGTCGTACTTCTTCTCCACACCCGTCGACATTGACGTCGTCCTCGAAAACGCCGATGACCGGTCCATGGTCGACGTCAAGCTCGACAAGAACCGCCGTGAAAAGGCGCCGCTGTACATGGACGGCGAGTCGGTCAAGGGCGGCGTGACGGTGCGGCCCAAGGACGGCAAGCGTCTCGAGCACACGGGAATCAAGGTGCAATTCATTGGCACGATAGGTACGGCAATGACAGCTTAACACCACGACGGACCCCCCGTCGCAGCCCGCTCGGCGAGTTGTTGTCGTTGCGCGCCGCAACCCGCCGTCTCAACTCGCCCAAGGGGTGCGCGCGTCGCCGGGTATCGACAATTGGGGGCGTAGGCCGATGCTAACATGTTCATGTTTGTTCCAGAAATGTTCTTTGACCGCGGCAACCACTACGAGTTTCTCTCCCTCAACCAGGAGCTCGCCGCGCCCGGCGAGCTGCAGCACCCGCAGACATTCGACTTCAACTTTAAAAACGTCGAGAAGCAGTACGAGTCGTACAACGGCATCAACGTCAAGCTGCGCTACTTTGTGCGCGTCACCGTCTCCCGCCGCATGGCCGACGTGATTCGCGAAAAGGACATTTGGGTCTACAGCTACCGCATCCCGCCCGAGGTCAACAGCAGCATCAAGATGGACGTGGGAATTGAGGACTGCCTGCACATTGAATTCGAGTACAGCAAGAGCAAGTACCACCTCAAGGACGTCATCGTCGGCCGCATCTACTTTCTCCTCGTCCGCCTCAAGATCAAGCACATGGAGCTCTCCATTATTCGCCGCGAGACCACCGGCGCCGCCCCGAACCAGTACAACGAGAGCGAGACGCTCGTCCGCTTCGAAATCATGGACGGCTCCCCGTCCCGCGGCGAAATCATCCCCATTCGCCTTTTCCTCGGCGGCTTCGACCTGACCCCGACGTTTCGCGACGTCAACAAGAAGTTTTCGACGAGGTACTACCTCAGTCTTGTCCTCATCGACGAAGGTAAGAAAGGGCGCCCGCCGTCGCCGCCGCCGCCGCCTTTTGTCGGGTTTTCAACCCCCCCCCCCCCCCCCCCCCTTTTCCCTCCGGCAGCATGCTGACCCTGTTTCCTAGACGCTCGCCGGTATTTTAAGCAGTCTGAAATCATCCTCTACCGCCAGGCTCCCGACCACCAAGTCGAGCAGAATAGCCACGCCCTGGCCGCCCATCCACCCGAGAACAACGCCGTCGTGGCGGCGGCGGCGGCGACGGCCGAGGCTTAGATGACGCCGGGTGTTTTGCACTGGCATAATTTTCATGTTGTGATTATCAGCCTTCTTTCTTGTCTTCTTTGTTCGAATTTTGCTTGCTTAGCATAAGTACTGGCGTTTTTGGGGCTACGGGGACCGGGACCGCCTAGGCCATGTCCATTTTGGACCAAAATATTTCTAGATAAAGACATTTAAAACGAATACTCTTTACATTAAAAGCCACTTCGAATTGAAAAGAAGACTGTACAGAGAAAGCATCACGTTATTTATCTTTTTAGCGCCCAGGTTGATTATCACCACCTATCCATGTCCGACTGTACAGTCGAAAGAGCAAGAAAAAAGAAACTGAAATTGTTAATCTACAAGTTCGCATAGATCCATTTGCCTTTTTGTCGCTCGTTATGTGACCCCTCCGCAAACCCAGTACATTTCTTTTATGCATGCATTCCCTGCATTGCCTCATGCAAGATCCATCACATCATCTGCTGAAAATCCAAACTGATTATTCTGAATGGCTGCGATCCTGTCCAGCTCGTCCTGGTATTGCTTGCGCACGTCGGCAAGCGAAACGACCGTGCGCTTCTTCGGTAGCCCTGTGGCGTTGTCTACAGCCTCGTCAAAGACCCACGCCTGCTTGGGCTCGACGCAGCTCAGGGCGTTGATCAGCAGCAGGTACTGCCTCGTGACAGGCGTATCGAGCACATCATCACCAGTGATTTTGTCAGCCTCGCCCGCGAGCTTCAGCTTCTGGATGCGGTCGAGGAGCACCCACGCTGCGCCGCGCATATTCTGACGCTTGATGCGCCACGCGTACAGCACTTGGTGATAGTGCGCGCCGCCGTGCACCACGTCGGCAGCGTTGCGGCAGCGCTTGGCCAGGAAATCGTCGACGTCTTGCTGCAAGCCTGGAAAGGGAAGCGCCACAAGCTCGCTGTTGTGGCCAGTCTCGCACATCTTGTCCACGAGGAGGCGCAAGCTGGATGAGCGGAGTGCCCGGTCCTCAATGGAGAGAAGGGTCGTGTGGGCGAGCTCAAACTGGCAAGTGGCGAGCGCAGCGCTGAATTGACGAGTCAGCATCTCGGCTTTGACCGAGCCACGATCAGGGCGCGCTGATGTAAACTGCATGGCCAGACGCGCAAACTCAATGACGTAGGAGTACGCCTTGTGGCTATCGAAGAGCGCGACAATATGTGAGTAGTAGCGAGGCAGGCCGCTGTTAAACATTGCCCACTCTGTCTCGTCAAGCAAGCCACTGCTGTGGCGGTCAAGCTGGACTGCTTCGGTACCTGTGACGATTAGCATGCGCAAACGCAATGTCGTGCTGCAAGACTTACTCATTCCGATGGCAGCCTTCCTGAAGAGGTGTGCCGCGTTGCTATAGTCCTTCAAGGCCAGACTGACACGACCTTGGACATATACCGAAAACGAATCTTGGCTGCAGAATCTGCCAAGGGCGTCGGCTAGATCCGCTCGGTGCCTCTTGATGAGCGAGCACTGAATCAGAGCTGGCGATACTTCAATATCGCTATCCGAGGCGCAGAGAGCGGCCACAATCTCAGTGATACTCTTGCTAAGATCTTCATTCTTGCCGTCAAAGCCGAGCAAGTGGCCAACATTAGCTTCAAGGGCCGTCACGACTTGCGTGTCATCCCCGCTCTTCTTGGGCAACATGCCCCATCCTGGCCTGGACAGTGGCACAGCAAGCTCAGTTTGAGACAGACTTCTGAGCAGCTCCAGCCGACGCAGGGCAGCTACCAGGCTTCGAAACACGTTTCCAACATCGACACGGTGGTGAAGGGCGTCTTCCTCGTTATCAAACTCAAACTCCATATGAGTAAGGAGAATGAGTTGACTGAAGCACACATTCCATAGTAGCGCCAAGCAATCTTGTGTGGCAGCCATCAGGAGCTTTCGTCCAAATTCGGTGACTGGAGTATTGAGCTTTCGGCCCCTGAATCCAGCAGGACTTGCGACTAGAGCAAGGACTTCATTGTACAGTTCGTCTGTCACCATGTTAAAGTTTGGACCAAGAACGTCGACAATTTGTGTGCAGTCATCGTCCGTAATCCCTCGCCAGAATCCAGCCTTGTCGGAAAAGAACTGAATGCGCTCCAGGTCCGTCTTTTGCGACTGTTCGAATAATTCTGGCCGTAGAGCTGCGTTGCAGAGCTGTAGATAGCTGTCTGAGAATCCGTCGACAAATGTCAGCGCCGAGTTGATGAGTGCTGCCTCGTGCTGTCTGCCCTGCTCGGGAGTGTGGAGGTTGTGGTATATGCGCTCCAAGTCGCTGCACTCTCTGATGGCCGACACAAGATCGGCGCAGACAACCCAGGCAATGTCGGATTCGGGATCAAATGCCAGGCTAATCGCCTCGCCTCGTTGCTTGTCCAGTTCAATGAGCAGTCTGTAAAAGCGACGCCACTGGCTTTCGCTCGATGATCTGAACTGCTCATAGTCCATCGCACCGTTCGCACCTCTTTCCAGTGATGCTGCTGCGCCAAGCACAGAACAGATAGATTCAGCCAGGCCACGTCCCTTGATGGCCTCGGGGTATTTTCCAAGACCGCGCTCGTAGATGCAAAGTGCAACCTCGAGTGTCGCTTTGGTAAATCTGCCTGGCTTCAGAATTAGTTGCAGCCATTTTTCTGTAACATCTTGGGGGTCCCAAGATCCAGAGGTCTCGGCAGTCAGCAAGCCCGTATCGGAATGGACACCTTCCCAGCCCCGTTGCCAGACCTGTGACATGTTTGTTCTATCCAAGTCTAGCCGTTGTACTCGGTAAGTGATATTATTTTTCCACAACGTCCAGAGACTTATATTGCCCTCCTCGGGCGAAGTGAGCACAAAGTCAGCGAGAGTCCATATGTCTGACGACGACGGGGTCTCGGGTATAAGGGTCAGTTTAGGGAAAAGGTCCTCAAAGGTAATCGAATGAGGTCCCTTGGCGACGACTTTCCAAAACTTGAATTCGCCTGGCCCAATAGGCGAGTATGTGGCGCATATTCTCTGACCCGAGCTGCGTCCGACAATCTGTACCAGGTTGGCCTGAGAAGGATCTAGAGTCCACTTCCCAATCTCCTGTGGTGATCTATCAGCGCCAAGCAAGTCTCCTGTAAACAAGATTTGGCCGTCCTGGATATTCCATATACGGATGCGATGGTCGAGACAAACGGTAATGGCAAAAAGGCAGCCATCCAGCCCCAGCGATGTGACCTGCACCGCCGTGGCAGCACTATATTCCATGTTGGTTCGGCCATATCGAATAGTGTGGTTGCCTTGAAAAGGAAGCAGGCTTCGGAGATTTTGTTTCCATCCTTGCACGTTGAAGAAGGATTCCTTCCATACGCCGCCTGTACCGTGTTAGCCGACCTTCTCCATGTGCATATTAGTTGCCAAGCAGCATCAGACTTACCATCGTCTGCCTGGCCTCTGTCTAGACGAATCATGCCACCATCATTGACCGTCACCAACAGGGTGTTGGCCGACACGGCCACCATGCGATGCGCGTACTTGAAGCCCAGCCCAGCTGGCGCCTGTACCTTGGCCAGGTCCGACAGGCCCGCATCGACTGCCGTTCGCTTCCTGAAGAGGTCGGGCCGCAGCGTAAATGTGTAAAGGTGGGACGAGCTGTCGAGGACAAACAGGCAGAGCGCGTCGTGCTCCTGCGGGTCAGCGAGGGCAACGCAGCCCGGCTTAACGGGCACCGCAAAGTGAAAGTTGAGCACGAGCGGGGCGTCGGCGGCCTTGCTGTGGCGGCAGACGTCGGCGGCGCGCACGCTCAGCAGGTGGCCGTCCTCGAGCACGCGCCAGAGAAAGTTGCGCGGCGCGTCGTGCCACCGGCGGTGGTAGATGGACGCCGCGCTCGCGAGGTTCTTGCGGCGAAACGCCGTCTCATCTTCGGCCGCGCCATCGTTGTTCTTGCTACTCGAGCGTGAGGAGGCGCCGCCGGACAGCGATGGGACGCGGATCGTGACAATCGACGCTGCCGCCGGAGGCTCGAGGTTCAAGCGGGTCTCTTTGAAGAGAAACTGCGCGTCGCCCGAATCCATCTCGCCTCCTGGAGCTCTACGAGCGCATGCGTCGTGCGTTCCTTTAGAGGATAGATAGAGGATAGAGGGTAGTTCGATGGTTCGCGAGGTCGACGATACAGGGCGCTTGGCGATGTGAATTGGTGTTGGTGGGCGCGCAAGGTGGGCGTTGGAGCTCTGTTTTTATGAACGTTGCTCTGGACTAACTAGAATTTCGTTGTTGTACTACCTACTTACTTACCTACCTCCCAATCGGTTTCTGTGGAGCTCATTGGCTCAGGTACGTACCGCCTTACACAACGGGGCATCTCACCAGTAACGAGTTGCAGTGTAGCAAATATTTACAAACAATGGATCGATCTTATTTCATGTTTCTAATTATTGGCTTCATCACATCTGTTAACCGATATCTACAAATGAGTCCCCTCATCGCACAGTAAAACGTGAAGCACCCAAAGACGTCTAACAACTTTGAAAATCCCAAGCAAAGTATAACAGCCAACGCCAGCAAACCATGCAATAAAAAAAGTAGCACATTATATCGTTTGAGCCCCCATTTAGTCCTTCTCCATATCCTTGGGGGCCGGGTCACTGATACCGTCCTCGCCAATGGCGAACAAGGTATCGCTCTCTGGCAAGCAGGGACTGTCGTAGATCTTGGCGATTCGCGTCTCTCCACGGCCCTTTTTCAAACTGATTCTGGTCGTGCTCGCATGTGCAATAATGTTGCCACCGATCGGCTTCTTGGGATCCGGGTTGAACATGGCGCTAGGTCCGCCGTCCACCTGGGCCACGACCTGGTTCGTAATGACGACGGCCACGCCAAACTCGTCTGCTAGGCGCTGCAGCGTTCGCATAAACTTGGCCAGGTGCGTCTGGCGGTTGGACAACTCGCCACGGCCGCAAAAGTCGGTGCGGTAGAGCGCCGTGGCGCTGTCCACAATGAGAAGCGAGAACCGCGTCTCGCACATCATCGCCGCGGCCTGATTCAGCAGCTGCAGCTGGTGGTCCGAGTTGTAGGCGCGCGCGTAGGCAACGTTGTCGAGGACCTCCTCGCCAGAAAGACCAAATCGATTGGCCACGGAAAGGAGGCGGACGGGCCGAAACGTGCCCTCGGTATCAATGTAGAGGCACTTGCCCTCGCCGCCGCCCATGTCAAAGGGCAGTTGGCAAGTTACAGCGAGCGTGTGGCAAATCTGACTTTTTCCGGTACGAAACTCGCCGAAAAGCTCGGTGACTGAGCCGGTCTCGATACCACCGGCAAGCAGCGTGTCGAGATTCTTGGAGCCCGTGGTAATGGAGATGAGTTCGCTTCGCCGCTGGTGCATTTCTGTTGCAGTGGTAAATCCCATAGGAACAAGCTTCGAAGCTGTGCACTGTTAGAATTGAGATATTGACTGACAATTGCGTCAATTACCTTCGGCAAGAATTTTGGTGGCCTTTTGTTCCGAGATGCCCTTGATCTGCTCCAGCGTTCGGCGCGGGGTATAGGCCACGGCTTCGACAGTGTTGAAGCCGCCATCGACGACCAATTGGATATCTCGCTTTGTCAGTCCAGCGATGCCCTAGATTTTCATCTTTAGTGACTCTGAGGCGAATATTGCAGCAAATCAAGACCGTAGGGATTGTACCTCGAGCGCACTGAGAGGAGTGGGAGCACCAGGGCCGCCCATCTGACCCTCCTCGCCCGTTTGTGCTTCATCATATTCCTCAGACATGTTGCACAGTTTCGTATGCAAGGGTTCAAATCTTTGGAGTACAGAGGCGACCGTGCATTGGCAACTTCAATCGCCGAGTGCGCTTCTTGAAATTAATCAGCCGTTGTTATGGCATAACGCGTTGGAACGCGCCAGGTTAGGCAACAACGCTAATTGTCCAACGCCAGATCACGTGAGCCATTCCGCCACTCTATGCTCAATACCAGCAATTATAAGGCGGAAAGGAGTAATGAATGTCTAACTAATCGAACGTGCCTACTTTGATTGCTGCGAAAAATTTATCTCAGTCCCAGCCTCGTTTTGTTGAGTGGAAGCGGAAGGGCGTCTACTTCCATGCCCTTGCATCGTTCCTTTACTACATTCACAAGCATATTTATTATAAGAAGAAATTTTCATGAAAATTGTGTATTTTTGTAGCTACAATACAAACAGATTATTAATGAAGGAAGCAAGTTTCAAGTTTCAACGCCAAGAAATGCGACATTTTGCTGGTTAAGAAATGCAAAGAGTGTGCCAAGCATCACCAGAGGCGATCATCAACAATCGTAGAAAAGGTATCGCATGCAGAACGTATCCGGAAAAAATATTGTTTAGTTGATGCTGATGCGGACAGGCTCGTGTTTCTTGGCCTTGGGCACAGTGATGCTCAAGATACCGTCCTGGAAGCCGGCGGTGACGCCATTTTGGTCGACGCGGGAGGGGAAGCTAAACGAGCGGGCAAACTCGCCAATGCTGCGCTCCGTGAGCCAGTACTTGGCCTTGTCGGTGGACGCGGCCACAGTGTTGTTGTTGTTGTTGTTGCGAGCAATGGTGTTGGAAGGCTCGCTCGCGACCTCGCTGCCATTCTCCTCCTGGATGCTGGCGTCGTCCTCATCAGACACGGTGGCCTTGTGAGACGGTGCGGGCGCGGCCTCCTCGGCAGCAGCCTCGACGGCCTTTTGGTTGTTGTTGGGGGAGGTGCCGGTGGTGTACGTCCTCTCGACCTTGCCGCGGACAACGAGGGTCTGGGGCTCGGTAAACTCGACGCTCACGTCATTCTTGTTGAGGCCGGGAAGCTCGCCATGGAGCTCGTAGGCGTCAGCAGTCTCGCGGACGTCAAACTTGGGCTGCCAGTGGCAGACGGGACCCGCCTTGCGGAAGTGCTGCTGCTGCTGGTTCTGCTGCTGCTGCTGCTTGCCGGAGGCGGGCTGGGACTGGCGCGAGTATGTGTCAAACTCGTCGAGGAGACGGAAGAGAGGCGTGAAGGAAGCCTCGCTGTTGTAGATGGTGCGGGGAAAGAAGGAAGCCATTGTAGTGGTGTTGTGTTTGATGTTGTAGTTGCTTGTTGGAACTCTGCGAGAGTCGTTGAGAGTGTGCAAGTAAGGGAGGATAGAAGAGCTTTGGTGATTGTGTTGATGTGTGATGAGAAGAAAAGTTTTTGGTCCTCTACGGAATCAGATTGGATCTTTATAGTTGGATGAGAAGCAATGTTCTCTCAGGCTACAGATGAGATTCGTCATTGTACTGGATTCTAGAATCTTGTTGAAGATGCTGGCGACTTACACGGCAAGCACGGCCGTGGTGTTTCTAAGCATGTCAGGTAGGTACGCCAGCAGTGGCCAGACTGTGGTAGAACCTGCTAGAATCTGGTGGAAGACGCTGCAAAGCTCCACTAAAACCAGTAAGGCTCTAGGTACCCTAGGTATGGCCCCCACGTTTGATTCAGCGCCCGCATCTGTTGCTGAACGAGATGCAAGCAGCAACAAGAAAAAAAATAAAAGAAGAATAAAATTTGATTATCGAACAATTATATTTACGGCCTCTTTACTTCTACTACTTTGATTTACGTGAGTAACAATGTAGCACGGCTCGGCCAGCCGGGCCAACCACTTACCTGACCAGCACATGTCCCAAAAAGGCAATTTCAACTTTTGGGTGATGCAATGACGTCACAGTTCCACGCTCCTCTGTGGAAATCTTTGTCCCCTTCGCTTCTCAAAAAAAGGCACCCTTTTTCGAGCACGAATGGCGGGGGCCATTTGGGGGTCGCCATAGAGAATACCAGTCTCGTATTGAACTTGCAGTCGCTTGCCATGGGTCGTGAGTTGCGTCATCACTACGTCCTCCCAATTCAAGAAAAGAAATAAGCTGCCTCTTGAAGCAATCAAACGTGGACCGTCATATACACAGCATTTGGCCAATGAATGCCACGCTACCTTTTGCCGGCTCTCGCAAAAGCTGCAAATACCTGGCTATGCGTCGCCACAGAGAAAATCTTCAGCCACAGCTGCAATAGCCAAGGCGGGCGGCCAGCTTTCTCTACGTGCGCGCCCACACCCCCTCCACTCGTCAAGCCACACTTATTCTGACGTCGTCCCATCTTCTCGCCTTGGAAGGGTGTTCTGTCATCGTCTAATTCCGTTCGATACGCGCGTCCGATGTCGGGCTCTCGTCATCAATCAATCTCTTCGGAGAAGCGCTGCGACTTGCAGGTACACTCCAGCCAAGTTCCGCACTGGTCAGCGCCGATGGAGGCGTCAAATCCTGCAAACGTCAATCAGCTTCACTAGCACTGCAAAAAATGATAGCATGGAGAGCTCAATGCATCATAATAGTAGTCATTGTTTTCTGGCCAAAATAGCATTTCGAATGCTCTAATTCCCCATGCAAGTTCCTTGCCTCGCCTGTGCTATGCTCATCCCACCAAAATCAATCGGAGTATGACAATGTATTACGAATCACGTATCGTTTTCGTAGCTCGACTTGATATATTGCAAGGAAGTTTGTAGTCTTCGCAAGTAAATTGCCTTGTTCATCAAGTTCGTAGTTGCTCCACGTTGCCATGGCTCATCGCGCGTTTTCATGCTCAAGTGATGTGATGTAGTGCATCGTTTGCCTGTAATTCGAAGTTATTGCCTGAGCCCGTGTATAGCCAGCTTTTGACACGTTCATGGCCGTCGGCCAGAGGCAATAAAAGCATTGAAGCCCCTCGGGTCATTCAAAGGATGTGGCGGCCGTCCAGGATTGAGGTTGATATTCATCAAACCGACGAGCCGGCGTCCGATTGAAGGTTCAAGCTCCGTCCCATCCCTAGCAATCTTGACCTCGCGATTCGAGTTCCAAGGGTTGCGCAAGCCTCGTGTGCGGTAAAAGGGCAACGGAATAGTGGACAGCCAATGGAGGTTGAATGGTTTACCCCGTGTCTGCAAGTCCTCATCCGCATCATCCGCTCCCTTGTTACTCATGACTTCGTTGTCGTCCTCGATATCGCCCTCAGTCTCACTTTCTTCAATTTCCCAGAACATGGTTCCTCGTGCCGAGTCATCAATGACGCGCCCTTTTGGAATATTATCTTTCGCTTCGATCGTAACAGGTTGTGGTTGGTCACTTTCGCTGGCAGTCTGGTTTTGGGGCGCAAATTGAATGGCTGCATTTGGGTCTTGATTGATTGCCGATGTCATTCGAGCAAATCCAAAATATTCGCCAGATTTGTTGGCAGAAAAAAATAGGTAGACATTATCGGTAGTCTAAGTCTAGTCAGCACACGAGAGAGTTTGGCGGGTCGCAGTGTCAACTTACTTTGAAAGCATTGTTCAAAAGATGCTCATTATGTGACTGAGTAGCCCAAACGCTCGTCTTGACACTCTGTACCAAATCTTCATGAGTGAGGCTTTTGAGAATGAAAAATCGGTCTCGCTGAGCGTTTGCAAGGGCGTTCCTGCTGTCCCCGCGAACGTCCATGGGCTCGGGATGATCCAATGTTTCGGGTTTGGGTGACTTGTTTTCCTTTAGTGGATCTTTTGAAAGTGTAGGCGACTCGGGGTTGCTTGTTCCATCGGCAATGACAATTGGACTCTCTGCGGCTGCTTCCGGGGTGCTCTTTCTAAGTCGGCATACTAGTCGCACGGTCTGGAACTTGGACTCATGAATAGTCTTCTGGGCTTCAACGGAAGCAGCATCTTCCTTGAAGTTGGCGAATGCACAGTTGCTCTTCGAAATCAGAAACAAAGATTGAAGCCCTGGCGCTAATTCGCAAACGTGATGCACCAACTTCATTAATTCGGTTTGTGGAGGAAGATTTCCAACCCATATGGCGTGGCCTACGCGAAACATGTTAGTTTCAGCTGAACGACATCACGTCCAGAGCGTCTTACCACTTTGGTGAGGCTTTCGTGGTGGTCCACGGACTAGATTCTGTCGTTGACGCTTGGTCTCGGCTAGTCGAGTTAGCTGTATATGTTATTGTCGAGGCGATTAGGGCGTACCTGAAGGCGATATTGGGTCTCGAAAAGATCTGTTTGTTCGGTATGACGGTCTTCGAGGTGGGCCTCGACCTTCATTTTGAATGTGTCCTTGGCTATACTGTCGGTTCATCATGTGGTCGGGCCGTTGAAGAGAATGATCAGCAAACTGAGGCGGTTGCTGATAGTATCCTGGAGATTGAGGATGGTCCATCGGATATGGAACCGGGTAGTAGCCAGAATTGCCTCGTCCTTGCATCTGGTGCGGACCATGGTGACCTGGAGGAGTGCTGGCCGTGTAGTATTGATGCATAGGTGGCTGCTGCACGTAGTACCCTGGCATCACTGGCCCTGGGTGATGGCCGACATACGGGTGATGTGGCATGTGCTGTATAGCTGGCGGTGAAGTCTGCTGGCCGTACTGTTGATGACCCCCTGGTAAAGAAGGTTGTGGGTAGCCTCCGTGAGGCAGGGAGCTAGTCATCGGTGCCATATTGAAAGGACCAGATTCAGCGGTTGGAGATAGGCCAGCGTTACCGTAGTCGAAATAATCGGAAGATGGCGTGCCAGGGTATCCATAAGAAGAATGTCGAAGGGAAGAAGAGCGTCGACGCGATGGTGGAGCTGTCGGAGGAGGCTCTTGGTTCTGAACACCGTGTTCCAATTTCGAAGCTAGAGTCTCGTCCTCTTGGTTCTCAGCCATTTCCACAGGAGTACCCAGTGGAGATGAGATATCTCCCATGATGGTTTGTCAACTATCGTGGTCAAATCAAATCAGCGACGCGTTGTCACGTTTCCTGTTGGAGACTGATAGATCCGGCTCCAGGCCGAAGGACCTATGGGTAAGTAAGATGAGAGAAATCTCAGAGAAATCTTGTGTTGAATCGAGGGAAATCGAAGTTCAATGGTAAAGCCACGGCGAGGTTGACAGGACCAAGGAACGAGTCGTCGACTGAAGAGATGCTAGCCACAATGAATCCTGCCGTATGTGAATAACGAATGGCCAGGTTGCTGCCTTGCGAGATGTATATATGTAGGAGAAGGTTGGGAGCAGGAAAAAGCGCGTGCAAAGGTGCCCAATGAGCTAATCGCGCGCAACCGGGGCTTGAGAGTGATACAGCAGGCTCTTGACGTCGAGCTCAAGTATTCGTCTAATAATTTCCAAGCCACCAGAGGTTGTGTAGTTGTAGGACATGAAGAGAAGCTCAAAACAGCGTAGAGAGTGAGCTTTCGCGCCTCCAACTTTTTCTAATGTAAGTGGGAGAAGGCAGTGGACGAACGCTGGAGCGGGGGGGTTATGGTCTAGTAGGGCTGTTCAGCCCAAGGCAGCCAACTAGAGAAATGTTAAGGCAAAACCGCTATGCCTTTGTAATCGCCGCTGAAAGAAATCGAGGTTAGCTTGGCAGGCGGTTTGTGCGGTGGAGTATGTAAGAGATTAAAAATTGAATAATGCCCAGGAGGCCAAGGTGAGAGAGCTGTGTAATGGCCTGGGGGGCGTGTGCGAATAAAACAGTGTCTGGCAAAGGACTGGACAGTAATTGACAGAGCCCTTCTTGGAGATCAGAAAAGGAAGAAATGTAACCGGAAGTGCGGGAAGGGCAACGGGATAGGCGCTTGGGAATATGTGGGATCTGCTGAAGATGGTCTGGCCCCGGCTCAAGCCCTGGTCCTATCGGCAAGGCTAGTAATCTTGTCCAACGGCTGAGCGTAGCGCAGAAGAGTATCTGGAGCGGGCCAGAGTAAGTGATGAGACCTCGTACAAGGTTTCCTGTGCGTACCAAGCCAAGTGCTGCAATCTGCCTTGCAGTTAGTCAGTAAGTTGTTCAGTTGAGAGGACGAGGATCGGTCTACTTTGCCAACTCACGTTGAAACAAGGAAATCTGGGCGCTGCGCCACGACAACTTTGCCACAGATGTCGAGCGCTTAGTTGTCTCCCCCAAGGGATTTCGGTTTGGCGACAAAACAGGCAAACAGGGTAGGCGAGTGCGATTGCGAGAAAGGGCGATGGTGTTGTGGATGGCAAAGTGGCAAAAGTGGATGTTGGTGTGAGGTTCCCCTGCGCCAGAGACAAGACGCAAATAGAATCCGATTACGACGACTATCATGCAAAGAAGAATGTAAAATCAAGCAAGAAAATAAAAAATAAGAAGCTCGGGTACGTATAAAGTGAGTCAACTGGATGTCGGCACATAGATGTAGGCAAGAGGATCTTGGCGGCCCCACAGCCGGCCTACATACGTATCTGTGGATGCTATCAACTGTGTAAGGCGCTTGCTTCCCAACTTGCTGTCTGAATATATACGGAGGGAAGCTATGAATCGAACTATTAGGTACCTAGCTAGCCAACTATCCAAATTGCTACTTGAGGATACGTAATTATCGCCAAAGAAGGATTCATCAGGTGCATGTACCGGCTACAACCTCTCGGCGGCAAACGGCAACGATTCACAGACTATCACAGTATAAGCAGGGTGTCATGGGTATTGATACATGGCAGTCCACATTGGCTGGCAGGATTCGTACAGGAGCCTCCACAAATCAATTCAGCGAGAACCGCCAAATATTTGACCCCCAAACCCCGTCCCATTGTGCAGTGATGTTGTCTCTTTTTTTTTTTTTGTTTTGCCACTCATGCACATCCAGAAACGTCTCGGGGCAAAACCGGGGGTGTGCTCCAGCGGTTCCACTATACAAGCCACAGCAAAAACCGGTTCTCGAGCCCGCTTTCTGGTTTAGAAAGTGAAAGTCTCGTACGAATAACGCGTGTCGTCGGGTCCACGATTGTCATGTCGGGGCAATTAGTATGGGGTTTTTGTTCATGTGTCCTTTTTCATCGAGACACGCCTTGTGGCTTTGCTGGGGCCAAGCTGCCCAAAGATTGGCGTTGAGGGGCTCCGAGCACATTCTCGACTCCAGCATAACAGGGCAGTCCAAGTGGCGAACTTTTGAGTGTTTTCGACGTCGAAGCCACCTGGTGGCTCAAAGAACTTTGTGTGGCTGAATTTGTTGTCAGTCAACAGTCAGCAAACGGGACAAGGCGAGAAGCGTTGCCCTGACTTTCGCTTGGAAGCAGTCAATGAATTGTTGAGACTAGCTAAAAGCAAGTTGCCGCTATGTGCATTTGTAAAAAGCAGAAAAGCAATAATTAATGCCGAGCGGGAACAGCGACGTTACAGTACGTTGGCGTGCTGGGGTTGGGGATTGGGCCAGGTTCGACGCAATTCCATCATACCGGCCGATGCACTCATTGTACACAATACCGGAGCGATCGGCGAGCCAGCAGCGACACTTTCACGGGGCTGCAAAATTCGTTGACCAGCAGATGCCCGGAACGTTGCAGAGGGCAGGATAATTTTTACTGTGGCTGAAGCTGCATGACGAGAAGACACTGCATCAAGGACAGGGGTGGAGCGGGTGCGAATGGCCCAATTCTGGCGACCTGGCTTGCTGCGGTACCAGTCACATTTTCATGCACTTCCTTTTAGCCAGTTGATCAATGGCCAACGTTAATCCCAGTGGCCTTCCACCTCCGTGCCTCCCTGGCGTAGCCTGGTGTGGCGCCGGACCCTGATAGATCAGCCCAATCCCCATCATTTTGTAGCTGGTCATGGGCTTCTGTGGTCCCATGGTACCAAGTATCGTTGTTTGCGCTTGCTTTCTCGGAGCGAACATGACAATATCATATCGTTCCATGTTGGTTTTCCTTGGCCACGAAAAAAAAAAAAAGGACATGGTGCAATCACATGGGGTCAACAGTCCCGCCTTGATAATGACCGCCAACTGGGTGGCAAACCCCCCATTAGTTGCCTAGTTATGCGCCGAGCTGTACAGAGTAGTAGCCACCCGTCATATCGCGCACAGCCCTTGACAGCACATGCATCCTGTCCACGATGGAGGTCTGATAGTTTTCCATGGTGGACAAACCGCCAAAAAGACAAAACAGCATCCTACACAAACTTTAAGAGAATAGGACGGTATAGACGCCGATCATGATATCATCATGGCCCAAGCCATCTGATCAGTGATTCACATCGTGGCATGACTGACGCCTCATTGTTTTGTTACTAAGCTGTCTTGAATGGGTGTGCAGCCGCGAATGCACCAGCACAGCAGGCTGACAGCGAAACCAGGGCACATGCTCGGGAGCTGGTGTGTTATTAGGCTGCACGCCCCCTCCAGAGGAATAAGAGGAGCTGGACCCTTGATTTTCTTTGGAGGGGGGAGGTAAAGGTTGAAAGGGCAAGGGTCGTACTTGTAGGTCAATTGGTGTTGAATGTCTGCTAACAACGCAATCAAAGTACGTACGGCAGAGATTGGAACAAGTCACGCTAGTAACCGGAATGAATGCTCCGGCGCTCAAGAAAATACGACTACCAAAGATTGAGACAAGAAAAATCCATCTTCTGGAAGCTGGGCTAGACCTAGTCCCCATTGATTCAAAGGAGGCAATGTAAAGGAATTGGGCGACCAGCAAAAAAAAACATGGCAAATGGGTAGGAATATACAAAATGAACAATGAATCGACGCCATTTTGATTGATCACGACTGCAAAGAGCAAGATTCTTGAGCTCATTATGAGCAAGCATCGAGTCAGAGTACCTTGGTTTTGATGGCTTCGTGAACGAACTGACGGCTGGGCAATAGTCTAGAACCCAACTCCACAAGAAGAACAGAGAACAGAGAGAAAAGATGAGTAGTCATATACCCACCGATGAAGTGAAAAACTTCAATATATCCTGGATTAATAATTCTTTTCCCCGTGCACATACCTGGTGTTCGTTGCTTTCCAACTTCAATTCCCAAGAGAGAAGAGATCCACAGAGAAGCGACCCACAAATGTACTAAGCACACATCCCTCCTCAGCCTGACTTTATTAGTATGACGACATAGACTTTTCACTACCCACGCCCAGGACCCCGAAAACGCCGGGCTGTGGGCAGGGGAAAAAAAACCCAATTCAAGAACCAAGAATTTCAAGATTTCGATTAGATTTCCCGGTGATTTCTCACCGCACCGCCACACTCTGCTTTTTTCTTCTCTCGAGTTGAGTCACGATTACGCAATCCCCTATTAATATGCACTTATGAAAAGGCCTGAGCCACATCCAAGGTCAAGCCACGAAAGGCGTTGAACCGCCACAGCACGGGCTTGTTTGTACTTGTGTGAAAAGCAAGGCTTCGTTCTAGGTGGTTCTTGATCATTCTGATCGTGTTCGGGGCAATGACTTGCAGGTGCACGTGCATTGGACTTTTCCCCTTGTGTGCTTTTTTTTTTTTAATGCTTTGAGAGAAATACTCTTTCTAGGTAAAAGATCTCTTAAAAGAACTCTACTTCTCGGTAAGTGTCCGTCTCGAAGAAGCCGAACTCGACATTGACCGAGAAAGGAAAGCGGAAACATTCTAGCCACGTAACTACCCTTACAGTATGCCTGGGCATAAAAGATCCACGCCTCAGCCACCTTCGACATGACTACGTGCCGGTACGGAAGGCCTTGGCTCCGGCTCCACTTTTGACCGCCAGGGCCGCCCACCTACTGGCCTTGCAGAACGGCCAAGTCGGGTGTACCGGTACGGAGGAGAACAAAGAGGGCGATGAAGTGGATGAAAAGGTCCAACTAGAATAATGCCGGGCTTTGCCTTGGTTCCCGCGGGGTGGCAAATTTTGTTTCCCTTTTTTTAGTTTCCAAACGGGGATTGCGAAGCGAAGCGAGGTCACGCTGGCCTCTTCACGTTGTTGAATAAGCTACTTTATCACTGTCTTGCGTAGCCATCGACCCCCCCGCTGCTATAAACGCCACAAAGCTTTCTTGGTGCTACCTTACGAACCGCACGTTCCCCCCGAACCCCCCCCCCCCTCGCGCGAAAGAATGCGCTGGCTGCGTAAACGGATTCTCGGAACTGAAGCTCGCTCGAATTCGCCCTAGCGACTAGCAAAGTTCAGGTGTCTGTGTGATGTCAAGAGGTCTAGTTTGAATCTTGTGTAGATGCTAGCGGAAACTTCCAGGACCAGCCGAATCACTTGTCTCAAGCGCATATATACAAATCGTTAGATCAGACACAGTCTAACACAAAACGACGGCAGTTGACAGCTCAACTAGTCGAGATTTCATACGATTAGCACAAATGGTTCCATTACTTCCAGGATGCCCAGAAGCATGCCAATCTTTGGGCCAGTGCTGTTATACAGGGTAGTGATGCACTGACGGGATTTTCCATTGCCTCCCGCCCCCCCCCTCCGAGCCTCCGGATCCGCGGGGACGCTATCGCCGGGAGCTAGCCTGGAGTTGCTAGAAACGATGCGACAAAGAACGCATAAAAAGGGCCCCAAGGTTTTTGTTCCCGGCGAAACAAGAGCCAAGCCGGCATTCCCGGAGGATAGCAGATGGACCGGCGCGGACGAACTACTCTGGTTGGGGGAAGCCGAACCCGACAGTGCGAGTGAGAAGAACTGAACCAGACTAGATTGATCATGTATCCTTTTCTAACGAAGTTAAACGAAGCACGGCCTGCCCCCACAAAATGGTGCCGACGCTCGAATACAAACATGAAGTGAAGGCCGCGATCTCCTGCCGTTTAGTCCCAAGATGATCACCCGGTCACCATGATATCGTCACAAGACGTGCATCTACGACTACCTGCATCTCGTGCCAATGTGCCCTACAGCCAACCAGCCAGAGAGGGCTGTCTCGGCACCTGAATCACCGCCGGAAACTTTTTCTATCATCTCCGAGTTCGTATCAAAGCGAGTTAACCTGCAAACCAAGAACTGTATACTCCGGACTGACATGACCACAGCTTCAGGACGGCCTCTGCAAACGGCCAAGCACCAATTGTATTATACGTATGGAATGCGTAGCGACTGTACACGTGCATCTCAACTCTTAATCCTTCTTGAGTGGCACAAATACCTCCTCGATACCATTCTTGGAGACAATAAGCATTTGGAGCGCGTCACCAACCTCAATGTGGCGCTCCGCCGCTCCGTCAAACGCGTCCTTGATAATCGTCTCGACCTGCGGGCGGGTGAGGGGCTCGCGCGGACGCTCCTGCAAGTCGTGGCCGGTGCCGCTTCCCGGAATGTACTGATTGCGAAAGTTGACCTGATTGTCGAGGAAGGGCATGATGAGGCTGGCCGCGGCGCCGCCGGCTCGGCACTGCTCGCGCTCGTAGCTGCCGACCGGGTCGTACGAGTAGATGGCGCCCTTGCCCTCCTCATCAAGACCGCCGAGCAGAGCATGCGTGTAGTAGGGAAAGAAGCGCTTCTGGTAGAGAATCGTCGATAGGCGCTTGGCGCAGGCGTTGAGCGTCATGGGCTTGCCGTGGCGGTAACGGTAGATTTTGCAGATGGTGTCGAGGCGGTCGCGCAGGGCGTCGCCGTCGGCCGCGAAGCCACACACCGAGAGAACAATCGTGGCGTCGTCTTGTGAGGCGTTGGTGCCGCCAATCTTGAACACCTTGGGCGCCATGCGCGAGTTGATGCTGTATCCGCTCGTGTGTCGTGTGTCACCGGCCATGATGCTGAAGTCAGCGCCGGCGATGCCGAGCGTTGAGCCGCCATTGTCAGTGTATCTTAAGGGGAAAGTCAGCGACAAGCTCTTCCGTACCCATGGTGCTGCCTGCCCAGACTTACGGGTTGAAACGGTGCTCGCGGGGCTCGCCAGCTTGTCTGGGGACGTCGGACAAGGCATAGTTGGGGCCATTCAGGACCGGGTTTTGGCTGAACATGGCCATCGTGAATGTGTGTGCGGAAGCAGGAGCTTTATTTAGCTAAGAAAGATGCCGGACGGTTATGATGGAGGTGCTGCGTGGATAGAATCGATGGCTTGGTGATGAGTCGGGACAGTGTTGCGCAAGCAGGAGGAGCTTTCTCACCACCTGTGAGGCTGCTCAGACCAGCTAGCGCACGCGTACAACTGGAGCCTTGCCACAGGTGCTGCGTTTGCCTACGGCGCGCCACATACGACCAGCCACGCGGGCACTGGAGAGCTTCCAGCCACTGAGCCAGCCAACCAGCCACACCCAAATGACTAAGCCCCACAACTCTTGGCCGGACCTGGGGGAAGCTCTCCTGTCCGCTCCAAGCCTGTCTGCCACTGTGTATCTTACCTAGGCTCTTTGGCTGTCACGGACCGACTCACGGCTATCCGTCGCTTAGGCTGGGAGGCTAGCATCCCGTCCCTGACTGCCAGCAGAACGCCACGAATTTCTGGGCAAAAGAGCTTTAGCACCTGTGACCTCGGCAACAATTTTATTCTTCTGCACGTCTCCCCTGACGCATCTTATGGTCGCTGTCCGCCCACCCCTTTGCCGCTTTGCCGCTTTGCCGCTGCCATCTTGTCATTGCCTTTCTGCCCGCTGTGCTCGGGCACAAACAACGCATCATGACGGGCGGCATTCGCGCGAGAGCGCTGGACAAGATAGCGTCGCTGGCTGCATCTTCTACCAACACCTCCTTTGACAAGTCTGATCTCGACAGGCTGTGTCGGGCCTGCAATGCCGGTGGCCGCAGCCGCGAGTACAACCATGGCGCATACAATTCGAAGCAGGCCGGCTCGCTTGGCCGCATCCCGATGGTAAGAGCGCTGCCCAGAATCTTCGTGCACACTTCAATCACTAATCAACTCTAGTCAATACGCGAATTCGAGGTCCTCTTAGCCCTTTGCAAGAATGCGCCGCATGTCCTGTCTCCTCAGAGCGCCCAGAAGCTTTCTTACCAGCTCATCCCGTACATCCTCGAGGCGCACTCGCAGACCTTTGTTCCCTCGCCCTTCTTTCGCAAAGTCAAACCCTGTCCGACCGAATCTCTATCCTTCCACGTAACTGCTGCGCTTCTCGCGCTGGGAATCAACTACAACGAGTTAAAGGAGACCGTCACGGACGGTATCTGGGCCTTTACCAATGCGTGCAGCCGAACTACCGAGAGCGTGCTCTCTCCTCGTACTGGCGACCCCGAGAACCTGAACATCGACGAAGCTATCCGAACTCTCAACATTGCCGTCGCCATTCTCGGCTTTCTCGATGCTGCGGCGGCTCAGGCTGATTTCTGGCGGGCTGGTGGTCGACTGGGTCTGATCCAAAAGGCCAAGCAATTGCTATCAGAGCCATTCCTGGTTGCTGTTGAGACAGCTTTGTCTACGATCCGCAATGCGCATAGCGACGACCGCGACGTGCGAGAGTGGAAGCGTCATTTGCGCCACTATTCCGCCGCTGGTCGTCCGCTCGGCGCCATGCTCTTGCAACGAAGCTTCATGTGGCTCGTCCTTTCTAGCACTTCTCTGATGATTGCCGATGGATCCCAGTTGCGAAAAAAGCATGTCCTCGACGTGCTCATGGAAAACGGCGGCATTCTGCCTCGCGTCGACGGCTTCTCTCCCGATGCTGACCTGCGATCCATTGACCTCCACGCCAACATCGCTATTGACCAGATGAACTACATTGAAGCGGGCGCTGATTTTGCTCGTCTCGGCTCCCCTTCTCAACAAAAGCTTGCTTATGCTGTCAAGTCGGCTGCCATGATTTCCTTCTTGAACTGTAGCATGGTCAACGAAGATGCTGCCGAGCCTGAGCTCCTGATGAACTGGCTGCAGCAGACCCTGGACGACCCCCAGCAGATGAGCGATGAGACACTTGCTTCGACGACCTTTCGATGCATGGCTTTGCTTAGCCGCATCTCTCCCTCGTTCTCGCAAACTGTGATCCGGTCGCTACCTCGGTTCATCGTGCAGGATGTGACCAACGCCAACACCGGCGCGGTCGCCGCAAGAAGCCTTGCCTTTGTGCTGAAGAAACTGTCCAAAGATGCCGTAATTAGCACTCTCTACTCTCTTGGCAATGTGCTTAGCCCCGATACTCAGGCGAGACTTGTCAATGGCCACACCAACGGCTCTGTTGACGGAGAGAATGGCCTCAATCCCGTGTACCAGCGCCGCCACTCCAATGCAAGCACCATCTCTGTCAATATGAGTGGCGAAGAGGAAGCCGCCATTGTGTATCGCAACGTCGTGCAAGCCATTTGCGGCATTGCGACTGCGTGCGAGGACGAGAAGATAACTGCTCTTGCACAGTCTATTCTCCTTCAAAAGCTGGACAAGGTCAACACCATTGTTGATGTGCAAGTCATTTACGGCGCGGCTGACTTGGCTCTCAGTGGTGGCCAGCTCGAGTTCCGGTCTCTCCTTAAAATGTACAATCGACTTGGCCACTTTGGTGTCACTGAACAGAAAGAGTTCTATTCTCAGGCAGTTCTCAAAGGCCGAACGCACATTTCTGCAAATCTTCGTCGCGATTCGCCGCTCTTTGACATTTACTGGGAGCATTTGCTCGACAGTATCATTGCCCTCGGTGACGCATACTCTCAAGGCCAGACAAAGCAGGTTGACGTTGACCTGGCTGCCCAGGAGATTGGAGAACTGCTTCATCCCCTTGCTGTGCTCATGTCTGCCAATGACCTCGCTGCCAGACCCCTGGAAAATGATGAGTCCTACGCACTGCTTCGAGATGCTTGGTTCAACATTGTTGTACATGGTTTCTCCACCTCGACGGAACGGGGCAAAAGATACATTAACGAGCTACGCATGATTGCCATCCACTCACCGCCGTTGGCCGCTGAACAGCGTGGCGAGCAAGTCGAGAGTGATATCGAACTCAACACTGTTTTGCGTCGCGGTAACAGCGGCGATAGGGATTCAATGCAGAAGAAGCTTCTGACTGAGCTCATTCCAAGCAAAGCCTCGGATATCAAGAGCCTCAGCTACCGGAAAGTCATTTTTCTGCACTCTGCGTATCTCGTTGAGATCCTGCGCGCAGATTCTGGAGACTGTACCAAGGTACTGTCTTACTTTGCTGAGCGTAGCATGCTGCAGAGAGAGGTCGGCAGTGTCATGGAGGGCATTACCAACGCGGTGGTGGATAAATATATCAAGAAGACCATCAGTGGGGTTGAGACGGCTTTCTCGGCGCAGTACGCCGCCAAGCAGCTTGCCACAATCTTCTCTCTGTGCTGCCATCGTATCGAGCGTGTTCAGAAAGCCGCCTTTGCATCGGCCGACAAAATAGTGCGCGATGTGCCTTCTTCGCTTTGCTACCGCACCTCGCTCTTTGCTTTGCTCGAACTTCTCTCCCTAATGTGGTCTAGCTGTCTGGAAGCTGAGACTGACATGTATGGGCACCGATCTACGTTTACGTCGGAGCGTGGCAACGTGACCGTGAGGCTTTCGGATGACTACGATTTCCGCAGCTTGACCCTGAAGCACCTGCATCAGAGAGCTCGTGCCTGGGTTAGTGCTTCGATCAATCTTGCGCCACTCGATGTCAAGGGCTTGCTCCAGACGTACTTGTCCGAATTTGACGACGAAGGCACCTATGGCCACATTTCTCTGGGCCGCTCTTTTGCCCTCGAACTCGGCTCCTCCATTCCCAATACCGACAACCGCCTCCAATCTCTCGACCAAATCGGCGAGTACGGTATCAACTCGGCCTCGGATCTCATCGCCCAGTACACCACTCGCCAGGAGTATCGCTATGGCGAGACGCTTTCCGATCGCGGCACCGAGCTAATGAGCTTCGTGCAAAGCAACCGCAGACCTTCATTCTCCCAGTCGTCAGTGGTGGAGAGCGCCAACGCGGCTACTGCTCTTGCTCATGTAGAGGCGCGCATCCTTAGCAAGAAGGCGACCCCCATCGACGAGGTGCGTGACATAATGCGAAGGGCCGCAGGTCTCCTCTGCCGTAGCAAACACGATGAGTCTGCAGTTGCCCGCTATCTTGTCAGCATACCCTTCGCACTCTTCACCAAACAGTCAATCAAGCTCGGCAGTTCTCTTTGGCTCGGCGTCATGAATGAGAATCCGCGTCTCGAGTCTAAGCTACTCAACGCTATCGCTCAACAGTGGGAGTTTACCATTTCCCGCCGTGTTGGTCTCTTTGATCCCTCGCTGGAACATCCTGACCCATTCTTCCTAAAGCAAGAGTTTTCTCCTAGCGACTGGGAAATGATCAACCAGCAAAAGCAAAAGGTTCACGACATGCTCTCCCCTCATACCCGCTTGCTGCAGTTCTTCAGTAGCCATTTCAACGCCACTCGCCTGGGCAGCCCAGATATTCAAAGAGTCTTTTTGCGTATGTTGGACCTTACGCTCGCCGCTCTCAAGGACTGCAGCCCACACCCAATGGCGCGTGAGATTCGCTTTCAGATCATTCTGTTCAGTACAAAGGTTCTGCGGAATAGCACCACCATCGGTCCGACCGCTCAATGGAGGCTCAAGGACCGTATCCTATCCGCGGGTCTGAGCTGGTTCCGCCACTCGCCGCGTTGGTCCTTTGGCAGCAACATGCTCTCTCTCAAGACAGAAATCCGCCTCCTCTCGGATGTTCTTGCATCGTTGAATCTTGTGGCGCACATTGGCTCGCACACTGTTGGCAACGTGATTTCTCTGCAGAGCAAGGACAGCTTGCTGAAGGTTCTCCTCGAAAACGAGCAGTCACGCCTAATTGTGTGGGCCAACCCTCGCAACCTTTCGGGAACACGTTTTCCCACCCACCACTCGTCCAAGCATGCCACCGAGAACGCTCTCCTTCCCTTGGTGCGCACAGCTTGGCACCAAGATCCATCCATTGCTGTTGAGCTGGCTACCCGCTTCCAATATCCTCGACTTCGCAGTGACGTTCGTCGCTTAATCCTTGCTTCGCCTGAAAAGGTCATTGACGAACCTGAAGCGATTCCGCTCATGATTGGCAGTTCGCTCCCGGACGATGTCAACTCACAGCTCAAGTATCTCCTTTTCTGGGAGCCTGTCAACCCAATCACTGCCGTTACTCTTCTCTCGCCTGCGTTCGGAGACCACCCTTTCATCATCCAGTACGCCATGCGGTCGCTGGAGAGCCATTCTGTAGATGTCACGTTTTTCTACGTGCCTCAGATTGTGCAGTCGCTGCGGCATGATAATCTTGGCTACGCCGAGCGTTACATTCTCGAGACGGCGCAATTCTCACAGCTCTTTGCCCACCAGATCATCTGGAATATGAAGGCCAACTCGTACAAGGGTGACGATGCCGAGGTTCCCGACGAGATCAAGCCCACGCTCGATAATGTCATGGTCAAGATGGTGGACAGCTTCATGCCCGAGGATCGCACATTCTACGAGCGCGAGTTCTCCTTCTTTGACGAAGTCACTGGCATTTCTGGCAAGCTCAAGCCGTACATTAAGCGGCCCAAGCCTGAGAAGAAGCAGAAGATTGAGGAGGAGCTGATGAAGATCAAGGTTGAAGTCGGCGTATACCTGCCCAGTAACCCCGAAGGCGTGGTCATTGGCATTGATCGCAAGTCGGGCAAGCCGCTGCAGAGTCACGCCAAGGCCCCCTACATGGCGACGTTTCGAGTCCGCAAGAACAGGCACGCCGGCGACATTCCCCTCGAGGACGTCGAAGACAAGCAAGTGGTCAAGCAACAGCCACCGACGAAGCAACAAGCCGTTGAACCGCAGGACAACTACATTGAAGTGTGGCAGTCGGCCATTTTCAAGGTCGGCGACGATGTGCGCCAAGATGTGCTCGCGCTGCAGATGATTTCCGCCTTTCGGAGCATCTTCCACAATGTCGGGCTCGACGTGTACGTGTTTCCGAACCGGGTGACGGCGACGGGCCCCGGATGCGGTGTGATTGACGTGCTGCCCAATTCCATCTCGCGCGACATGGTGGGCCGCGAGGCCGTCAACGGGCTGTACGAGTACTTTAGAGCCAAGTACGGCAACGAGGACTCGCTGCGGTTCCAGGCCGCGCGCAGCAACTTTGTCAAGTCCATGGCGGCCTACTCTGTCATTTCCTTTTTACTGCAGTTCAAGGACCGCCACAACGGCAACATTATGATTGACGACGCCGGCCACATCCTGCACATTGACTTTGGCTTCTGCTTCGACATTGCGCCCGGCGGCATCAAGTTTGAGCGCGCCCCGTTCAAGCTGACGAGCGAAATGGTGGCCGTCATGGGCGGCGCCACCGACCACCAGAGCTTTCAGCAGTTTGAGGAGCTCTGCGTAAAGGCGTTTCTGGCCGCCCGCCAGTACCGCGACAAGCTCGCGCAGGTGGTCCAGCTCATGATGGACAGCGGCCTGCCGTGCTTCAAGCCCGAGTCGGTCAAGCACTTCAAGGATCGCTTCGTCCTGGACAAGACGGAGCGCGAGGCGGCGGATTTCATGCGCGACCTGGTCAAGAAGTCGCACTCGAGCTATAGTACCGGCATCTATGACCAGTTCCAGCTCCTGACAAACGGCATTCCTTACTAGACGTTGTGCCCCAACTTCTCTTCATCTAGGCATGGCGACTTTGCTCTTTTCGTCTCCAATGCTGTTCTTGTTATTGCCCCTGACAACATTTTTGTTTGTTCCGTATAATTAGTATAGTATATATCAGATTGATCCATTTATTGTGTGGTCTTTGCAAGTACGTTGAATGTGAGGTGCGTTCGTATATGTTTCTAACTATGTACAAGGCTTGATGCAAAAGCCATCCCAAAGACAAGCAGAAATCCCAACGCCAAATCTATACATTCTTCTCTTTATTCTTTTCAACTCTTTATGTTTTATGCTCCCTTGAATCTCAATGGTCAGTATACCAAGATGACAATAAAAAGACTACAGAACAAAGAACTACAGAACAAAGAATGACAAGCAACGAATCAAATCTCAAATCGCTCATGCTATAGAGATTCCAACCACAGTCCTTTCTCACGACGAAGACTGCTTGAGCATGTGAGTGGGCGCATTGTAGCTCGTATAGTCAACATGCACGAAAGCACGGTCGACAATGGGTACCGACTCAAGGAAATAGGTCAAAACCTCGCTGAGATCGTGCGAGTCCTTGAGCGGGGTGATGGCGGAGAGGACAATGTCGACCTCGACAAAGAGCTTGTCGCCAGCGTGGTAGGCGCGCAGGTTCTGAATCTTGCGGATGGCGGTGGCGAAGCGCATGGTGAGGTAAAGAAGCAGGTTACGCTCGTCGGGCTCGGCGCCGAAACCCGTCAGGTTGCGGACGTGGACGGCGGCGTTGTGGCTCCAGGTGAAGACGACGACAAGAGATAGCAGCAAGCCGCCGGTGGCGTCAAGCCACCAGATCTTGCCGTAGAAGCCGACTAAACTGGAGCGTCAGCAGGTGGTACAATTCCCGGATGCTCTCTTGTGCCTTTATTACGTACCGATGGGGAACAGAATAGATCCGACGTTGAAAATGACATCCGTCTTGGCATCTTCGGCACTGTGAAGTGTTAATGCCAGATTCGATAGATTGAGCAGGTTTGATGGGACTCACAGGGCTCTGACGCTAGAGTTTTTGACCATTCGGCACCATACCCAGCAGGCACCCTTGATGATGACAGTGCCGGCCATGATGGCAATGGCCGGCACTCCGAGCTCAATCAGTTCGTGCTCAGTGCCCATGAGACGCTGGATACATTGTAGAGCGACTTGGCAGAAAGACGTGACCATGATGACGGAAAAGACTAGAACTCCCAGAGGCTCAAGGCTATAGAAAGTAGGAGTCGTCAGCGCTGGCTGATCAGGGCCAATTGAGTGAATACAAGCGTGCGAAATTAGCTGGTGGGGGCAGCCGCTGATCTCGCGATCTGATAACCCCGCGTCTGTAGCGTGGAAAGGGAAGAGACAGGAAGAAGTACGGAGTATGATTTGGAGTATGATGAGATGATGCTGGAAATGGAAACATACCGAGTACGTCCGACGGGATATCGATGATGGTCGCTTGCGCTAGAGGCAATAAGGCGGGTGGTGGTCCAGACAATAGCGGTGCTCAAAAAGTCGAGAACGGCATCCACAAGTGAGGCCAGAACGGACATGGACGGGACCGAGATGATGACAATGATTTTACCTACGAGCAGCACAAGATTGGCAAGGAGATTGACGTAGATTGCAAGGGTGACGACAGGGTCATTGCTGTCGAGCTCGCTGTCTTCGAGCCATGGGAGCAGAGGCCGGGGGCCATTTTCAAGATCTTTGGTGTCGGCCTGCAGCAGAGGACGCCTCTCATCGGCACGATGGCGGTGCACCTCTTCCTCGTCTTCGGCGGCCTGATTCTGCGGAAGCATGGTCAGATTCTCGGAGGAGCGAAAAATGTCCCTGGGCGTGCGCTTGGCGGGCAGCGGCGGGGTCTTGTTTGCGCTCTCCGAGGATGGCAGCGGAGGCAGCGTGTTTGTTGAGCCGTACGAGGCGCCGCCATTGAAGCGTTCCGTAGTAGACCCGGACAGCGACGATGAGTCGGGCTCCTCAGAGATGGTGTTGGGGATGTCGACGGCGCGAAAGGCTGAGGCCTCTAGCTCGGCATTGTACTCGTTGAGCAGCTCGTGGGGGATGGTGGAATCGAGCAGGCAGTCAATGTACATGTACTGCTGAACGAGATCATTCGTGCGCTCATAGTATTCGCGGCTGCCGGGCACAGGGTCAGCTAGACAAGGATCAAGGGAGGGAGTAGCATGGGGAAAATGGTAGTGTTGCATCGTTCTATCGCGTGCGGCAGAGCTGCATGTCTTGGATACTTACAGCTTGCTTGACATGCCCTGCAGCTCCTCCTCAGACTTCCAGTACGACTTCCAGCGATATCTCGGGTTGCTCTTGCCAATGAGGTTCATGCTGCGGTTCTGCGGTCCGTGAAGAATCTGGCTGAGACGGTTCTCGTCGTGGAGGAGGCGCTCGAGCTCGTCGTCCTCGGGCGGGTGGCCGCGGGAGCGCCCCCGGACGGGCTCCTCATCGTCAGAGGCATAAGTATTGCGCCAGGTCGAATGGAGGCTCTGCTGCGAGCGCGAACGCATCATCGAGGTGAGGATGCCGGTGCGCGTGGGCAGGGTGGAATGATAGAGGCCGTCCTCTTGCTGGATCAGCGACGGCCGGCGGCCGTGCTGCGGCGGACGCGGGCTGGGCGAGCTCATGATGATGGACTGGTGCCGAAGGGAGGATTCGTGCGCTAAGACCCGACTTTGGGGCTGAGATTTAAGAAGAGCAGAGAAACGCCAAATCTCAAAAAAGATAAAGACGTGTAGCGCAGTGCTTGATGAGGCGACTAGAGCCGAAGCGAATCGACAGAGGCGCCGGCGCGAAGATGGAGGGCGACCCACAGAGGCGCGAAGGAAGGGGAGAACAAAGTCCAAAAAAACAGTAGTCGCAGACCTGGGTCAGTATCGTGACGTGCCCAATGAAGTCTCCGACTATGATGCCGAAGGAATTGAGATGGAATTGGGAATAGGGGAGAAAGGTCGAGCAAGAATTGTGCTTGGCTCTTGGTACAAGTAGTTGTCAACTTTTCAGTAATTAATGATAATGACGGGCTGAGATAGATGGCTGCGTTCGGCCGGCTGCCTCACCCCCGCAGAAGCAGGCTTGGCTCGTGTACGCTTGGACGCTACAGTGAATTTTTCTTACACAGGATGGAGTACGGATATTAGTACAAGAGAAAAAAAGAGAGTGACAATTGGAAGATGCAGGGGCTTGCCAGATGGCAAAACTCACTAGAAGAGATGGCCTGATTCGTGCGAGTCGGAATTGGCTCGGCTCTTGCTGCTGAAGTAAAAAAATTATTCACTATCTATCGTCTAGTGAGGTAGGATGTTGCGTGCTTGTCCAGATTTAATCCGGCTTTGATTATGCATCGTTTTTATGCGTAGCTTAACCCCGCACTTGCCCATCATCTTGGCTTTTTCTCTCGTTTGTTCGGTGCGACCGATACGTCCGCTCTCTGCCATCATCACGACAACGCACCACGACCTCAGCCTCCGAGTCAGCCGCAACCTCGCAAAAATGCCGTAGAGATCCGGCCGGCAATGCCCTTCTTCTCTCTCTAGTTAGTGGTAAGTAGGGGTCTTGACGCTATCCTTTTCCCTCTGCGACGTTGATGGGATCCGCCGCTTGCTACCTACTGAATAGCTACTAGCTACCCAGTAAATATTACAATGGCAAACTGGGCCGCTCCCTCATCTGCAGGGCTCAAATCCACCGAGATTGCATCAGCAAGCCACCGCGATGCCGCTTCTGGTCTAGGCCGTCGCCGCTCGGCGGTCGTGTCAACTGTCAAGTGGATGGAAATGCACAATGCCAGAAGCCCGAGCCTACTGATAGGCGTGCTTTGCATGCCGTCTTCGCATTTATTAGTCCGCTGCGAACGAGTCTAAGTCGTGCCCGTCGTGTCTTGCAGGGCGGCTGTCTCTGTGTGCCCGGCTTGTCAGCTTGTCGTGCAACATGTCATGACAACGAAAGTCAATGCAATGCGAAAAGACTCTTTACCGACACGATCGACGAAGAAGAAGAAAAAAAGTGGCTGCCAACACCCTCATCACCAATCACCAGTCACCCATCACCCATCACGATATCCGCGCGGCGGGTCTCGCCTCATCTTGCAGCGATTGCTCCTAAGTACACCTTTGCACCTTGTTTGAGCAGAGCCTGCAACAGTCGCACAATCACTCGCCCACATAACTAACCTTAATTTTTCGGTTTCTTTCGATCCGCCGCCTGTGTCAGTGACGCTCTATTCCTTGGCACACGGACAGTTTCACGCCTGTTTGCTGGAATCCCTGGGTGGCGACGGAACCACGATCAGTGGTTCCTGAAGACGAAATTCCGAAAAGATGCCCGCAGTGCTGACATGGAACAAGAAGCAGGCTGCAGAGGCCAATCCCTGCTGGGGTCTTTTCCAATCAATAGACTGCAATAATTGTTGGAAATTTGATTGGCCCGCACCTTGGGTCCCTCTTGCACACACGCACACGCATACTCCTTTGTGAGCCATATGTGTGTATTATAAAGTCACAGCCACACACATCGCCCATAATTCTTGATCAAGCTCGCAATAATATCAATTCAAGTTTGCAGCCAGCCTCGCTGGCGAGACGTACGACGGCTACCTGTCTGCGTGGCATCGACAAGCCCGTTGCCCGTGCGACCCGTCGCACCTGTATGCCACCCACAGATTTCGACTCAGCCTATGCCGTATGCGATTAACTTGACTCGAAATCGGAATCAGATTTTTGGGCCCCCGCCAACCATGTCTCGCCGGCCTCATGTCCCGTGATGCATGTCTGGGTTTATCTCCGCCACAGGTGATAGGCGTTGACACAGGATCAAAACCTGTCCCTGATCGTGGCCCCGTGGCTAGAGTAAGCTACCCTGCGCGGCCATGCACGCGCTCAAGTGTCAATTCAACGTTCACATCGGATTCTTGTGTATCAAATTCTGGTGGACATTCATACTTGATCTGCCATTGCACGCAGTATGACACACACGCAACCGGTCCATCGAAAAATTTATAAATATTAGGATATTCCCCTCGTTGGTGGGGGACTTGCCCTTCGGCGAGGACAAGTTCTTGCCGTGCGTCGTAATCATTCGCACCAACATGGTGCTGCTGACCGTGCTGCTCTGCTGTATTTCCGTGATGGCTTTCTTACTGACGATGGTTGACTGATATGCAGTCGCCTGATCGGTTCAGGCGCCCAATTGCGGCACTCGGCTTTTCTTTCGACTGCACGTATTTTACCGTTTCGCAAGACAAGCGTACTGACTTCGTGGTAATACCCGAGTCGCATTCTGTGATGACGGCTGCATCCAGAGCTACGCATGTTTTAGCGCCCTTCAGACACAGAGCCTAGCTGATATTGATGTTTCATTGCCATGATGGCTACTGGAACAAGGTATAGAGTTTGCCTGCGGTTTGCTCGCTCAGTTCTTTCATTTGCCCCGATTACCGTCACAGCCTTTCACAGTGATCAACTGAGACAGCAGAGCAGTGCCCTCCGGAGTACTCCGCAGACAACCTTGACAATCAAACAATGCAGCGCTCGCAAGCGAGCGAAAAGCAAAGCATTTCAGCCACCTTATATGAGATGCAGGAAGAGACCCTGGTGGCTGCCTTGCATGAAATTGAATATTGGCAATACCCCGGCCCTGTGGCATCGCCCTGCTGCCGGCGATGACAACAATGCGACTGTAGGCCGAGGCAGAATAATGAAGAGGGAAAAAAAGAGTGTGAAAATGCAGCATGCAGACGCCACCTTTTTTGACAGCTCGGGATTCTGGGCAATTGCCAACGTTGCCGAGTCCATTCAGCTAGCATTTGTCTGTTCGATTTCTGCTGTAATTTAACACCCCGGCCTCGTTTCTACTCGGATGGAGCCACTCGGCCCAGATTCAAGCCATTATGTCAATCATCGTACCAGCACCAGTGGAGGGATTGTGAAAGAACAGGGTATAAGGAATAAAAAAGTGATAACCAACGAACGACTCGGCTCAGACGAAATGGAAAGGCGTTCGGGGTGGAGGACACTAAGTAAGAGAGGATGTACTGGGTACTGGTAATAGTACTTGTATGGCTATGGCCGTGGGCGATGGTGTTTTGTTACCTAGTTATGTATGAACGGATGGGGAGACAAAAGGGCATGTGACAGACGACTCGATGAGACGGAGATGATGATGATGCTGCTGATTTTGGCTGGCCCCTTTGCAGAAAGTTAGGCATGGACATGCTGACTCTATTCGTCGATCCATGAACAATGGATTCAGCCAGCCAATGTGTCGTTGGAATTGTCATTGATCGTCATGGCCATCGTCCAATAAGAAGCAGGCAGAGAAGGGAGCAATTGGTGGCAAGAAAAAAAATATTGGAAAGAAAAAGAAGAAGACAAACCGGCTCCTTTCGGCCGCAATATTCTCAACTGTAGCTGGTTTCTTTTGGCCACCCGTTAAGCACAATGGCAACGAGACGACTTGATTGGGATTGCGATCGATTGTTGGATGGGCTACCCAGTAGCTCGCCAGTCCGGTCTATCCGTAATACCTGACTGAAGACCAGAGCACGTCCATTTCACCTGAGAAGAATAAGAACGTCATCTCCCCGGATGAATCATGCTTTCTTCTCGCACGCCAAAAAAAGGGCTGGCAATTTCAAGAGTTCCCCACAGAAGCCACTCAGCGCCCCGTCTAACTCCTGAGAGCCACCTGTGCTTGCACGAGGGGTGGGCAACGTAATATTTAAGTTGGATGCAGACCAAAGCAGGTGGATTGGGGTAACCGTCGGAAGTAGAATAAACCCAGATATCCGGATATAGACATTGAACTTGTTTAGTGTTGCGGTTATTAGGGACAGAGTTGCCAACCAAGTTGCCCGTGGCTATTCAGTCTTGGTCTTCTTAGAGAGAAGGAGGGAAAGAAGACTTCGAGTTTACGCAATTGGTGAGTAGTACGGTTAGACAATGGATTGTAGATGGAGACAAGCTTTTTTCTAGTGCCTGGACGCGTGTTTTTTTAGGGTTGCAAACTGCAAATGATCGACGGGCCAAGCAGGGTGAATGAACGGAAGAAGAGAGCTCCGCATGGGCGACACGACCCATCGCTCGCCCTTGAGAGCTGATCTTTTGGCCTGGCGCGAGAAGAAGAGGCAAAAAAGAAGGCAAAAGTAATTTAGTTAGTACAGATAGGATGGATGCGGCTTGGTCGATCTGGGGATGTATGAAAAGCAAAGGCAAAAAGGGTGGTGGGTGGTGTGGGATAATAATAAGAGCCGGATATGTCGGGTGCTTATTTGCAAGCCTCAGCCGGGGGTCAGGGGTGCAAGAAAACGAACCCTTTTGAGATTCCCCAAGACGCATGACAATAACATTATGTTTTGAAGGAGAAGAGCAAGCAAGACAAGTAGAAGAAATGTCACACAGCAGAAGAAGCAGCAGTATCATGCACGAATTTTTTTGTGGTGAGTCGCTGGGAACATCTGTTGCGCGCATGGCATGTTTTGTATCAAGCCGTTCTCGAACTCCTCAGAGGCAAATACAGGTCATGCAGGAATGCGCGCATTAGCGACGAGCTACTCGGGGTGGTCAGGCACCGTGCGAGATTTGATATTAATGAGATGCCTATTCCTGGGGGCTTGACCTCTTTTCTTTTTTCTTTTTAGGTCCAAACTAAAATAAGCAAGACGCAACAGGTTAACCTCGAGAGCTGAACGGCCCGCTGTTCACGGCGGGGTGCTTGGTCCTGGCGTGGTCTGGATGCACGATTTGGCGTGGTTGGGAAGCGAAGTGAAAATGGACACAGAACTGCAACATGCTCTTGTTGCAGAAAAAGGGTTTGTAATTAAATGTTTAACTATGATTCGATATGGTTTGAATGGTGGGTGGTCTGACAATCGACGATAGAAAGAAAACAGGTACCTAACATTTGCGGGCGGCGTTGGTACCTGACCTGTGACGGAGCTGGCTGGCAGCACGATGTAATGCCGAAGATGACGCTCGACGTCGTTGACGAGTCAGCAGTGCATGGTCCCAGTAGCCTGGATCCAAGATCCCGGGACGTGTCGTCGCGGCCTCCAGAAGAGAACAAGTTTGCAGCCAAGCAGCAGAAGGGGGGAGGCGGAGGGGGGGGGGGGTTCGACGTCCTCTTATTATGGCAGGTTATGGATTAGGTAGTGACAGGCATGGGAATACGGGCATGACATCACGGCTCGTGTCGCGCTGCAGTGCGTCGGAGACGAGGAGAGTGCGACTTGGCACAGCGTTTTGATGTTTTATGTGGCAGATAAAATATAATGTCTTCTTTGTTTGGGGTCATGATTGTTTTCTTTCTTATTTTCAACGCTGTTCTTGTGCCTTGGTTCTTTTTTTTTCTCAAACTCCGTAGTCGGCGACTTTTCTCTTCTCCTTCCTTTGCATTGGTCCTTTTTTTTTCCTTTTGCCTTTTCTTTTTGATAGGTAATACTTTTAACTTGCTGGCGGACAGACAGGCGGGTCTCCTCCTCTCCGCCGCAGTGTGGAGCCTTGTCCAGCGCAGCCCGTCAACCCGTCTTGCCCGTCTTTGCCTGGCCTGGATGGGCTACTGATGGTTGGAGGGTTGGAGCATCACGCATGTACTGGGTACAGATTTACTCCGTAACTACTACAACTTGTGTCTGGCGGCGGGACCTTTTTTTCCCCTGCCAGGTATCTTTAAATTGGGTTACTTGCAGTGTTGACACAGCGCGGCCGCTGAACAAGAGGCCAGCACGGGTGTCATTATGATGAATCAATTGGACCTCGGCGTCACCAAATACCAGTAAAAACCGGTAAACACTGTGTCATCACGGCGTAAATACCTAGGTACCTTAGGAAGGTAGGTACTGTTCTAGCAAAATACTCGTTACAAGGGGCTGTATCGGCGCTGCCCGCCGTTACCCACTGAAAGGCTGCTATTTTCAGGCTGCTGGGTCCCGACACTTTGTCCACAACGACATGCTGAACCTGTGCCAATGCTGACTGGAGTACGGATTACCGAATTGTCACTGTTGACCTGACCATGGATGGTCCTGATCTAGCCTACAAGCAGAAAGGTACCTACCTACCTAATATTAGCCTCCAACCTGACCAGCTTGCCAGCCTGGTCTGGCGGCCCCTTTCACCTGCTCAGATCCCTGCCCGTATTGAAAAGCCATCGTTGTCTGCAACAGCCACGGCCGTCCCGTTGTCTTGCCCGCCGTGCCTTTGCCTCTTGCCTCTTGACTCTGCTGTCTCCCCTGGTCGCTAGCCTACCGAACCGCTACTCTCTCCGTTTGCAGCCCATTCATCCGCTCACCTCTTTTTTTTCTTCCTCCTTCTTCATCCCACACTCGTTGCGGCGCTTCTTCCTCCCCCGAGAAAAAAGAGGTCTCTTGCTGTCGAACCTCGTTCTTTTTCCTTGTCGTTTCCTTAATTCACGTTTCGCACTTTTGCCTCCAATACCAGGGAGGCCCTGCCTACTCCGCTATAATATCTCCGCTTCTCTTCTGTTCTTAACGCTACGGTCCCTGAACCTCGAGCAGGCTCTTGTCCACCTGCCTGTTACGCTGCCCGATCCGCACCGCACCCTCTCTTCTTCCTCTTCTCTGACCTCTGCGTCTGCCTGCCATCTTTCACTGCGTCCCTTCAAAATTGCTGTGCAACCGAATAGACCAAGTTTATCGCCGGCTACTTTCTCAGCACAGCACGGAACAACTCGCCTGATTTTCCCTCGTCTTCTCAGCCTCGATTTCGCCCAGAAACAACACGGTTCATGATCGAGCACCGTAACAACCACCGACATAAGCTTTTGGACTTGCTCACTGCTGCATGATAAATACGCCAGCCAAGCGCATTGCTACAAGTATCCTAGGTCTCGCATTTTGCTAGTCAATGTAAGTTCTATACATTCCCTCCGCCAGCATACCTCTGCCACGTCGCCAAAGCCATATCGGCCATTTGTCTCGGAGCAACTACCTTTCCTCGCACCCTTTTGCTTGCATGCCTACACACAAACGCCCAATGGCCGAGGAAAAAAATAAAGGGGAAATCTGCAGCAATCTGGTTGACTAACATTCTTTTTCTATTCGCTGCAGATTGATTTGTGCCTTTCTTCGACGCCGTCCCTCGTTTGCGAGCATCGTCGTTGTTCATTCACCCCTTCAGCGCCTCCCCAAACGGCTCCAACGCTTCGACGTTGGCTGCGCCATCGCCTTTAGCTGCGTTGTGGGACCTCGTATCGCCCCGTCTGCCTACGACGACAACAGGCTTGATTAAGAAAAAAAAAAAAAAGACGACGTTTCTTGCGAAATTTGAGCCCTTTCCCATTGCTCATCTCGTCACAGCGAGCTTTTGTGGGCGAACAGTCTCTGGCTGCATCATTCCTCACCAGCCCCGATGCCTCGATTCGCCGGCGCCTTTAGCCGGCGCAAGTCTGTCGCCGACAATCTTGAAAATGTCGACCTCAACGCCCCTGCTCAGCCTTCATTCAAGGTTCTGGAACGCAACACGCATGCAATCAGTCGATCCTTCGATGGCGGTGCCAAGATGGTGGCCCCCAAACCTCCCCAGCACACTCTCCTGAGGCCCGTTCATGACCCTCATGAGGACAACATTTTTGCCGACTTTAAGACTAGTCGGTAAGTGACTTTTGCTAACTTGTAGCCATGAATCCATTGACTCTGATGCTAATCACACCTACTCAGAGGCAGTGGCCTTTCCAACACCACGCAAGCCACCTCGACCGATAATTCGTCTCGCCACAGCAATGCATCGACTGCACCATCATCCGCCGACATGCACGGAAACAGCTCGCCCATTGAGGCACGCCAGGCTACCAAGGCAACCACACCTCCTGAAGCCGATGGGCCTGCTCGTGGACCCTCGACGAAATCCATTAGTGCATCCTTGTTCAAGGCTCATCGCACCTGGTCATTCGGGGGCCAGAAAAAACAATTCGTTCCGCCTCCTCGAGAGGAACCTGCTGTTCCTGACCTGCCACCAATGTTGACGATACAAACTGGCTCTGCTAGCGTCTCGACGGAACCAGTCAAATCGCCGCCAACCCCCAGCTCTCCCGACCAGAAAAAGGCGCTAGACCTGGGTGGGGACTTTGGAGCCATGTTTTCCAACCGTGGTCTCGACACCGTCCGCGAAACTGCCTCCAACCCCCGATCTCTTACGGGAAACCGAAATAACACCATGCCTGCTTCAATGCCAGAGCCTGCCCGAAGCTCGGAATCCACACCGACAGCTACCTACCCTACCGAATACAAGAAATCCACGCCCTCCCCTGTTCTCGATGAGGATGCCAAGCTCCTCCGCGACTCCTTCACTGCCATGAAGTTTCTCGACAGCCCCAACGGTGACAAAGGCCTGTCTGCAACCGAATCATTTTACAGCCGGCAGCCCCGAAACGATCCTATCGCCCGCAAGCCGGTCACAATCGCCGAGAGTTTCACCAAAGACAATGACGATAACCTATTCGAGGGCCGTACATATTCTTTTGCTAGGAACAACCACAGATATATTAGCCAGCGTACCGCCCATCCTCCCCGAAACAAGGTCATGACCCCGGCTCAGTTCGAACAGTATAAGCAGGACAAGGAGAGGCAAGGTATGACTGTCAAGGCGACGGGCCCTATCCCCCCCGCTAGTCATGCACTCCCGCCCTTGCCGCCCAAGCAAGAAGAGGACGACGAAGACGAAATCAACTACGATGACGATGAGGACGAGGCCGAGAAGTCCAGACAGCAAATCAAGCAGCGCCGTAAGCAGGAAGCTCATATGTCTGTCTATCGACAGCAGATGATGAAGGTCACTGGCGAGCATGCTGCCCCTCCCGTTGCCCCTGCGCGCCCCAACCTGCCTGCAACTATGAGTGCTCCTCAGCTGTCGACGATGAAGCCCCAGTCGAATGCGATTCCCGGTGCGTCTGACGAAGAGGAAGATGACGAAGTTCCCCTGGCCATTCTTCAAGCGCACGGGTTTCCTGCTAAGAACAGGCCTCCCACCCGCCTGAGCGTGTCTGGCTCCAATCCGAACCTCCGAAGCTCTTACCAGCCATCGATTTCTCGTCCCCAGTCGGTCGTAGGCGACGTTTCGACCTCTGCTAACCGACGTTCCTCGGGCCTCCCAGCGTTTGCCCGCGGCCTCCCGCAGGACCCTTTCGTCGGTGCGTCCATCCACAAACCGCTCGTTCGTGAGTCGCTGTCCTTCCATGAGGGCCCTCGTAACAGCCAAGGCCCTCTACACCCAGGCGGCCTAGTTGGTGTCATTGCCAACGAGGAACGATCGAGGGCTCTGCGCCGCGGTAGTCCAAACATTGGCGCCGGCAGGCCCCTGCCGACAAACATGTACCCGCAAGCTGGACCTGGTGGTTATGATCCTGTCGCTGGTATTCCTCACCAGATGATGTACGGTCAGAGTGGCATGAACGACATGGGTGGCGGAAATATGATGCCGGGAATGAGCTCCGGAGAGCAGTCCCAGCAGCAAATGACGCAGCAGATGCAGCAGTTCATGCAAATGCAGATGCAGTTTATGCAGATGATGGCGATGAACCAAAATCAGCAGCACAATCCTCAAGGAATGCCGCAAATGTCGCAGATGTCCCCGATGCCTAACGGTCCTTACCCAATGCAACAGCAGCATGGAGGCTACGCTGCAGCACAGTCTGTGGGCAACCTGTCGTCACGGCTATCAGTCATGGGTGTGGATCCAATGATGGATCGCTTTGATCCCAATATGCGCACTATGAGTATGGTCCAGCCTCCTCCGCAGTTCATGGGTCATCATCCTGGCTATGCAGGTTCTACCCACGGCTCTATCTCTGGCGGCATGGGATATGCGCCCTCCATCGCACCCTCTGAGCGCAGCAATGTCGGGCTGCCTGGCCGCTACAGACCCGTGTCTCACCTTGCTGTGCCGGGCCCCAAAGTTCCCCCGCACAACGATCCCTCCTTCACCGTGTCCGGGGGCTTGGCAATTTCTGACGGCAACAAAAGCCGTTCATCTCTAAACGTGTCTCGAAAGACGCCTGATGGATCCGACGACGACGACGAATCTGGCTGGGCAGCTATGAAGGCGAAGCGCGACAAGAAGCTATCGCTTTGGCACAGGAAGAAGCCCCTAAGCGGCGATCTGACTAACGAGCAGCTGGCCGGTATATAAGCTTTTGTCACACTCATATCAGCTTCGTTCAACCACCTACCACATTCATTGAAACCGGTTGGTTTTTTGCATATAAAAGACGAAAAAGGCAGCAGCGCATTGGAAAACAATTACATAATTGAGAAGTTGTTGAACCGTTGGACGTCATATTCATGTTTCTTTTGGGATACCTCTTTTATTTACCTGTAAACCACCCCTTCTTCTTGGTTTATGATTTGCTTGTCAGCCATTTACAGGCCCTTTGGAGAATGGAATAATTTTCACTATTATATTGGGAAGCGATTTACTTTTTCAGATCATCTTAGATATTGAGCTCACAGTTCTGGCTTTGATGTTGCAATTACATTTCATGTTGCATGATAGATTCGAGGCAGACATTCATCAAGGTGGTAATAAGATTAATTCGAGTTGAACCTCCTGACACATTTGATTCTAAATGGCTCCGATGACTTTGTCCACATGTGTTTGGAGTTATTTGCTTCTTGAGCCGCATCTATCTCGTATTAACGTTTAACCCTCAATCTTGCCGCTTGCCCACTCGCTGCGCTTGACGCCCATCTCAACGGCGGCGAGGCCCCAGTCTTCGCCGTGGTTGTGGCCCTTGCCGTCAACGCCGGCGCGCGAGAGCGCTTGTTCGTCGCTGAGCACCGTCAAGACGCCAAAGATGACGGGCACGCCCGTGTCGAGCTGCAGACGCATGAGACCGTGCGAGACGGCATCGGCAATGTACTCAAAGTGCATCGTCTCGCCCTTGATGAGCACGCCGATGGCGATGATGGCATCAAAACTCGACGACGTGGCGGCGGCAGAGGCGGAGAGGTCGGTCGTGGACGATGCGAGCAGGTCACCGGCGGAAGCGCCACCGGCGGAGGAGGCGGACTGGACTTGGGAGGCGGCATAGAGGCTTTGATTCCGGTCAGTGAGGGGAAGGGAGAGGTGACAGGGGAAAGAAGAACGGACCGCTGCGCGGCAATGGGAAGCTCCCAGGCGCCGGGGCACGACTGAACGACAATGTTGGAATCCTTCACGCCACACTCGAGCAGCTTGGCCTTGGCGCCGGCGACGAGCGGCTCGATGATGGTGGCGTTCCACCGGGCGTGGACGATGCCGATGCGCAGGCCGGCGCCATCGTGCTGCTGGGGGGTGGGGCCCTTGAGAGAAGACATGTCGAAAAGAGAGAGGAGAGAAAAAGTGCGGCTGGGCTTTGTAGATAACGAGCTTGCTGTCGGGGTTCAATCGGCTGGAGAGGAGAAGAATGTGTTTTTTGGACGTTGTCGGGATGCCTCTCGGCTTGAGGCCCGTGATGGAGGGGTCGCGGGGCAGGTTGTTGGGCGGGGCTGGGAGGGCCGCGCCGCTAGCTCTTCAAGCTGCTGGACAACAATTCTCAGCTGCAATTGTTCAATTTGACATGACAAAAGAAGAGATGCTACGTTCTATAAGAGTTGAGTGGATCGGGAGTTGACGGAGAATTCGAAAGTCGGGGAGATAATGCCTCGCTCTGGCGTCGAATGGGTCCCGGTGACTTGCCAGCTGGCGACCGGATGACTGACAGCTGTCAGACGAGATGGAGGCAAAGGCTACGTTTTTGACGCATCATGCTCATTTGAACCCTTGCATTCGGGAAAATTTACTGTACAGGGATAGATACTATCATGTTTTTCTAGAAGCATGCCTATTGCAAAACTCAGTTTAGCAACTGCCCGACTGATTGGCTCCTCCGCCGGCATCACCTCCCCCTACGCTGTCGTCAAGGAGCTCCTCGACAATGCCATCGACGCCGGTGCCGACGCCATCGAGGTAGCCCTCTCCGCCAATACACTCGATCAGGTCCGCGTGCGCGACAATGGCCGCGGCATCGCCCTCGACGACCTCGACAGCCTCGGCCGGCATGCCCACACCAGCAAGCTGACCGCGTTTGTCGAGCTCACCACCGGCCAGGTGCGCACGCTTGGCTTCCGCGGTCAGGCTCTTGCTAGTATAAATACAGTTGCGACTGTCGACGTCGTCACCAGGACAGCCGACGAGCCTGTGGCTACAAAGGTGCGACTGGCGGCAAACGGCGGCATAGGGGAAACATCTGTGCCGGTGTCTGCACCGACGGGGACGACGGTGCAAGTTGTGGGTTTATTTGCGAATATGCCCCCGAGAAAGCAGCTCCTGATGAAGGAGGCCAAAAAGACGACGATAAGGATCAAAGAGTTGTTGATGGCATATGCGCTGGCCAACGCGGCGCTGCGGATTAGTTTTAAAGTCCTGGGCGATGAGAAGCAGAGCTGCAAATTTGGGCAGACGAGGGATCGAGACTTGAAACAGTCGGTTATCGAAGTATTTGGGGCGGCGGTCGCCTCCAACGGACAGACATACCGGTCCGCCAGCGCAAAAGGCGCGTTTACGCTGATGGCGTTTCTACCGACTGCGAATAGCGACCAAAAAGTCTTTGCGGGAAAGGGTTCATATATTTCTGTCAATGGCCGGCCAATCTGTTCCGCAACAGGGATTGGCAAGGCGCTCACGGGTGTGTTCAGGACAAAGATGCAGCACAATTGGCAGCAGACAGGACTGCCGACAGTGCAGAAACCGCTCTTATTGCTCGAGATTCTTTGCCCGTTTGCAGAATATGACGCAAATATAGCTACGATGAAAGATGAGGTTCTTTTTGCGGACTCGGATGTTCTGCTGCAGACATTCGAGGAGCTGTGTGGAACGATTTACAGTAAAACTGCGACACCAGAGTTCTCCAAGCTGAACGGGAACAATGTTGAGCTTGAAAGTATGTCTATGAATTGCTTGAGCACGCCAACTACAGACAAGCTAGTGTCTGTGCAGATGCGAACTGCATGCAAAGTCAACATGCTCCGAACAAACAGCAACGCAACCGACGAGGGGATTGACTTTAAGGAAATTGAAATGACAGTACCGGAAAGGCTTCAGGTAGAGATAAGAGAGACTTCGAGGAAGAACGAAAGTCTTTTCAAAGATACTACACCAAAGTTGGTGCACGGCATTGAACGATACTTTCAGCCGACTGGAGCCGATTTCGAAATTGCCACAGACGATACGGCGACTCCCGAGCAGCCGCAAGCCGAAGCCAGCAGCGTCGACCTGGATAGGACAGCTTCCGGAAAGCTTGAGAGAGTGCCCCTTAACGATGTACCCAACTCCACGCTCAACATTCTCGCCGGCATCGACGATTCGCCGCCGTCGGACCACTCTAGCCAGCAAGGGGACAGCGGCGCGCCACCACGTCTCAGCGACCTGCACGGCACGAGCTGGAGCATCCAGCGTCTGATGAACCAGCGCGTCGCTCTGCACAATGTACCATCTAGGGGCACCACAGCGTCGGCCAGCCCGCCGACGCCGCCGCGAGGCCGGGTTCCACAAACACGAGGTCTGCGAGAGGACAGGCGACAGCAGGTCGCACATCAGCGTGGTCAAACGCTGCCGCCGTTCATGCGCACGCCACCTCCCTCTGATCCCATGAGAGAAGAGCCCCGGTTTGTGCCTGCTTCGTACGTAGGAGGACGGGATGGAGGACGGCAGCCGTCGCCGGTGAGCTCGAGCAGTTCTGAGAGCGGCGGCCCGGCCAAGGAGGCCTGGGGCCGCGAGCAGCAACAGCAGCGAGGGCTAGCGATAATAGGGCTACCGAGCACAACAAATAGAGGGAATAACCCAAGGGGTGTTGCATCGGGTGTGCCAAGAATGGGTCGTTTGCCAGCCACTCGACCGAGGCAGCAGACCAGCACCACCAGCACCACCATGGGACGGCCCCTGGCGCGACAGCCGGAATACGAGGCCGACGGCGAGACTGCCCCTCAGCAAGAGATATTCTCACCCGCAGGTTCCCGCCGTGCTAGCCATCTCAGGGCACATTTGCTGCGAGCGGACTCTGTGGATCGCGAAGCGAGCGACGTTGAGAGCGCGGCGGGAGACACACCGCCGCCCAAAACGCAGCCAAAGCGACGATGCGCCGAGAGCCAGGCCCCTGTGAAGCATGCGAAGCTGTTGGAACCGGGATATGCAACGTCGCGAGCTGCGATAGAGTCGCAGAGCCTCTTGCCTCTGGAGGACATACCGCCGGGCATGGCGACTTGGCGTTGCGTTTTGACGACTGATGTAGATTTCTCGGATGTGCGCATGTCAATGGATCTAGAGAGGGATATAGACGAGTATATTCAGAGTGGATACATGGCATTTGGCTTGAAGAATGTTACGAGACGGAATGCCATGTGTTTGGAAGCTCGCATGCGGCGAATCTGACGGGTTTGATATGCATACATGGATGGGGTATAGGGGAGCTTCTTGCTATGGTGAAAGATGTTGGTGCAATGAATGGAATCTACGTACGTAGCTAAAGAGGTAGACTCTAATACTTTTGCTTGGCTGTTCGATCAGAACTTTAGAAGTAGAACAGAAATGGAGTGAAAAGGAGGTTGCAGAAGGTGTGGGTGACATTCATGCGTTTTGATGGAGGTGGCTGGCTCGCGAGCGGAAGCTGAGTAGGCCGTTCACTGTAGACGCAGCTAATATGAACCACCTATATTTCAACACGGAGGTAATTCTAGTTTTCGGTATTCCGGTCGTTTCAGAGATGGCTTCGTCGGGAAATGCTGCGTTTTCTTTTTTGGGCCACGCGCAGAGACTGCAGCAGCACGGGATGCCGACTCCAGAAAGACTAGCAGACTTTTCCCCTAAGAAAAGTGACTCACGAACGGATATCCCTTTGCAGGACCTGCACCCAAAGTGCGAGGTGAAGTGTGGCTGAAGACTATGACGCGATTTAGAGAATACTGGCCCATGACTGGGGACCGCGTCGATTGGCTCTGCTGCAACTAGGTGGTTTTTTAGCCAACGGGGCAAAGGGGGCAGTGAGCTGTAGAACTAGTTAGCTGGATGCGAATGTTAGACTGTATCTTGGGAAGAGAGCGAAGACCAAGGCGAGCTAATTCCATTCGATCCAATAGCTGGCTTGAGATGTAGCGGCATGCTACCGCTCCGGGACCAGCTCATGTGGGATCATTGGATTGATTGATGCGTTGTCGACACTACCCCAAGCGAGACATTGGGAAGCAAACTCGACCAGGATCCATGGCCATGGAATGCCGTCTTTCCCGAAGACTGTGCAGTAAGCTGCGGGAGGGGACAAGGCCATTGGCTCGGGGCAGGGCCGGGCAGGCCACGACGTAAAGGATTATTTCCTTGTGTTTAGTTACACGGCTGGTTGTGCCATCCATGTATGATACTAGCGAAGAAGTAAATGTCAAGATGGGAACTGTAGCCATGCCTCCAGCTCTTGCGAATTCAATGCGGTGGTGTTTGGCTTCAGCAATTCTTTCTTCTTTGCTTGGCGTCCTGGAAACAATGCGGCGAAGCCCCGCGGCACAGCGATGCCTGTCTGTCACCTGCCGACGGCAGCTCCTGTGATATTGTACCGCCCGTCATATCTTCTCTCGCCCGTGCGGGTTCGCTCTGGCGTAGCAAAACTCTAGCGTCTGCACGCGCATTGTGAATCCTCCCAGCGCCGGGACCTCGCGCGGCGCGCCGGCAGATAGCACGGGCAGCGCATATGAATGGACAAGGCTCTGCCAGAGCACCATTGCAGATAGTAGAAGGGCGGTTGAGCATGTTTAGAGTGCAGGGACAATCATACCGGGATAGATACTCGTCATTCACAAAGGCCCCTGGTGCACCCCGGCTGTGATGCGGAGAACGATGATTGATGTTGGCGATGCGGCATTCGAGAGCTGCAAGGGTTGCAAAACTGTGCAAAGCAGGCCTCGGCTGCCATAAATTTAGCGCTGTGCGAATTATCTCAAAGAGCTTCCTATAGTCGCGACTTGCAGCAGCTCGAGTTCTCCTGCTTGTAGATGTGTATTAGGATGCTGTTGAGCCCGGGGTACACGCTCGTCGCGTGTTTGTGGTGGTGGGGAGTTCTGATTCTGCGTGAGGTCTGACGGTGAGCGAGATGAGGACCAAGGCTAACATTTAGTGTACAGAAAGACGTCAATGATGGTTGTAAATTATTCGGAGGGTTCCCGAAGGAGAAGAGCATGTGTTGGCTTCAAGGTTGACTTTCGAGTTGGGCCCCGTGTTAGTCACGCCGTGTTAGTCACAGTGGGATAAGTTGGATCCCATGAGCGGCTCATGTTCTTGTCCGATCTCGCGTGGAACGAGATTAACGAACATAGGTGGCTTATGGTAAACGCCACGCCGAGTGTAAATGCGCGGCGTTGCTCACTCGCATGTTGATATATAAGAGCTGGCACGCCCAGCTACCAGCAGCTACCCAGCGTGGGGGTCGCTTGAGGCTTGAGGGAATGTCTGTTTAAAATGACGTAGATGATGAGCACGAGTAGATGGATGGTTGGCTTGCGCATCGGAGAAGAACAAACCGGCATGGACGTCTTAATGATACCAAATTAATGGAAATCCCTAGCATCCATAATTTGACAACTGAACCACAGATAAAAAGTCAATCTGTTGACAAGCTCGAGTAGCGGAGATGCCGTGCGTTAGCGGGTATCGCTTCTCGTATCTGGCGGTGGGCTGTTCTTGGTTGGCCCCATATAGCCGAGAGCTGACGGTGGAGTGTGGCCCGACGTGGCGCTGGGCGGCGTCGAAGCTGCTCGTTGTTGTGATAACTAATTATAACTCTTTCTGGCTCGTGATGTCTTCGGCGTGCCGCAGGTCGGAGACAAAATGACGTTGACGAGGCTGATGTAACATGGGAGATCCGGGCTCTCATACGCGCATCACACCCCCAGCGTACGTGTTTGGACGTATTAACATGACGGGCAGTCACAAATGATACAAATGGTGGACTTGCACCTACGATGGTTGATTACACTGTAGGAGCGTATCAAAGGCAGCGCTCGGCTCGTTCACATGTAGCGAGGCCAATGTTTGCGATTTGGGGAGTTTTGACTGCGTTCCAGTAAGACAGAAGGATGGGACGAGGAAGAATGCAGCGCAAGGAATCTAGATTCTGGAAAAAGGAAAGAAAGAAAAGAAGACCCTCATCCATCTCGTTTATCGTGGGATGTACGGCGCGACGCATGTAGGGGGTGGCTTAGTGCAAGTGGTGCGGTCAACAAGCGGGCGGGCAGAGCCTAGGGCTACTGAGAAACGAGCATGTTCCGGACGAGGGGTGAATGCGATGAATAAATACACAATGTCGTGGCCTTGTAAGCAGAGCAAAATGTCTCCGAGAGAAGCTCAAATGGCAGGAGTTTGCTGTCGGCCGAGAGCAGGCATGACGCGCGTAATAAAGGACGAGTGGTTCGAGACGGGGCGCGCTGAGATAAAAGCAAGGGGGGCTGGGAGAGTCGTGGTAATATGGGCAAGTTCTCTGTCCATGCATTGGACACTTTTGCACAGCCTCGATCCGGTTGGTTCTGGTGCAAGTCATGGTGCAGCTTTTCTTGGTGTTGCGGCGCAGCAAGTGCTCCAGACAAGGTGCCAACAGTTTAAGTGGGCCAGTCCATGAACAGCCTCAGGTGTCAGGCATAGGACAGCCTGAGCCTGGACAGGGACAAGCTGGTCCCCTGTGTTTACAGTGGGCCGTGCCTCTGCTATTTTAATAGAGTATTCTTAATAATGAATGTGAAGTAGGGGGTATAAGAAGGGATCAGGGAGAGAGGCCATGCTTGTACTCTGGTTCGTGAGACGACGGCAATGGACTGACCTCGTGGCCTCGAGGCCAGAAACTGTTTGCGTCGCACGGAGGGGGGACATGACGTAGTATGGGAGAGGATATGTGAGATGAACGATATGAAATAAGACGAGTTTTTGCCATTTAGCTCCTGGTTTGTTGCACAAGTACGGAGTACTGACCAACGTGGATATCAGGTATCTGCTGTCATTTGAGCCTCTGGACAAATTGACAAGGTACCTGCATGTACTTGTCACTGCATCTGCAGTGGCTGCTTGCCTGTCCATATTAATGCATGCGCAGCGTCCAAATTTCAATGACCAAAATAGATGCACGTCTTGATTCGCTTTTTAATCAGCATTATAAATTTCCGCCTGCTAGCCCAGAATCCAACACGTTTCCGAGTGTTGTTTGTGCAGGCGGTGGTGTTGTTTGGGCTTTGGTTAGCGGCGCCCGACGCACTGCTAGTGGACCGAATCGGCTCAACTGCCAAACATTGTTGCTCAAAAGTACCTGCAGCCAGTCAGTATATCGACCCAAGCAAGAGGGCAAATGGGACCCTGCAGCAGCCGTGGACATCTGTTACAGGTGTCTGTCTGACCAGGTACGTCCAAGGTACCCATTCGCACCCGCAGGCAGGCCAGGTTTGGAGATTCTTTTTGTTTTTTTTTTAGTGGTTTTTTATATCTTTCCTTGCCAGCGCCAGCCCACCATGATTCCTCACGCCAAAATGCCGGGTCAAAAAAAAAAAGTAGACGTCCGCCCAAGGCACTGCCGCCTGTGTGTCCGCTCGCTCACCACCACATGCACCACCACATCCTCTCGGTTTCTGCTCCCCGCGAGGCTGCCATCTCTCCCTCCTCCTCTTTCCTCATCACCATCTTTTGCTCTCGGCCTCTTTCGTTGGCATCCCGTCTTCTATTCAACGCCCTCGCTCTACCTGTATTCCTTTTAGTACTTCCGACGCACCCTTGATTCTCTACGTCACCCGTTCTTGCAATCGAACCCGTCGCCCGTTTTTTTCCCTCCGCCAGCCGTTGCAAAACTCAAATTCGAATTGTCGTTTCATCCAGATACCCGCTCAGTCGAAGTCTGTGATGATGCGTCTTTTCTGACCCCAGCCGACAATTTTTTTTTCGCTTTTTTTTTTCCGCTCTCGCTTCACGACCTGAGCTGCGACCGCCCCATCCACACATTCATGATGCGAAAACCCCGTCTGCATCCGGCTCACGCAACCTCGTCCGAATCGGTTCCAGCCCATCGCACAGCCCACCGACATGCTTTGCCTGTCCAACCTTCGCAGGGAACGACGACGACGTGCCAGCGCCGCAGTCTGGCTTCCAGCGACAGCCAACGCTCGCTCACCACCGTGGCGTCGACTCCGTCACACACGGCCCATAGGCTGCCTCCGATAATGACACGGCCAGCCCGCCCAGCCCGCTCACGGCGGCGGCAGCTCGATGACCTCTTGTCCGCATCTGCTTTCCTCGTCTACGCATTAATAGCCCTCTTTCTCGCTGCCGTCCCCGTCTCGGCCGTCCGTGTCCCCTTCACCAACTGCCTCGATGAAAAGTACATTACCGACGGAAAGCTCCAATGGAAACCCGTCTACGCCGACGCCAGCTTCGACACTACCGACCCCACACATGAGCTCAAGGTTGTCGTTTGGGGCAATGTGACGGGCTTCCAGGACCCCAAAAATCTTCCACCTTCGGCTCAAGATGACCCCAACCGTCTCTACTGGAAAGACAATGGCAAGACAAACGGCAAAATTACTCAGACTGGTGACACTGGCAAGGCCACGACCCTCTACCGCAGAGTCAATGTCCTCACTTATAGGCCGGTAAACGAGCGCGTCAACTTTTGCACAGAAGCTCTTGACGGCGGTCAATGCCCTCTAGGCCCCTTCTTGAACACTTCGAGAGTGTAGGTTAATCTATTGCCTACGCAATACAATACGCTAACCTTTGATGTAGCGACTTCCCCGACGACCTTTTCACCCGTCCCCGCAGCCTTTCCTCCTTCTCCTCCATGAACCTAACTCACCAATTCGGCTCCTCGTACTCATTCTCCTCCTTCTCTTCCACACTTCTCCTGCTTTCCAGTGATGAGGCCGCCACCAACATTGGCTGCATCTCATCCATCATCACTCCGGATCTCGGCTCTAATCGCAACGTCGTCAAGTTCTTTCCTCTCGTTATCCTCATCGTCTGCGGCTTCGCCGTTATTTTTGCTGGCAATTTCAGCCCGTGGGGCTCCACCGACATCTTTCAATGGTCCTCCAACTACGGTCGTGATGCTGACCAGCTGAGATTGGTTACCCCGGGTTTTGGCGACTGTCTGCAGTACATTCAGTTTGCCGTCTTGACTGGTGCTCTGAGCATTGATTATCCTGGTTTCTACCAGCCCATCGCCAGTCAGGCTGCTTGGTCAACCATCATGTTCAATGAGAGCTTCGTCACAAACAAGCCTGGCTGGCGCAACGTTGTCGATGGCGTCTATGTCACAGATCTTGGCAACAAATATGGCCTGCAGCACATGGGTCAGCTCGTCGGCATGGCTGATCATCAGGATATTTGGGCTGGCATGATGGTCTGGCTCTGCGTCGTCATCCTTGCTGCCTTTATCGTCGTCCAGCTTGGCTTCCTCATCCAGTGGGTTTACCGTCGTTCGACCAAGACCGCAGAGGAGGACTTGCGCGCCAAAAATATACCCTTTTCCATCGGCAACGTCGTCCGCATTCTCTACAATTACATGCTGATGCCCATTGTTGCCTTTTCTGCCTACCAACTCGTCATCGCTCGCTCGGCCCCAATCTACTGCGTCGTGCTAGCCTGCATCACTCTGGTAGTGCTGGTCGCCTTTGCTACCTACTTGCTCTACTTGATTGTCACCATGAGACCCAAGTCTGTTCTGTTTGACGATTTACCCATGGTACTACGCTTCGGTCCTCTCTACAATACGTATTCTGATGGAGCTGCCACCTTTGCTTTCATCCCACTTGTTCTGCAATTTTGCCGTGGTCTGGCCATCGGTGCCGTTCAGCCGAGCGGCTTGGCTCAAATTGTCATTCTGGCTATTTGTGAAGTCATTCACATCTTTACCCTCAACGCCGTGAAACCGTTTCAGTCACCTACCTCGATGAATGCATATCACACCGTATTTTCTTGCTTACGTCTGGTTACCATTCTACTCATGGTTGCTTTTGTGCCGGGTCTCGGCGTCACTGAGGGGACAAAGGGGTGGATCGGCTATGCTATCCTCATCGTGCACGGTTGTGTCCTCATTTTCGGTTTCCTATTGAGTGCGCTACAGACGATTCTCGAGGTCGTTGCCCGCATGATGGGTGCTGGCCGGGACAGTACCGTTGGTTCTACCAGAGGAGGACTGTCAAAGATTTTTGGCGTGAGGCAGCTCAACAAGCGCGAGTCGCATCGACCAATTCCATCGAGAACCAGCCAGCTTTCCACTACAGCCATGATTGATGTCGAAAAGGCGAACCGCGCAGGATATATGCCGGCCAATGCACGAGTTCGAAGCAGCTCTGGAGGGAGCCTAGGCACCATCATGGCTGCACAGAGACATCGCAGCAGCTCCGCTCTCGATAGTGTCGACATGTACTCACACGCACACAGGCCTGCAGAAAGTCCAGCTTCCTACCTACCTGGAACGCCTGGCGAGACAAGCACGTTTTCTTTTCTCGCTTCTTCCAATACCGCCACTCGACCTAGCCATCCCCCTCCTGGCCACGTTCCAACACTCGCTGCTCTAGAAGCTGCTGACCCATACTACCGACCACCTCGCAGACGTCGGTCAACCAACGAGAACTCGCCGCAAGAACCAAGCACGGGGCGGTTTACCCCTGACCAACCCGGCCTTTTGCAGCCGCACGGCCAACCGGGTGAGTCTGGCGACAATGCTCCTGATATCTCGCGCGGTGCCACGCCTGTAGCCCCTGGAACAGGACTAGGCCTGCCGGGCACCGCCAGTGCCGCTTTGAATGCTGTACCAAATAGACCGGATTATTCAACCCGTGAAGTCGATTTCTACTATGGTGTTCGTGGCCCAGCTCTCAACTCTGATGGCCTTGGTCGCAAGCTTGGCACTGGGCCCGCTGATCCCACTGGCCCCGTTGCCACTGCTACGAGCTGGTTCCGTAACCTCATGGGTGGTAAGAGTAAAGATAAGAGCAAGGGGTTTGAAGTCGTTCGCAGCTCGAGGATGCCGCCCTCCATGGCCCGCAACGCCGGCTTTGGTGACGAAACGCCACCTGAGGGCATCCCTGTCGCTCTCGGTGTGCTAAGGAACGGCCCCATCGACGATGAGGATGAGGATGACAACCTACAGCCCAACCGCGCACCTAAGCCAAGCACCGCACTGCTCAGCACGGGAGGCGAGCCCCACGACTCTGACGATGAACAACCGTCACACGAGCCTGGCGAGCCGGAACCTGTTAGCCCCATGACCAGCGATGACGAAGATGACGACGGTACCCAGCACTCTACATACTACGATGCACCGGACATTCCTCGCAAGAGCTCGAAGCGAGATTCAGCCAACTTGTCACACCGCCACCTGCCGTCCCTCAGCATCGTGGACTCGCAGGATGCCAGGCTGTCATCCAATCCTAGAGACGACAGGTCTGAACGGGCTAATAAACATGCTAACTCGCTCACGATTGACCCGCCAAAGCTGCCCAACCTGCCATTCGAGCGCACAAAGTCTCAAAAGCGGCTGTCGTCCATGTCATCGATGTCGTTGTGCGAAGATTTTACGACCGTCGACTTGGGCGAGCTGGCCAACGAGCGGCCTGTCAGCTACGGCATGGTGTCGCAGCATGCGATTAGCAGAGTCGATCCAGAGCACCCGCGGGTTACGCTGCACAGCAGCTCAGCGGAACTTGTGGATGAGAATGGCGTTCCCAAGATACATCAGTAGCCATCTATGCCTTGATGTCTTTCCTTTACCATCAATTTTCTTATTAGTTTATCATCTACCTATACGCGCACACACATATGCACTCACTCCCCCTCACTCACTACTTACTCACTCACTCACTTACTCGCACTCTCTCACACTCCCTCCCGTACCACTTCCTCACCTTCACTCACTCAGACATGCGGACATTAAAAGCGAACTTTTGCACTGATAGAATAAAGTTAATACCGAGGAGGAATGGGGTTTGGAAATGATTTTCTGAATTTTAGCGGCATGCTCGATTTACAAACTGTACATCTGGTTCCTTGTTTGTTGGATACTGGCTCTCAAGGGCGAGAAACAAATTGGGTTATATATGGTTTTCTTTGGTTGGATTATAATCTCTGGGCAAGCCACTGGGCCGAGACTGGCCAGGGCTATGAAAATAAACATTATTTCCATACTTGGTCCTTTTCTCCGTGAACACTTGTATATGTACATGCATTGATTGGAGCATAAACTACCGCCCATTGTATAGTCATAACAACTTTCTAGCCATTCCTTTTCCCTCTTTTCTCCCGTCATGCAATTCTGATGCCAATTTTACAGAACCGTTGCTGATTCCCACGTGATATCTTGTTTCTCTCTCTCTTCTCTTCTCTCTTCCTAAATGATACTTCTCTTGCCGTCTGCCCACCCCTCCATCTACTTGACCGTGATGAAGCCGATGCCCGACCGCGCTTTTTGCGCCGCCCGCTTCAGCGCCTGCTCCTCGACGTCTGTCCACTGCACGCTCAGCTCGTCCCACTTGCGGCCGGGCGTGTTGTACTCTTTTCGCCAGCGCGCCTGCACGGCCTGCAGCGCGGCCATGCGTCGGGGGTCGCCGGAGCCGCTGTACACGAGGAGCGCGGTGCACGGCGGCAGCGCGGCGTGAATGCGCTCGATGCGTTGCGTGAGCCTCGCTACGCAGCGCTCCAGATCCTCCTCTTCCTCCGCCTCCTTCTCGGCTTCTGCAGCGGCGAGTCCGTTGCTGTTGATACGGTTCGTGTTCCACCAGCCCTGCCGGGCTTCGAGCTCGCGCAGCCGCGCCCAGGTAAAGTCGACGCCGCCCCCGCGGACCTCTTTACCGTCGGCGTCGCCGTTGACGCAGCGCAGCACGGCGGCGACGACTTCTTCGTCTGACGCGCAGCCGAAGCGCACAGTCGCGCCGGCGCCGTAGCCCTTGCCCGGGTCACCCCAGTCGACGGCCGCGCTCGTCTTGCCGACCTCGACGCCGCCGAGGGCCGCGTCGCCGCCCTGGGCCTTGTACGCGGTGCCGGCGCGCGCGAGGCGCCGAAAGAGGTTCTCGCCCTGCGCGTCGGGCGTGCCCCACGCGCGGCCCTTTTCGCACTTTTGCTTGACGAGGTCGAGGCATGTGCGGGCGTCCTCGACGGCGTCGTGGCCGGCGGCCCCGCCCTTTTGTATGCTGCGTGAGAGGTACTTTTCGGCGAGCCACTTGAGCGACGACTTGAGCGGCGGGCCGCGCGGGTGCGGAAACAGCAGCGAGGTGTCGACGATGAAGGGGTGCGTGAGTTGCAGCGCCTTGGTGTCGGACTCGAGCGAGTGGCCGACGAGAATGGTGCGCGGGGTGAGGAGCGTCAGCAGCCGCGCCTGCACGTCGGCGAGCGTCGTGGTCACGGGCGCGAGCATCTCGGCGGTGATGCCGGAGAAGCGCGTGAGGTAGTCGGTGATGGGCTTGGCCGGGCGCACCAGCTCGTCGAGCACCACGTCGCCCGACCAGTCGACGACGCTGACGCGCGTCAGCGCAAACTCGTCCTCGCCCGTGAGGCACATTTCGCAGTCGAGCGCCAGCACCGTCCTGCCCGCCGTCACGCTGCCCTGCTGCACCTCCGCCTCGGGCGCGTCGCCGTTCTCGGCACGCTCCACCACCGTGCGCACCCAGCCTTCCGGCAGGACAAAGGCGTCGCGCGCCGCGGCGGTATCGGTTGGTAGCAGCGCCGGATGCACCAGGTACCCGTTCTCTGCGAGCTCCGCCGGCGTGGCGAGAAACTCGGTGATGCGCGTGCGCTCATTCTTCCACCCGGAGGGCTCGCGCGCGGGCTTGACGCCCTGCTTCTTCTCCTTGGGCGCGGGCGTGCTGAGAAACGCCGCCATCGGGGAGTGCATCTTGCCGTGGCGGTCGTCGCCGGGCGTCTTGACCGGCCACAGATGCGGAAATATGTCGGCAAACGGCCGCAGCGCCTCTGGCAGCTGTGTCTTGTCTAGCGGCCGCGGGTAGTAATCATCCGGGGACGCGTCCTTTTTCGGTTCCGTTTTCGACGACGACGATGACGACGATTGCCCCGCTGCTGCTGTTGCAAGATCATCATCGCGCGTTTCGTTAAAGGTGGTCAGATCTACACCGGGCCGAAACATGGCCTCCTCGAGTCCCGGCACCATGACGGCGACAATTTTGCGAAACGCAGGGCGGTGCATCACGGCGCACCACTGCGGGCCGGCGCCGTCGGCGAAAATGTACGTCACCAGGTCGCGAAGGTGGCTGACGCCAATCTTGGACTGTAGCCGCGCTCCGGGCGAGAAGGTGATGGACGGGTAGTTTTTGCCCGGCCGCGGCAGCTTTTTCGACTTTTTCTTGTTCGAGCGGCTGACTGTCTGCCACTGCTCCTTGCTATCATCATCGTCGTCGTCGTCGCCGTGCTTGGCCGTGTCGTCCGTCTTGGGCTTCTTCTCGGCGGCGGGCTCGTCGTGCCCGTCGTGGGGACTCGCGCGCTTCAGACTGCTGCGCTCGCTGCTGGGCTGGGCCGCATCGCCGGCGCCGGCAGAGGCAAGAACGGCGTCGGTGCCGGCCGGAGCGGCATTGAGCTCGTCATCGGCCATGGATGAGGCGGTGATGGCTGCGGCAGCGCTGTCGTCGAGGGACAGGCCGAGGAAGTTGCGAGCGATTGTCTGGACTCTTTTGAACTTGTTTCGTAGATATGTCACCATTGGTGATGCAAAGTATAAAAATTTAGATCATGTATCATGAGGAAAATGGCGCGTTTCTGCGCAGGGTAGAAATTATATCTTGCTGTTGGAATATGTAGGTACAAAAAAAAGTTGAGGCTGCAGATCGAGTTTTCAGATCAGTCCCTTCGATCAGCCCCACTTGTAGGTTCATGACGATGCGACACACATGCAGTGATGCAAACATATTTCACTATCTGATATGGAATACACTGTTAAATTTAAAACATTTTTCGGATCTAATTCGACAGGTAAATTTATGCCTCATTAATCGTCTCATCTTACTCTACAGGCCAAAATCTTCCCTGAGCACCTCCCGCCCCAGGTCCGCCAGTATATCAACCTGCTGCCCGACGCCATACTCAAAGAACGCCTGCGCTCTGTCGCTCTGGGGATCTTTGCGCCACAGTCCAATCAGACTCAGCTCCTTCTCCCGACCTTTGAGCTCCGCGATGCCCGCCAGGACCTCGCGCGCCTGCTGCGCCAGCTCCCACGCCGCGAGGTGCGGCGCCGGCGCCGTGTCCAGCACCATGAACAGCAGCATCTGCGCCAGCGACACCTGGTCAATGTCGCGCAGAGCATCCCGCAACCTCCTCCCCACGTCGGCCTTTTCCATGTCCCGCGCGGAAATCTGCACCGTCCCACCCCCTTGCTGCTCCGCTAGCGCTGTCTCGGCGGCCGTGTTGGAGAGCAGCTTGGCCATCATGAAGATGTTTTTGGCGCGCACGGGATGAAACGGCGCTGGAAAGCGGTACGGATCGCAGTCGCGCGTAATTAACGCCGCCACGGCCAGCGCGCACGCGTAGTCTTGCTTCTCAGCGTAGTAAATGGCCAGTTCTGTGAGTGTCTGCGGGAGCGGCGTCACGGCCCACAGCTCGGCCGCGACGAGGCTCTTGCAGTCGGATAGCTGCTTCGCCAAGACGGGACGCCGCTCAGCGAGAGCGGCGGGCATGGGCTGGAAGTGTAGCGCCGCGGCGGCGCGGGCGATTGCTTGCTTGGCGGGCGTGCTGACGGCCGGGTGCGTCTGCAGCTTGGTGCCGTCACCGAGGATGCTGTCTTCATTGAGCATGTAGTCGCGATAGTGCGCGCTAGCCTGGTAGACGCAGAGGTCCTGAGTGCAGCGTCGGCAGCGGCATTCGAAATTGTAGGGCGCGAGCGCGGCTTTGCGCTTGCCGAGGGAGCTTGTATAGTCTGGCACGATGTTAAGCTTTCATTTCAAGTTGCGGGACATGTAGAAGCGTTACCTGTATAGGAGATTTCAATCTCGTCACCTTTTTGAATGCGAGACTCTGCGCGCAAAACAGCGGCTCTCCCTACGAATTGAACAAAGGCGTTGGGGAGGCAGGAGTGGTTGGCCATGGCTAGTGTAGGCTCGAGGAAGATGCCTACATGCCCCAAGTCGGCGTCGAATCTGTGAAAAGCATTTGTTTGAAGCTACAAAAGATGTCAGTACAATTTGAAGAGCTCCCAACCTTTGAATCACCTACTTTGCATAAAATCTCAACAGCCTGGCGTACTGATTCCTCGCTCGTCTCCCTCCCCGCAAACGCACAGCCTCCCATGGCCATCATCTCCATGTCCGCCCACCCCGGCTCCCGCCTTCTCTCCGCGACATGGCCCTCCAAACCGTCCATGTTCTTGCTCAGGTCCTCTGGCTGTCCACAGCTCAGAAGCACCTTGACCAGCGCCCGTACCGGCGTGGGGATCTCGCGCCGCTTCTTGGACGATTTGACGGCGCGGACCAGCGCCGCGCACTCGAGGCTGTGCCCGCCCGACCACGCGGCCGCCTGGCACCGCGCGTCGCAGTAGTAGGCGGCGCGGCAGCGCGAGCACGGCCGCGGCGTGCCGGCGCGCAGGCAAAAGGAGCAGACGGTGGTGAGGTGCGAGAGCGAGGGGAGGAGAAGCAGCGGCGTGAAGACGGCGATGACGTCGCCGGCAGCGACCGTCTTGGTGGTGTGCAGAGCGCGGCCCTTGGTCTTGTGAGGCTGGATAGCCACGCCGTCGGGGGCAACGGGTGCCATTTTAATTTATTTGTGCGATAGTGCGATAGAAGAAACGCTGTTTGAAGTGCTGTTGTTGAAAGTCGTTGACATGCCCAGTACGAAATCTCTGGTGCAAGCGAAGCTCCACCGAGTTGCCACCGTCTGAGACGGCGGTCGACATGTCGCCGCGCGTGTGAATAGCAAAATTTTCCCGTTTATTGTACATTTATTACTCTATAGGTATAATCATCACATGTAATATGCTACAGATCCACGTGCTGAGATGGTGCAGTGCTGCCCTTTCGCGCCGCCACCAGTCGCGCCTGAAGGTCTCTGCTCCAATGGCCCTTGTCGCCCTTGTTCGCCTTGGCGATGCGGGCGACGTGGTAGTCCCAGCAGCCCTCGGGAGCCTGCGAGCCCGCCTCGCTACACTGCTCGTCCGTCAGCTTCGGAGCCTTGGGCCACTGCCCAGCAACGGCGCCCATGTCCTCGTCGAGAAAGTTGTCCACGGCGAAGAGGCCGACCTTTCGCTGTGCCGTCGTCCACTCCTTACCCTCGCGGGCGAGCACGCGCGCTAGTTCCCCCATGAGGTCGAAGCGTAAAAAGTCGGCACGGATGACCGGGTCCTTGATGAGGCCGCTGACGGCGGCCACCCGGGCCTTGATCAGCTTCGCCGCCGCCGCGTCCTCTGCAGCGTCCTGGACAGGGCGAGGCCCGATGCCGCGGAAGAGTTCGCTAGACAGAGGCGCCATGCCCTCGGGGCAGTAGTGCTCCAAAATTGCGGGCCACTGCTTGCTGACTTCGGCCAGCGCAGTCGGGTTGTTTTGCAAGCTGGCGGCGAGGATGGCAGCCGCCTGCTGGTCTCGTGGTGGAAGGCCCTCGGTGTTGCCAGTGCTAGGGTAGGGCTCTTGAATCATGTGGCAAACGAGCGACTTGACAACGCCGGGATCCTCTACAATCTTGAGACCGTAGTACATGTCGTGTGCCAATTCTTCGAGGCCCTCGAGCGAGGCATCGAAACTTGGATCATGCTCGCCCCGCTCAGCTTTGAGAAGTTTCATGGCATCCACGAATGCCTTAGCTTCATGCTGAGGGGCCTTGATTTTTCCTGCCGTCTCGTATACTGGGGCACTTTTAGGAATGATGGGATCGTCGCGAGCTTCGGGCTCGACAACGACGACATCGTGCTCCACCGGTAGGCCCTCAAGCGAAGCGTCGCCTTCACCGGGCACGTTGATCTTGGCCTCTTTTTCACCCGTGTAAATGTTGAGGCGCACGTGAAGGCCGTGGGGGAGCTCCTGATCATCGTGGATCTTTTGGAACTCGTCCGTGGCCTCAAAGACGCGTGGGTAACAGTCCTTGGGGTCGGTAGTGTGACATATCAGATCTGGCTCCGAATTTTCCTCTGCGTCGGGAGAGCTTGCCAGAACCGGCGCGGAGAGGACCAGGAGGGCTATGCCCAAGAGTAGGGCGAATAGTGTGGGCAGCCGCAGCGGCCGTGATTGTGATGGCATTGCAGGGAATGGCTGGTATAAAAGCCACTGGTCCGAGGAAAGAAGGGATCGGAGTGAAATGAGGAATACGAAGATCGATGGTGACCGGCCAGCCGGAGAGAGAATTGGCTCCGAGTTATAATTTTCAGAGATGGTCCCCGCCAAGCAGCTATGACTCTTTTCTGGCAAAAGGACAGGTTGTACGCTTGATGATGTGGCTGTAGAATATTTTGGAAGCCGACGTGGTAAACGGTACAGCGCGATTGCCACTATCATGGCAATTTCTGATTGGATGGGACGGCTTAGTCATCAACGATGTTGCCCTGTATCTCCAGCGGTGCCTCTTGCGTTTGTAGCGTCTTTCTGGCGGGCTAGCAGGCCATCAGGTCTCTTTCGATAAAGTACAACTGTTCACTATACGATCAATTGCGTATAATTAAAAACACAAAAAAGGCTCAAAGAGCGGATTAAATAATTTTTCAAGTAGAAGTGGCAAGGAAGTCCGTGGGTTGATGAATGAATCAAAAAAGAAAAGACAAAAGAAAAGAGCCAAGTCTTTCTTTAGTCATTGTCTTTCTTCATTTAATTCATGGTTTTCCGTTCAATGTATCCTGTTTGTGTATCAATGCGACTTTGTCCTGTCTAATTGTGTGGTAAAGAACTATGAAATCCCGATTGATGACTTGCGTACTCATCTTCGTTCTTGTCAAATCATATAACCCGGGCTCTGGCCGAGGTCTACATGCTTTCCGACACCACTCAGAGCTCCAGGAAAAAGTCGAGATACTTTGAGTGATTGGCTAGCCGAGACTTTTCTCAGCCATTGCAAGGAATCTCTAATCAATACCTTGATTGCAAAACAATCCATATTGTTATCAAGTGTAATCAGCTCTCTACTGTCCGATGCACGGGCTCGAGTCATCCCACTACCTTATACAACTGACGTCACAGTCCAATAGGCGGTTGGGGGATTACTTACCCTGCATTCTTGACAAGGCTCCAACGTCTCGAGTGAGAGTGTAGAAAACAATGCCTGAGTAAACTCACCCGAATCTCCGGGATAATCGACGCGTAAAAAAAAAAGAAGAAAAATTCGACTGTGCAAAGTGGACGTCATCTAGACCTCGGAAATGCGCAGACTCGCATCACTGAAAGAGGTTGGTGCAACCAACAATGGGGACCTCGCACCGCCAACATTCCAGTCCGCCATCGTGCAACCGCCCGCCGCGACCACACATACTGCAACGCCAAAAACTCTGGTATCGTGATAATTGATGTATTCTGAGAGGCTGGTAGACCCAAAGTAATCATGACACTCTCGCGCAGACCGAGAAAGACGCCGCATCCAAACATCTATAAGAACCTCTCGTCCTCTCTTCTCAACATCAGCTCCTCCTCATCACACAACCAGCAACACGACAAAACCACAGCCAAAACAGCAATTCCTCAGAATAGCTACTTTTACGAATAGCTCCCATCCTCACCATCTCGCACTCTTCACCACCTTGCACTCTTCAACAACCTCCTCTACCTTCTCTACTCTACTTGAAAAAGGTAGAAGACATTTCACCAATGTCTCTACTTTCTTCCTTTTTCGGGCTCATTGTCCTGGCGCTGGCCGTCAACGGCATCCAGGCCATGCCGCTGAGCACGAGCCACTCGAGCCACGCTGTCCTCCATCATCTGAGGCGCAGCCGCGCCATGTCGAGAATGTCGGCGGCAAATCATCACTAAAGCCCCCGCCGGTGCAAGCGCGCATCGATTCGGCCACGCAACAAAAGAATACGAGAACGAAAAAGGGGAAAAAAAAAAGAAAATGAAACAAAAATTCGAAACAAAAACTTCATCAACATCAAACGCTCATTTATTTCCCCCAAAACACATGACTGCCTGGTGCAGTTACTCTGGTACGAGGATGCGGGACGCCTCTACAGAAAGGAAGGTTTGAGTCGCAGGGACTTGAACTGTTGCACAACAACAATCTGGCCGCCTTAGCAGCTGACAATGCCGCGAAGCGCGCGCAAAATTCCGGATACTGGTGCCGGTCACCAAATATGATACTCTCCGAATGCACGTGTGCCTGGTTGCACGGTGCATGGAGAGGGGCTCCTCGCCCACTTACAGACTTGCTCGGTCCCTTTTGAGCCATTGCCGATGTCTGAGACATCCCATCTCCTTCTATGCCGCCGCGCACGCGGCTGCACTACAATCCTTTACCAAATATTCCAACGAAAAATCAACCTTCTTTCTTCCTTTGAGTGCCTGGTGCACCATTTGGCCTTTTTCCGAAACAGCATGGCGATGCCTGGGTGCATACGCCTGCCAGTTCACAAACGCTGGGTCGTCCTACACTGTCCTTACCGTACACCGCTGGCTGGCCGCGGTCATACAAAATCACACAACTCTTGACCTGGTTTTTTTCACTCGAAAATCTATCCGTCACTCCTTTCGCACTTCCCTTTAGACGGTTTCTTTCAGCATCCGTTGCAAAAAGCCTTTCTTTCAACATAGGTACTCTCCTTTACGACGCAGCGCAGCAAAGAATACACTTTCATTACCCAGGTAAAGTATTTGCATCTCACACTCTCTTTCTTGATTGGCAGGCCGATCAAATAATGGGAACGGTACTTTTGGCAACTGGATGACTGGCGTTGGTGGTATTTGGTATTTGTTTCCTTGTATCGACTGCATCTCTCTTCGCTTTGCTTTTTCATTTTTGTTTCGTGCTTTTTTTTTTTTTTTCCGTTTGATTTGTGGCTCTTCTTTCGTCTCCTGTTTCTTCAGTCCAAGTCTTTTAGTGGTAATTGAAATTCGCGGCCGTTGTTAGATGGTACTCGGTAATAAAACTTGCATTTATTGACAGTTTCACACTGTAAGCCGTGAAGGCATTGTGAACGCAGAGGAACATGCTGTGGCTTGGCCGGGGGCCCCAAACCGGGTATAACCGCCGTTTGAAACGGCTTATTGGCATGAACCTTGGCCAATAGAACTGAACAGGAGACCAAAGGCAGCACCATATTCGAAACCGTACAAAATTCTTTCAATCGCAGCATCTTTTGTCTAATCCCATCAAGGGGAATTCAATATTGCACCTCATTTTACATGCATTCTCCTCTCCGAGGTGGTTCTTTGGAAGACTACGCAGAATCAGGCTTCAATACGGCGATTGTTCAGTACGCGCTAGCTTTAACTGCTGCTACTGCTTTCATAAATATCAAAGGCAATTCAGAATGATGCATCTGCAAAAAAATGGCATGTTGATGTGCGCGTTCTGTGTGCCACTAACAAGTCACTGGGCGCTACCCCGGCAGCATACCCGACTACAGGGAAGTCGATCAAAGATTTTTGTCATGTTACCGTCCGGTTTAGATCCCATGATGTGCTGATGCCGTACCCATCCTGCATGCCTACGCGCGCAGCCCCCCCCGTCCTCCATCAGCGCGTATTCGGAAGAGATGCCGTGCCCCGATCAGTACGGTGGACACTGTCTTGAAAATTCGCCGACGCCAATCTGGGGCACCAGTCCTGGCCAGGATCACGCGGAAGCCTCGAGGGAGAGGGAGAAGTACGTACTCTGTACAGCCCGAGGACCTAATGCCAGTACGTCGTAGAGTTTTAAATTCGAGGGGCTAGAAATACCAGTCGGACGTAATCCTTCAACGCCACTTTTTTTTTTTTTTAACGTGGCAGAATTTGCTCATGAACCTGGTTGAGCGTTTGTATATTGACCTCCCTCCAATCTCTGGGGCCTATAATCACCGCCCTGTTATTACGCCGCAATATATATATATAAAGCCTTATAAAGGGGAAATCATTTTTCCAAAACTTTTCTTGGGCCAACAAACAGATGGAAGGGGTTGTACTACTCCGTAATATAGATTAAATAAGAGCTGCACTTATTATAGTGGCGTAGGGTGGCCCAAGGGCTCCAGCAGAGAGATTCATGCCCCCTTATGAGTTCTTCCACGTCCATTTGAGAAGATTTATGCGACCCCTTGTCCCAGCTATTGAAGGGTACTCCTGAAGAAAATTCAAACATTTGTGTTTCTCTTCAACTCTATCTGCCTGTTTTAGATTTATCAAGTGAAGCAGTTCTCAGGTCTTTTGTGAGGGGCTCCACCACTCTACGTTTCTGCAGCATGGAATTAATAACCAACATGTTGTACGAATAAAGAAAAAAGGGAATAAAAGAAAAAGTGCAATAATTTTATTTCGAGGTGGCTGGAACATGCAGACAAATACCATCCATAGCAAGGCTATTGCGTCGCATTGCATGACATGGGTTGTTTGTATTACTGGCTTGCAGAATAGATGGCTGGCGTGGGACCCGACCCTTCAATGAAAGCCCCCTCGTTGCGCCAACATACGGCTTGTGCAACCATGTTCATATTTAGAAGGCTCCGTAGAAAAAAGAAGTTCTTTTGTCTTTCTTTTTTTTTTTTTATAAGTGAACCCCTGTCAATTAAGTCTTGCAGGTAAATTGAACAATTTTTTTTTAGTAGTGAGACATTTGACGTGTAATTCGTGCGCCCCGTCGTCGTACAGCTGACGAACCGCTTGCTGTTCCAGAGACCAGCCCCTCGGCGGCACGCACTCAACTCACAGACCCACAGTCTCACATCACGACAATGGCCTAGTTCTCGCTCGAGTACAGAGTACGACAATGCCTAATTCTAGCTCGAGGGCACAATACGACAATGCCTAGTTTCAGTCTGACGCCTGTGAAATTGTTCTTTCAAATTTCATATGTTAGGCGCTACAAAATCACAAGACAATGTGCAGTGAATATTTGGTAAAAATCATGTAAATTTGCTTGCAAATGGTTATGCACCGGCTGCGCAGGTTTGAATATGTTCTCAAAGAGTGAAGAGAAGAAGAGTAGTAAAGATAAAAAAAAAAAGACTTTGCGATGCAACTCGTAAATGGCTAATACATGTATCCGTTTGAAATGCGCATTTAGACGTGGCAGCCACCGACACCCGCGGACCAGCCCACGAGACGGTTGGCAATGTCACTGGAGTAGCAGTGAGTGGCAATGCCCTTTTCGAGATCGCCGCTGGGGTCAATGGAACCAGAGTTGTACATGCGAGCGGCCCTGTAATAGGTGGCGGCGCCGCTGCCGCCAGCCTTGGCGAGAAGCTGCTTGAGGCCGTCGCCGTCGGCCGTGCCGTTGACGCCGTCCTCAATCATGCCCTTGATGGTGGACTTGGGGCAGGGGTTGACGTTCCAGCAGCTGTTGGCGCCATTGTGCGATTGCATCAGACCTGGGTTGGTGACGCCGTTTGCCGTCGTCGGGGCGCGGACGCAGCCATTCGACTCTTGCATGACGACGGCCAGGATGAAGCGCGCGTCGACGCCCGACGACTTGGAGACTTCTTCAATGGCGGATTTGACATCGGCGCTCTCGGCGGGCGTGTTGTTGTCCTGCTGAAAGTTGGCGCACGACTTGTAGATGACGTTCTTCAGGTTGGCATCCCACATGGCGTCAAACGAGTTCCACGAGCTCTCCTGAGGCCAGCCAGCAGAGGCGTCGCCCTTGCCCATAAAGGCCTTGATGTACGCACCGGTGCTGGAGATGGGGTTGGAGGCCGGCGCCGAGGGCTGGCTAGACGCAGCAGACGAGGTTTCCGGGGCAGGCAGGGTGGCAGTAGGAACCTCCTTGAACTGACCGCCGGCGGCAGGAGTAGGGATCACAGCTTGAGAAGTGGAAGGCTGAGTGGGCTGCTGAGGAGCGGGCTTCTCGGGAGTCTTTAAAGAGATTGTAGTCGATACGATGGCCGTTTGAGAGGAAGCTGGAGGAGGAGGAGGCCGAGAGGAAGCCGGAGGAGGAGCCTGAGAGGAAGCCGGAGGAGGAGCCTGGGAAGAAGCCGGAGGAGGAGCCTGAGGAGCAGACGGAGTAGGAACGGGAGTGTTCTGAGGGGGCTTGGAGCCACCAGCACCGGAGGCAACAATAGTGCAGTCGCTGCCAGAGCAGACGCACTTTGTGCCGGCGGACACGTCCATGAAGATGGCCTTGCTGCCAAAGTTGCAAATACCAAACTTGGTCTCGTCCTGGCAGACCAAGTGGCCGGGTTGGCAGTTGGGAACAGAGACGCTTTCGAGGGGATAGGCCGCGATGCCGTGGATAAGGCTGATAAGAGCCACCGAGGTAAACGTCTTCATCTTGGAAGGTTGGGGAGGGGCTGTATAGCAAGAGTTGGTAAAAAAGGAATGAAGGTGAAAGCCGCGCTGCGGTAAAAGAGAGAGAGAGAATTGACAGTGTTCGTCTGGTGCCTTGGGGTCACGCAAAAGGATTGGTATGTGTCTGTGTCGACTGATCACGTAGAGTGGTGTGAAACTCGAAAAGCAAGCTCAAGATCGAAGAGAGAGGCGACCTGCGCAAGCAAGGAACGAAGTTGTTGTTGTTGAGAATTCAAGGAGTGAATGAAGGATGTCGAGACCGGGCACCAGTACCGTCTTTGCAAGAAAAGGAAAGAATGATTTTGTTCCGAAGCGGATGAAGAAGAAGGAGAGACAAGAGGTTGTACATGTAGTTCGGGGAGCCGCAGCAAGATAAATGCCTTTCAGAGATGGGTCACTTTCAGGCTGACTCTGCGGGACGACCCTCTCCCCTCCAGGGCCCTCCCTCCTATCAGCTTTACGGCCTATCAGCTATACGGCTCTTTGAGCCATGCAAGCCATGGCATGCATGCATGCATTGGTCCTCCACAAGTGCAAGTGGCCGACTGCCCAAATGCTGGCAGTGGCAAAATACCCCTGACGGTGAAACTTTGGCTGTTGAACCCCATCTGCAAGGGCATCCCCCTTGTGAGTTAGTTACTTTTAGGAGCCACATTCCTACCGTACAGTTCCACCGCGGCCCTTGGCCAATGGCGAGTCACAATAGCAAATCGGGCACTGCCCATCCCGATTCAAGGTTAGCGGCCGCACTGCCCATGACCGCTGAATGGCCAGTCCTTTGTCAGTCTTGTCGCTCGTCGCTCAAAGTCAAGCGGGGAGAATCGTTGGCGCCGGCTTGACCAGCCAATGGCGGCGCGCCGTCCGACCGTCTTTCGTGTTTCAGTTATACGCGAAAGACAAAAGAGAGAGAGAGAGCATGAACTGGGGCGGTCGGCGCGCCACTGTGACAGGGCAGAAAAAGCTGCAAGGGACCTTGGCAGAACCGTGGAGACCTAATCCGTATTTGCTACTTGTTCCTTTGGCTTGCTCATTCGTCTCTCTTCCCTCGATGTGCGCTTAAAAGTATGGAGTAGGCAAAGCATCCTATTCGAGTCAGTTGAAACGTCGTCCTGAGTCTCGTGCTGGCAAACATTAATTGCATGCATGGGTGGCCACCATCACCAAGTATAGCTTTTTCATTGTTTGTGCATTCTTGTTCCACTCTCACGAGAACCTTGTCGCTCGTCGTCGTACAACACTTCTCCGAGCAAGCGTCGAACTGCAGTGGAGAACTTTGTGCTGCTCCTCATGGAAAAAAACTATGCGTTTCTTTTATTTTTTTTCTCCTTTTCGCCAAGGGGGAGGAGGTTGGGGGTTTACCCACGAAAAGCGCCCGGCGGTGGGCGCAGATCGGCTGAAAAGAAGAACATGCCTTTGGACCGTGCCGCCCTGTGTTGCCGCGGGTAGGAACATGCAGTCGTGACCGACTCGGAGACGCACATGTGAATCTTTTTTTTTGTTGATCTCAACGTGTCCGCCATCTCTGAGAGTCAACTGCCGCAATCCATAAAAAGAGCAGAAAAAGCTCGCAATCGTACGACAGCGACCGTGTAAAAGTCGACAGAACCAAGCTGCGCCACCAGCTGGCATCGCCGTGGCGGTCCCGACCAGTCTCGAGCTACGGCGGGCCATGATTTGATTTGTCTGCTTTTTTTTTTCTCGCCTTTATTAGTTTCGATTTCGATAGACCCGTTTGCTGAGAATAAGCGAGGATCCTTCGTTTTCGCGGCTGCGGCTATAGCTGACTGGCGATGTGTCTGCTGGAATGTCGTCAAACGCTAAAAAGGTGTGGCTGCGTGACGCCCGACGTCGGCCACTTTGCGTAAAATGGTAATGCCGACCATGACGGCATACATTCCTTTTTCACTGCTCTGCATGGTCAAATAAATCACGATGATGCGGAGCAGGGTTGGCGTGTCTGGGTATCGATGTGCTCCGTAGATGTTTCGAACCTACGAAACGCATAATCAGGCAAGAAGCAGAGACATGTTTCCCCCACTGCGACACTTGACCCGCTTCACACAAAACGTCCGTCTACAAGAACAACCATTTTTCATAATGCCCTTCTTTTCAACGAAGAATGCGTCAGTAAGACATGCGCTGCCGATTGATAGTCTTTTACGAAATATAACATTACTTTTTATTATACAGCGTGCGCACGCTGTGTTGAGTAATAGATAGCTGCAAGGCAAAGTCCTCGGCTCGAAACATGTGCTGAATCCAAATGAGAAACAAGCCTGCCAAACATGGCAGTGGGTATAATGCAAGAACAATCAAGGTAGTTCCGCTGCAGTGAGATGCACTGCGTCGAGTTTCTCGCCATTCCTCCATGTGCTGTGGTCCATCGTTTTGTCCATTGTCTTATCCGTTGTTGAGAGCTCTACACTGCCCCCGGCGTGCTTTGAGTCGGCCTTTACGTTGGCTGACCACCGTACACGGTCAAGCCTGGGGGCAGCATAGTTGTCGGTAGTTGCTTGCGAGCTGTGTGACTCGTCGCGCGTGTGGCTTGCGTTGAGCGTATCTTGCGACGTCCCGGACGCGTTGTGAACGGGTATGCCTAGTTGACTCCGTCGATGGTAGGCATTTGGCGGCGCTGACCGGCGCAGCTCGTTTTGCGCGTCTTCGCTTCCGGCCGAGGCGTAGGCAGAAAGCCCGATATTGAGGCCAAGAGATCGTGCCAGCGGTCGGAGAGTGGAAAAGCTGGCAGCAGTAAGCGCCAGTCCCATCTCAATCGTTGACCAGATGGCAATGTCCATCGTCGCCCCTGCGTTTTGTTAGTTGCTGAGACACGGAGGATGTCATGACGACCTACACAGAAAATCTTCATCGTAAAAGGTATGAAGATAGGCTACGCGTACTAAGACCGCAGTGCTCGCCCTGGGATCGACAATGTCAGTATTTGGTCCCTTGTAGCAGCGGCCACGAAACTTACACGCAGCCCAAGCCCATCAAGAATATCAACACCCATCGGATATCGGTTCTCAACTGTAGGTGCCAGATAATAAAGGCTGGCAAGAGCGCAAATACAAAGTCTGTGAGAACGCTAAAGGCGCTGTACAGGTATCCCAACGCGACGTATATGTGTATCGGTAGGCAGTGGCCGGGTATCGCGTCGTTCCAGTAGTGCGCCACGGGCTGGCACTGGAACACTGTAACAAAAAAATAGGTTATCCCGGCGACAACCACGCAGAATGAGGTAAAGTAGATTATCCATTTGTGGTATTGGATGCAGACTATGCGCAGCAACAGGCAGCCAAATGAGAGCTTCGCCGACATCATGGTCAAGCCGAAAAAGATGTAGCAGAAGAACCAGTACTATCACCCGTCAGCGCTTTTGGTTCGAGTTTCAATTGCGAATTTCGCTACTTACTCTTTTCGCAATCGCGTAGTTCTCGGGTGTTAAATCGTCGCGGTGCTGTCCTGTTCCGTGATTGATTCCCAAGTTGGAGCAAATCACATAGCCCAAGAAGAATACCTGCGATGCATGTCAACAAAACACAACAACGTGTGAAAAATAACTATGGTCTTGACCAGCCGAGAACGTACATTGGCGAGGGCCATGAGCCAGTCATCAGTGCCGAAACATTTCGAGATGAAGACGCGAGTATAGCATCTCAACAAGACGGTGCAAGACGCCACGATAAAGAATGCAATATTGACCCCCAGCAGCTCGTGGCCGCGGTTAGCGGCCATGGTTTTCAAAGATGCACGTCGGCCCCAGGTATGCAAAAGTCGAGAGAGTATGAGGCAATGGGACGCAGACGCTTACATGTTGCGGTGAGTCTGGGGGGAAGACGTCGGCGAAGCAGGGTAAGCAAGTTTAGACCGGGGGGCAAGCGATCTAGATATGCAAGAGACTGGTGACAAGCTGGGAGAGATATATCCGCCAGGTCAGAGTCTAAAATGATTCAGAAACAACCTAAACACACGTGACTGACTGGAAACAAGCGAAACTGTTTATTACTGGTATACAGCAGCCAGATCCCCTGCAAAGCTTTGATGTGAGGGAAAAATCAGTGCGCGCGCGCGCCCGCGTCAACAAGTGCCGACAATCGACAGGATCAGCACTATGGGGTTATTGGGGACGGCCCTATGCCGGGGGTTGACCTAGTTTGTAGTTTACTAGCGGCAGCTCCGACAAGGGCCCTTTTCCGGCGAACTAGGCACTTGAGCATTGCGATTTGTTAGAGGAACTGAGGTGGTGAGCATGATGGAGTCTGGGGGATCCTAGCCTGTTCCCACCTGCGGAAGGCCCTTGCCGGTGGAACAAGGTTGCTTCGATAGCGGTTGCTGTCAGAATGGTTGCTGTCAGAATCTCTAGTACAAACAGTTCTCAGCGAGTTGCACCATCATGACTCAAACTCGACGTTAGCCTATGCGCCAGCGGCCGTCCGAGGCCCGGCCCAGTGACATTCGCGAGCTGGCGAACATCATACCTAGCTAGGTATTAGGTAGTAGGTAGTTAGGTAGGTACGTCAAGTAGTACTGGTAAGTTGTAAACTCGTCAACTAACCAAACTAGTTTTGCTAGTTTTTGCTGCTCGCTCCGCCTGGCTTGCAAATCTTTCGACTAGGGAAGCTCCAGCTCCAACGGCGTGGGTCGGCGTAAACGGTCAATGCACAGGGAGAGGCCTCAACAAATGCTCCTCGCCGCCAACTCTGTTTGGGCGGACCGATTGAAAGGAAGGCGGTTCGGCCAATACAAGGTCCGAGTTATCGCATGCGTGTAAAAAGAATTATTACCAGCACAATAATACTTGTGGGTAAATAGAATGCAGTTCAACTTCCGCCCGTCCGTTCGTTTGTCGCAAACCCCCCCCCCGTTGGGGCCGGGCCGGGCTTGGACCTCGTGCTAACAAGCTGTCAGTGACATGTCACTAATAGTCAGTGCACTAACTAAATGATGTCCGCCTCCATGGCGTGTCTGCGTAGTTTGCAAGTACATTAGCGAATCATTCGGTGAGCAAAGACAGAGGGGCTCCGTTTTACCATCTCAGCGTTTGTCTCACATGTACTCGGTGAAACATTTTGCGCACCGCAGGGAGCCAAAAAAAAAAAAACATGGGACGGCTTTTTCGGAGCCGAAAAAGGCTAGCCATTTCTTCATCGCTTCAATCAAAGTCACACGCAAAGACGATCATCACATTAGCTTCCAAGCACGACCATGTTTTTATTCGTAGTTCTTTGCTTACAACTCTGGCAGTGCACTATCGCCCTCAATGTCGCCCGCATTTGAACAAATCTTCATTCTAAAGCGGTGTTCTGCCCACCCAGTTCCGCGCAACCGTGTATCGTTATCATAGCGTGAGGCTGTCAAAGGCAAACGCCGCCGCCTGACTGGAGCACGCCAACCTAAATTTAGCTGGCAGGTATCCATCCCAGCTCTCCGCTCGCAAGTAATTGCACCAGGATCAAAATGTCATTCTTCAAGCCATCTTACCTGCTAAACACTTTTCTCGCTCAACTTCTAGCCAAGCAATCACCCGAAAACCACGACGGGGCGGCCGGAGTTCTCAATCATCTCGGCGCTGCCAAGCCGCCTGCAATCACCTTGGCCCCCATCCCTCTCGCTCACCCACTAACTCTTCGACGCCGTGGCGTCGACCGCATCTAGGAACGCGCGGGACTTGTCTATACGGACTTCTTTTTTTTTTTCCCTCTAGAAAGTAGAGAAACATACGATGCTGGGAATTTGAGTTTGCGCCACGTGGCACCCGTCAAGCTCTGGACTTCAAAAAGCAATAACCGCCTCTTCTCCGACACGGCTATTCCGCCGTCTCGGTCCCGTACCGACTTGACTAGATAGGACGAAATGGCCTGACTTTTGCCCGTGTTTTGGGTTTTGGAAGTTGAGCACAGTGTGAGGGAGGCTATTCAAGTTGGGAGGGTCGTGCGCCATTGGCGCGGCTTATCGCTGCTCTGCGGCGGCGGCTGCTGCCGGTAGGCACGTGGCTAAGTAGATTTCGACGTCGAAAGAGAAGAAACTGGGACTTGTTTTTACCGTCGATCCGAGCCCAGTTGCTTAATCTTTTCAGAGATAACACAGCAGCAGATGGGTTTTACGGCCGCCAGACCTGTGTTTGCGCAGTCGTGCTGCGCAATCGCGAGGAGTCTTGCAAAAGATGTGAGCTGCGAGCGAATACCGTGTTTCGCCAAAGACTTTTCGATTGGACGTTCTTGAATTAATGTCCTACATTGTTCCAGGGTCGCAGGTTTGACTTTCTTTTCACGCATTCGTCGAGATCGCAAGGCCGACAGAAACGAGCCCCAGTGCATGGCGCCAGAGGGCATATATTTTCGACGTAGCCATGATCAGAGTCAATACAAGATGATGTAGGTGCAGAAACGTGCGACGCCACATCACAACATTGTGTAAATTTAAAGGTGTTGACCGAGTCGAGCCACAGCCTGTTCATGCGCATGGCCACCTGCGACTTGCATACTGCATAGGTACGGTACATACATCACATCATGGTGCAGTACCGCAATGCGCCCCGGGGAAGAAAAAAAAAAAGGAGACTGGTGTGATGTATTACGCTGCTGGCTTGAAAATGAATTGCATCATCTCCACAGCGGTATCAAACCAAAAAGGCCAGAAGCCTTAGTCTATCAACTTGATACTCTACGAAGACAACTCGTAAGGTCTGAAAACAAAAAGTCTCTTCACATGCCGCGCCAAGCCAAAATCGACGTGTACATCGTAAAGCTTGGCGGTGATCCTCAGGAGGCACAAAGGGAAAACCACACTTAATTAATCCTACACAGGCTGACATTAAGCCTATTTCAGGTGATCGAGGGTAGCTCCTTCCTCGCGAATGCTTGCGCAAAGTTCACAACTTCCGTCCAGAGGCTTGACGATGCGCTAAAAAAACAACAACATTGCATCTACATTTCTTTGTCTCAGACATGCGTCCATTCTTTCAAGAACCAACATACTTAAATCGTTCTCGATACAGTACAATACTAGCGACGGACGCATGTGATCATCGCTCTTCATCCTCGACATGGCCACACTCTTGACGCTCCCGTCCGAACTCCTGCTGCTCATTGCCTCCTTCGCTAGTCTCGATGGCGCGTACCAATTGCTCTGTACCTGCAAAAAGATGAACAGAATTCTAGGCGGGGAGCTATGGAAACTCGATGCCGTCCGTCAACAATCTCGCGCATTGCGTTGGGCCATTGACAATTCGTGTCTCAGTACTTTGCAAAAGGCCTGGGAACTAGGCTCCTCATTCGACTTGGACCCGGAGGGTGAAGGCTTTTTGTCCTATGCGGCGAGGCATGGCTCAGAAGAAATCATTCACGCGATTTGTCACTTCTCGGGAGACGATCCTCGTAAGCCGCACGCGGACTTTTAGGAGGCTCTTGAAGTGGCGGTCGAGTGGCGGTCTTCTTCATGTGTCAGCATTATGGTAGACATGAACCCATCGGACCATCTTCCGATTCAATATTTGTATGGAAAAGCTGTGGGTTGTGGCAACTCAAGCACTGCTGGATTCCTTCTGGGCCTAGGCGCTGATCCAAACGGCGGGTTTTTGTTTGATGTCTCAATCCTGAACGGCAATGCGGATGCCGTGCGAATGGTTCTGCAGCACGGTGCCGTCCTCCACGATGTCGACAATTGTCTCGAGCTGGCAGCGGCCGAGGACGACCCTGCCGTGTTTCGAGCATTGGTTGAGCAAAGTCAAGAACTGAGAGGAAACTATGCTGTTTTATCGCACTGGTTGGGCCGCTGCATTCAATTAGATGCTTGCCAGGTGGCCGAGGTGCTGCTTACAAATGGAGCATGCCTGAATATATTTGTCGATTCTCAATGTTTCCGACACACAGTGCTCCGCGGTAGTGTGAAAATGCTCAAGCTTTTGAACATGGTCGGCGCGGGACCAAAGGAAGACTATAGCTTTGATAAAGCATTGCTCGACGCGTCATTTCTGGGAAAGAGAAGCCTGATTCGCTTCCTTCTTGAATGTGGTGCCAACATCAACACAGGCTGCGAACCAGATAGCTCGCCGCTTCACTGCGCAGCTCAGTTTGGTCAAGTAAGAACGATCCAACTCTTGCTACAAAGAGGCGCCAATCCAAACATGGTAAACCGCAACGGCGAGACTCCCATGCATGCCGCAGCAATTTCTTGGGACGGACGCGCCATTCAGGCTCTGAAAGAAGGCGGCACTCTTATCAACGCAAGCAATGGAGCAGGTATGACTGCTCTTCATCTAGCTGCTATCGATTCTGGTGCCAAGGTGATCAATGAGCTGGTGCGCCATGAAGCAAATCCCTTTAAACGTGATTGCGGTGGCATGAATCCTTTGCATTACGCCGCATGGTGCGGCAATGTTGAAGCGGCCAGTGCTTTACTGCAAGCGACGAATAACAGCGGAATAGATTTGAGGGACAATCGAGCTAGAACTGCGCTCTTTCACGCCTGTTGGAAGGGTCGAGTCGCTCTTTGCAGGCTACTCATCAGCCGAGGCGCTTGTCCGCTCATTACAGACTTTAGGCAATCGACCATTTTCCATGCCGCGCTCAGAAACGGAAATCGGCGATGTTTGACCGAAATCTTGGCGGCGATCAGCCCAGAGCAAAGCCAGCCCATACATGCTGCGATAGATGGTTCCGAGCGTGATTTGGAGGACCAATCACAAGTGTTGCATGGTACCAACTTGGCGGCTTGGATGCGAGGCAGAAGCACCAATGGGGGCGTGAGGGGCACAGAGAGTGCAGATCATTGCGCAATGTGTACCCAAAGAACCAATCTCAATCAATTATTTAGCTGCAGAAGTTGCAACATGAGAGAGACGCCGATGATGTGCACGGAGTGCGTGGGCGCGGGCGCGCGGGACTGCCTGCGAGCTGGCCATGTGATAAGGAGTGTTATCGAGCGAGCTTAAGAAGAACAGTGGTTGACTTGTATGTGGTGGTTTGCATAGCAAAGCGTACAATATCATGGAATATTGATGAGAGGTTTTTTTTAGTAGCGCGCGTTGACTAGGATGGTTGTCAAATCAGGGCGTGAGGAGATATCGCCCATCGCTTTGCTCGACAACGTTACAGTAGCCCTTGAGCCATTCTCCATAGGGCCTGATTTCCTTTGGCAGGTCGCAGACTGCATTTCTGACCCAGGAGATGATGACTTCTTTTCGTGCCGTAAACTTGAACTGCTCCGAGTCCTTGACACAGAATTGCCCGAGGAAATAGTCGGCCAGCAGCATGTGGGCAATGAGTAGCCTAGCTGGATGATTGTCCGGGGCAATGAATGCTTGGAAATCGTGGTTAGAAAAGTAGCAGTGTGCCCTCCACAAGTCGGCGTGCGACAGCCAGGCCTGGAGCGACGAGACGCGCAGGCCCTGCACGGCATCCATGACGCGCTGACAGTAGTATAGCTCTCGGGCGCCGGTGCAGAGCTCCTTGACCTTGGTGACGGAGGCGAGGAATTCGTCGACGAGGTCAAAGTCTTTGGGCTCTTCGCTCACAATCTTAGACAGATTCTCAGAGTGGCTCTCGTTGGTAAAGGTCCTGAAGACGGACGCCCTGTGGACGGGAATGACAAAAGCCCAGACCAAGGCGCCGGCTCTCGTAATGGTCATGTACTCTGCGATGCCGTCGGGCAAGAGCGTGGTCTGGGCGGCGAGGCAGATGAGGGCGGCAAAGAGAGAATCGGCATTGTCTTGGTCTCTGGGCGGCTTGGCAAACTGCTCATTGACAATCCTGAGGGCCGACACGCGGTGGGCGAGAGCCTGCGAAGAGTAGTCGACGTTGCCGTGTTTGCTCAGATGCAGCGCCCCCAGCCCGAGCGCGGCGTGGGCGAGACATTCCGACTGTCAAAAAAAAAAAAACGGTCAGCGCGGGTTGTTGTTGTTGTTGCTTTGTCGGGCAATTCGCCGATTCGGGGCCGCTTCTCAAACATACTTGGTGCGACATGGCGGCGCATTGTTTCCAGACTTGGTCCGCGCGCAGCGGCAGGGACGGAAAGGCAATGTTGAGGAACTGGTAGTAGAAGCGGAGGTCCTCGAGGCAGAGGGGCGAAGGGCCGGAGCGGACAGAGCCCGGCGCGGCGGCTGCTGCGGCGGCGTAGTCGCACAGCAGGCCGAGGCGGCGGCAGGGAGAGCACGTCGGGCGCATCTCGTTGCACTTGACGCGTCGACGCTTGCAATTGAGGCATCCGAGGCGCGATTTGGAATGGCCGCGGCGGCTGCTGGTGGGCTTCGCGATGGCGGTACCGGGGTCGTCATCGTTGTGACTGTTGTTTCTGTTTGCGGCCGAGGAAGGCGACGAGGTCTCGGAGCTGCCACGATTGCTTCCGCTGCTGCTGCTGCTCGAGCTGAGCCTGTCAAGGGCCTTGCGCTTCATGACGGGCGGCGGCAGAGAACCGAGACGTGTGACCTCGCGCAACACGAGGCGCCGACGCGGGAGCAGCACAGAGGTGGGGGAAAAGACGAGGCCGCAGCGAGTAGCTGGAGCGGTGCGACGATGAGCGCATGGGATTGTCTGCGCTGGTAATGGTGCGAGGAGTGGAGTTGGATGCTACAGAGTACCACATGCAGAAGAAAAGTTGAAGTTGCAACGGCAAACGACGACAAATGACAAAGACGATGACGACAAACGCCTGTCCATACCGGGGGACGCCGGCACGGCTGGCAAGGCTGGGCGGGGCAGTTTGGACGGCTATGAGGAAGGTAACAAAGACAGTGAGATGGGAGATGGTGAGATTGGATGCTTTTGAAGACGTGGCGCTGCCGAGTGGCTGCTAGTGGCTTGATGCAGTGATGGGATGGATGATCATGCCACATCACATGTGCAGCTATCTGTGTCTTTTACCGGCATATCAAGGCGAGAGCCGCACCCTATCAACCCATCTACAAGATCCCAGGGAACAAGGGTGAAAGACTGTGTGGATGCAAAATCAGATCAGCATTTGCTGCATGCTTTCGCAGGGGGTGCGGCACGTCCGCAAGGTATTTAGTTAAGCGCCAAACTTTGAATGACTGCCTACTCCACGTCATGCGCAGACTTTGATATGCCAACATCCGAGGCACCATATCATGACGTGGAGGAGATCTGGAGTTTAAAGTTTAGCGGAGAGGCCACTCCAGCGAACTTTTGGCTATAAGCTATGAAGTAGGCGAACCGCCTTCTCTTGACAAGTGAGCATGAGGAGTCTCATTTCTTTGCACGCCCGACACTCCTGACAGTATTCACGAGCCCAGACTTGGAAACACAGGTTGCTTATTAGATTCCACTAATCAATCTAATTTATTGCTACTTTCGTCATTTACAAGAAATCTTGCGCATACTCTTCGTACTCGGCTATAAAAGCTTCCACATTAAAGACTTGGTCCATGTGTCGTTGCTTCAAAACATTTTCTCCCGTCCTGACGTACCCCTCTTTGAAGGAGCTGTATAGATCTGGACGTTGAACAAGGTTTGGGATGAACAGCTGATTGTCACCCGTCATCATGGCACCCTTGAATGCCTGATACACTATCGCAGGCTCATCCCTCAGGTCCACGGCATCGCATTGACCAAAATCGAGCAGAAAGAGTCCGACCTCCCGCTCCTGGACAAATTCGGCCGTCTGCGATTGAAGCCTCGTCCCCAACACAAACTCGACGTCGTCACCGTTGACGCCCGCGCCCCAGTGCATAATGGCAAAAGCCGCGCCCATGGAGTCGGCAATGTAATGAACATTTAGATCTAGCGACTCCATCATCGCAAGATCCAAGGGATAATTCCGAAGTGAAGTCGCATCCTTTTTGGGTGGCATTCGGCCCAAGTAGGTTCTTAGCAGACAGTGCTTATTCGGTATAGCATCCAACATGTCGTGCGACCCTTGAACGTAGCCCACGAGCGCCTTCCGCACCACCTTTGGCATGGGCAGGATCCTTTCCATTTCCGCAGTATTCTCCAAAGCACAGTTGCCGCCGGGGAGTCCAGCAAATTCTTCGTCTGCCAGCTTTGCAGCTTCTAGAAAATGACTGAGCCGCGGTACTTGGACTCGGCAACTAGCACCAGGGCCAAATCTGTCAAAAGCTGTCACAACAAGCCCATGAATGGCGTACTCATGCTGAATATTGGTTGGTAGGGTGGAATTACCAGCATGTTCCTTTTTGAGAACATGCAGTCTTCCTGGCTGTTCAAAGACTGCGCCTTGGAATCCTCGCCCAATCTCTGTCATGATATGGGTGCTACCCGACTGAGGAATCCCATGTCGCGCCGCATATGATGACAAAGTTGAAATGATGCGACCGACATGCAGAGATTGGCTCAGAATTTCTTCATTCGACAACGAAGCAAAAGTATCCGCTGGTAAAGTAGTCATTTCCCGAAATGCTTAGCCAAAGGAATGGAGATTGACTCACAACGAGAGAAATGAGAGCAACAAGAAATAAAAAAAAAGTGAGAAAAATTCAAGAACAGGAGGACACAAGTAAGTAGTAAGAGCAGTTGAGAGAAATAAGAAGAATCAAATCCAAAAAAAAAAAGAGAGAATGAGAGTTAGGCAGCAAGATAAATTAAGTACGCCACAATAGCCACCGACGCTTACATTTTGTTCAATTTTTTGTTGGCACTGGGGAAAATATTCATATGCGTGTTTTCAAGAACTCGAAAGAAATAAAGACAGCCGGTAGAATACAGCAAATCGGCAATTGATGAAGTCGCATTCCACTCAAATGCCCCCAACGTCTGTCAGCCAAGTTGTAGGTTCTCACTACCCTGCTCAGCACCATGCTGAGAATTTTTGCATCAACTAGAATATTGGAGCCAACACTATCGTAAAGAAGAAGAGGAAGGCCAATTTGAGTACATATTATATTCTTACTCAGAATGTCCGGAATTACAACAAGACGAATTATGCGACTGATACAGTGCCAGAGGGCGCCGTGACATGAGATGAGTCATATCGGCTCAGAAAACGTTGAACACAAGAAGGCATAAAAATGCTTAATTCAATGACAATATTTCACATCTTTCAATTTATATCCAACAATGGCTTCTGTGCGTTCTTCTTTACAAAGTCGCCAGTGGCGGCGCGACGACTACTTGATCACGACGGATTCGTCACTCATTCCACTCGCACGGCTCATTGACATTTTCAACTCGAAGGAATTCTACTGGGCCAATGCCATGCCATTGGACTACATGAAAGCTACTCTAGAAAACTCACTCTGCTTCGGCCTGTTTCGCCGCCACGACGACGACGATGACGACGCCGCCGGAGACGCGTTTCTCGGCCTCGCGCGCTGCATCACCGACTACACCACGTTTCTCTACGTGACCGACGTCTGGGTCGACCCCGCCGTGCAGGGCAGGGGCAGGGGCCTGGGCAGCTGGGTGGTGCGGTGCGTGCAAGAGGTGGCTGAGGAGATGCCGTACCTGCGCAGGAGCGTGCTTTTTACGAGCAGCTGGGAAAAGTCGGTGCCGTTTTACCGGAAGCTCATGGGCATGGAGGTGGTGGAGTCTAGGTTTGGGGATGGTCTGGCCACCATGGAGCGCAAAGGTCGGGGCCATCCGCTGTATGGGAGATAAGGCACTAATGACAGCTAGATTTTGAAAGCCGTTTATGTAAATACAGCCTTGACATGCTTTGAAAGAGCTGGTTTGGTGCAGCGGGAATAAACAATTGTCAAAAGTCAGCTAGATGCATCGGCATGTCTTGTGGTGTGAGTTTCCTAGTCAAGGTTTCCAACATTCTTCAAAATCCGCAGATGGAATAATTTCATCATTTTGTATGTGTTTTTAAATCGAAGAGCCTATGACCAAGCACAATCTCGTACTGCGAAAGAGGTGTACTTGGCTCGCAAGCCTCAATCCTAAGCGCCCATCAGACAATGAGCAAAAAGACTGTGTGCACGTGAGTATTGTGACGACGTATCTAATAGTCGCATCTACAAAAGGTTCAGCAGACCACGAACGGCTCTCGCACCACAGGCTGGCCATCTCGGAGCCACATCGGAAGTCGTTATCGTACAAGTCATTGCCGGACTCCATGTTCCTACACTTACTCACCAGCAGGCCACATGCCCCTTTTTTAGATGAAAAATGAGCGGTATTCTCTTCGTGTTGGTACTTTTCCCTCGAGGTTTCTAATGTGGATCGCTTCAGCATGTCAGCATTGCTATATCGTAGACTACTGCGATTTTGACCCCCCCCCCCCCTTTCCCCAGAGTGTCGCTCAATGTCAGCGTGCCGACAGGAAAGCCGAATCGGCAGCTCAAACTGCAACTGTCGCCGTCAACTGCACGTACAAGTTTCCCATAGATGCATCATATGGGGTTGAGCATCACGCGGAGGGCGAGAGTACGGGGGGTTATGCCAACCGGTGAGACTGACATGGTGAGCGTGCAGGAAAGGCCAGATCCCAAAGGCCAGGTCTCAAAGGCCAGTTTCTGCAGCTTCTTGCTTAATTTTTCAAACAAAAGAGGGCCAGATCCAATAAAAGAAAGCCTCAATCGGCAGATTTTCCAGGGTCAAGTCTGCCGTGGCATCATGTTGGGGCTTGCGCTTACTTGAGCACGAGTTCGCTGTTCGGAGGCTGATCGGCTTACAGCAAGAGAGGTTTCCACAGGTTCAGCTGCAGGGACCAAGAACCGATGGTTCTACTTTATGAAAGACGCTAGAAGCGTCTCTTCTATTTTCCAGGGTTTGATTTTATATACCTTTTCTTCTTCTTTTTTTTTTTTCGTTTTTTCCCCCCTTTTTATGTTCGCTATTTTCGCTCTCTGTATGCCCTTTCTGGTGTTACCCACCACAAGCAACATCTACCTTTTTACGCTTACAATCTCTCCCTGTCGAGCATTATAACTATCTCCCCCATGGCAAACCGCCGCCCTAAGATATCACGAAAATAAAAATACCAGAAATTCTAAAACTCGCGATATTCTGTAATACTGTCTTTTTCTGGCAGTTTCATTCATCTATCAATGCGGAGCAATCGTGACATCTATACCGTGGTCTGTCTCCTATAGTTAGCAGCCTCCATCGAAAAGCCGTTTATTACTCAGCTTACCAGCACAACTGACACCCAGCACCTTGATCCATATATCGGCACGCTGGATAACCACCAAAGAGGAGAGATATCAGGGCCAATTTGAATCCCTCGAATGCCCCATATAGTGCCTTTCTGCGTCGTTGACACCACCATCAACAAGCTTCACAGAGCGGTATGTCAGTGGCGATGACCAGTTGATTGCATGGCTCATAAGTGTCTATTTTCAAGACGAGTCTCAATTGAAAAAGAAGATCAAGTCTGTGGCTAAGCAGCTATAGGGTTTCTGTACATACACGACCAGCAGGTTCTTTAGATAGCATAACAACCCGCCCTTTGCAGCTGCATCCCAGCGTGGGTGATGTCAGGGCCCTCGTCATTGCGTCTCGGGACATCATTGCGCCGTTCGGGACGACGATGGCGTCTTGCTTCCACGCTGGTGGTCCTTGCTGCTGACGGCTTGTGGCTTGTGAGTTTTTGCGTGGGGGGGGGGGGGGGGGGGAGAAGAAGATAGAGAGATGGGGGTTC